AATTTGTAACTTCCTTGGACCACAAGTACAAAGCATTCGAGTTAAATGTGAAAGTAACAATTGGGGCTCTTTATTTGTTGAAGTGGAAAGTTGGACACGCAAAAGTTGGGGTTTTAAATGATCTGCATCATGCAAGGCGTGGACGAGAATGACTGAAGCAAACCTTTAGAAAAATAAAAAATAAATGATGAGTGAATAGATTTAGCAGGGTCTAGAAGAGAGCATCGGACCAACCAGACCTAGTCACGGATACACAGGCTAGATCTGATAATCTCGTAAATAGGTCTTTCCTGGTTTAAGTAAAACCCAAGCATGATGCAGATCATACAGACGTTTTTTAATATTATCTGTATCCAGATCCGTATCCATGACCAGGTCTAGGACCACCTGTACAAGGACTAGGCATTTTTTAAATTTCCCACGTCTTTCCTAAACTACAAAGACAGGATCATATCTAGGTTGTAAAATTAGTTTGGACCCGGATTTTAAAAAATTGAATCTCCTGAAGTGAAAAGGACAACAAATATTTTGCGGACACTTCTTGCGGACTTTTTTCCCAAAGCTTGGATTTTACTTAAACCAGGAAAGACCTATTTACGAGATTATCAGATCTAGCCTGTGGATTTGAAAATTTGTCCAAACTCCATAATCTTTCAAAAACTCCCCTAGGATTAAAAAATATATCAAAAAATTTGCGGACAAATTCTTGCGGATTTTCAAAAAAAAACTATTTACTCACCAAACCTGTACAGGTTCATGATTAACTAACGCCGCACACAAATAGTGTCCTATTAAAACTTGAGCTTCATCCTCTGTTTGTTGCTGCTCATTTGTAGCCACATCTTTTTGAGGCAGCAAAGTATTTATTATGCGAATTTTCCCATTTTCATTTCCATGTAAATAACATAAAAAACAATAAAAAACGGCCAAGCGAAGTCTAAAAGGTTGTTTTTCTGAAGTCATTGAAAGGAGGAGAATGAGCAGTGCGGGTCTTAAAAAATCGATTTTTTAGGAATTTTTAACGGAGAAAAAAACCTGACGCCATCCTGATCAGTTACCGTTGAACAGGCAAAAAATTCCTGGTTGGCGTAGTTTGAACGTATAATTTCTGCAACGGTAACGACAGATTCTGCCAAAACATCAACGGAAATACCCAATTGTGAAAGTAATACTTTACAGAGTAAATCTAACATTCCTGCAAAGTTTTTGGAAAAATAAATTGTGATCGTTTAAAAATTGCGGACAACTTTTGCGGACATTTTCAAATTTTTATTATCTTTTCTCTGGCATTCTACGTGATAGACTTATCTTATGGTTCTCCTTCTATTAGTAATTAAATGGCAAAAAACTCAAATAATGACCGAAAAAACGTGAGTCCGCAAAAATTGTCCGCAAATTTTTTGCGGACAAAAAATTTTTTATAAAATTAAATTTGCCAAGAAACCTGATTTTAATAAAGCTTGTTGTGCAGAATGTGTAGTTTTGTGTATATTATCAATAGGCGAACAAAGGGCACGAACAATTTGTAAAATAAGAATAAAGTTTGCAATTTTTTGAGCACTCCATTCATCATCGGGCATTGAACCTAGTTGCTGTTGAAATTGTTGTTCTTCTTCAGATGGGTAAATAAAAATATTGGCCAATTGAGTTAATTGTTTTGATAAACTTTAAAAAAAATTTAGTGAATTAAAATTGTGGATAAATAAATTTTGTCCGCAAAAAAGTTGCGGACAAAAAATTTTTTAAGGGTGTCCCTAGAGTCTTTTCTCCCCAAAAATAAAAAAACAAACAAACTTTGCTTCACGAAACCCAACTTGATTACTAGCATTTTTCCTCAACAAATTGAGCATTACAAAAAGGCAATCTTCAATTACAATGCCTTAAAACCAAAATTTTTTTTTAAATTTCAAAAAAATTCAAACAAACTTTCTAAAGGTTCCTGTGAAATAACCTCAAAAAGAAGTTGAAAAGCATTCTCAAAATAAAGTAATTGTTGAATTTGGGAGTTTCCACGGCTTAACTCGCTAAGCATTAAAACAACATTGTTGCGGATTACTTCCCTCTAAAAAGAAAAATTCAAAGCAAAAATTCAAAGCAAAAAATTAGTCAAATAAACCTTGTCATTCAATAAATCAACAATATTAGAAACACCACGTTGACTGATTATAGCTTGTTGTACTGAAGTGGGACGATGCCGAAGGAGAGAGGTAAGCAGTTTGATTGTGTTTCTGAAAAAAAATTTCGGTTTAATTCCTCAGGTAAAAATATCGGCGATTAACCCAATTTTTGCGAACTCCTTTTTTCGATTCTGGAAATATTTGCGGACAGCACTTTCGAATCTGCAAATATTTGCGGACACCCTCCTTAAGTTAGCAAATTTTTGCTGACTCCTTTTTTCGATTCTGGAAATATTTGCGGACTCCCTTTTTGAGTCTACTAATTTTTAAGGGATTTTTTGAGTCCGGAATTCTTGCGGACTTTTTTTTTCGTTCTCAAACCTTCAGACACCTTTTTTGGGTTTTCTGTCACTCAAAAGCCCAAAAGCCTCCCTCCTATAAACTAATACCAGGCAGCTTATTATTGTGGAAAGTATATTTTTTATACTTTTACTTGTCCAAAAATGTGACCATAAAAACTGTCCCAATTTGTTGAGGATCATAAAACCTACAAGTACCCCAAAAATTGAAAAAAAAAGCTTTTCACAAACCTCCTAACAGCAAAATCATTACAAGCCAAAAGTTTAACTAAAGAAGCCATAAAATTAGCCCTTTGTAACATCAATTCAGCAAGTCTGTCCCCAATTTCATCATCTGCAGAAATTTGTTGAGGATCATCATCATCTCCCCCAGCTTCCGTTAAAGTACAATCCAAAATATCGAGGGTTAGAGAAACCAAATCAGTTAAGGAAGCATTCTTTTCGAGAACTTCCATAAAGGCATCCATCCCACGTGTGGCAACATGCATACGAAGATTCTAAATAACAAGATATAATGAAATTAGAGAATAGTCAGGTAGCTGAACAGCTGAATTTCAGGTCCAAATCGTGTTAAACAACTAACCTAGGGTGTGGTCTGGAACCCTCAGATACAGACCAAGATGAACTAACCCAGAGTCTGGGACTTAAGTGTAAGGTGCGAGGATCGGTAATAGTTCGGTTCGTACCCCGCACTCTTTTTTCCTTTTAAAAGTATTAAAAATGGTCAGACAGTCTTAGGAATAGAACTCGTCGAGCTGTGTCGAATGACACAAAAATCAACCAATGGTCTTAACTTTGAGCCGAAATACAGACAAAAAGCCTGCGCAAAAGAATGGTTTTGCAAACGCGTCTCACGACTACCAATCGAATTTGCTTGGTTTCACCATTTTATTTTTCACCTTCCGAGTGTCTTATCTCGGCCCAATATTAAGACCGGGGGTTGATTTTTGTGTCATTCGACACAGTTAGACAAGTTCTATTTCTAAGACTGGCTGACCATTTTTCAACACTTTTAGAAAGGAAAAAAGAGTGCGGGGTACGAACTGAACTATTACCCGAGGATCTTATCGAAAAGATGTAATAAAGACCCGGATCTTCAAAAAAAAACCAGCAATCCCCACCCAAACTTAAAAAATAAAATTTTTTTAAACAAACCCTTGCTAACGACCGCAGCGCCCTCAAAGCATCACGCCTATCGTCCAAATTGCTCGCACTTTCCAATCGTTCCACCAATCTGTCAACAATTTCCGCATTTGTAGATTCTCCTTGTGGATCGTCACTTGTAGAGGAGAAAAAATTTTTAAAAATAGACATGTCTAATCAAAAAAGCTTCAAAAAATCTGCTTGAAAATTTTCAATCTAAAATTCTATACAAAAATTTCTGAAGGACTCAAACCCATAAATAACAAAAAAAAATTCTAAAAAACATCATTTTTATCATAAAATATATTTAAAATATAGACAGTATCATTTTAAAAAATTAATCGGCAGTGATTATATTTTTGTTTTGTTTCTGTTACTCAAATGGAATATATAAAATTATATAGAGGCGAGAGAAAAATAAAATAAAAATTACATGAGGAAGAGAAAACATAAAAAGTTAGTATTCGTAGAGAACGTATAGACAACACATAGACTGAATAAAATTAGAGAAAAACAATTATACACATTTCCGGAAAGTTTTTCCGGAATGTTTTTAATAAAATATACTCCAGACTCTAACATTACTAGTCAGAGAAACATGTTTGTTTTGAACAAACAAACCAAACAAACATTTTCTCTAACAAACATTTTCTCTAACCAAAAACATCAAACAACAATAAAAACATTCCGGAAAGTTTTTCCGGAAAGTTTATAATAAAATATACTCTAGACTCTAACACTCCTAGTCAGAGAAACATGTTTGTTTTGAACAGAAAACATGTTTGCTTTAAACAAACAAAACAAACAACATTTGCTCTAACCAGAAAAACATTCCGGAAATGTTTTTCCGGAAAAAACCTCCTTCTTTCCTATACTATTTCTTTCTACTATATTAATTTCTTTACTAATTTTAAACAGTATATATTTAAGCTGCAACATACATCATTATTAAATAGAAAAAAACGAAAAAAGAGGTATGTAGAGGAACGGATATATAAAATAAAAATTGATTGGATATTTAAAATAAAATTAAAAAAAAATTTTATTTAGACCTTTTTTGAATTTTTGAAAAATTCCCCCAAAAATAGAGAGATTTTGGTTAAAAATTTTTTTGTAAAGATAATAAATTTAAAAAATTAGCCCAAATATCATTAAAATTAAAGATTAAAATTATTTAAAATTAAAAATTAAAAGAATCTCTTAAAAATAATTAGAAAAAAAAAATTAAAAATGATCGTTGTGGAGAGGAGTTAAACACCAGAAAAAATACCAAAACTTTAAAAAAAAACCAGAAATAAAAATTGAAAGAAACGAGGGATATAAAAATATATAAGTATTTTAAATAAAATAAAATATATATTTTAGATAAACTGGGATTTCTCTATTGACGTTGTTGTTGTTGTGTTTGTTGTTGTTGTTTTTGTTGTATTAAAGGTTGTTTACTTTCAACTTTTACAACAACATTTGTTGGTGGAGGATTACAACAAGTGTTTGGAGGCAAATTTAAAGAAATAAATGGGGGAGATGTTGATAATGTTGTTGTTGATGTTTGTTGTTTTTGTTGATGTTTTGATGAAAAAGAAGAATTGTTGTTGTTGTTGTTCAAAACATCAGAAGAAAAAAAGTTGGAAATGTTTTTATTAACAACAATGTTTTTATTGGTGTTTTTGTTGTTGTTGTTGCCCCCATAAATGTTTGAGGAAATGTTTGAGGAAATGTTTGTCGAAATGTTTGAGGAAATGTTTGTCGAAATGTTTGTAGAAATATTCATGTTGTTTTGATTGTTTTGTTTGTTTTTATCGATGTTTTCTCCAAACATGTTCGTAGAAACATTGTTGGAAACATTGCTACTGTTTACAAAAGAAGCAGAAGACGAAGAAGAAACATCAACAAAAACATTGTTTGCAACAGACATAGATGTTGGAACACCTTGTTGCTGTATAGCTAAGGAAACAGAAGAAGGTGTAAAATTAAAGTTTAAATGTTGTTGTTGCTGTTGTTGTAATGTTGGACTAACAACATTTTCAAGTTTTGTTGTTAACAATGTTGTTGTCCCTAAAGTACGAAAATGATGTTCATTTAAAGGTGTCGATTTTCTTCCATCAAAATTTGTTGGAGTATCTGGTGGATTATTGTTAGTATTGTTATTTGAATTAATACCAATTGTTTGTTGTTGCTGTTGTGAGGCAGCAACAGCAGCAGAGAGGAAATTTTGCATAATTACATTATCAGTTTTTACCTTTTAATTAAAAAAATAATTTTATAGGATAACAAGACTCAAATGTCCCCTTCCATAAAAATGTTTCCAAACAAACATATAACAAAAACATTGGACACAAAACATTCAGCAAACAACTATGAAACATTCACAAAAACATTTCACAACAAATACGCATGAAAACATTCTAAAAACATACAAGAAAACATTCACACAAGCATAGACAAAAACATTAAAACGTACCCATAAAAACATCTACCCATAAAAATATTCCGAAAAACATCAACAAAAACATCTAAAAATATTCCTAAAAACATGAACAAAACCTCCAAAAAAATGGACAACAACATCCAAAAACATCAACAAAAACATTCCAAAACATCGAACAAAAACATCCAAAAAATTTAAAAAACTACTTGAAAATCAATGTTTTGCTGTTGTTGCTGTCTTGAATTTGTTGATGAAAGAGATGCAAACTTTCCAACATTATCAAGTATAGAGGTTGTTGATGTTGTTGGAATAGAATACAAACTTTTTTGTTGTTGTTGTTGTGATTCTTTTGTACTATTTCTTTTCTCTCCAACACGAGCTTTTCTATCCTTCTCTGCTAATTTTGCAGCGGAGTCAACTTCTAATGCTTTTGCAACAATATCCTAAAAAATAAAAATTTTTTTTAATTAAAAATTTTTTTGATTAAAAAATTTTTTTTAATTCAAAATTTTTTAAATTAAAATATTTTTAAAATTCAAACCAATTTTTAAGTAATTTTCTTCAAAAAGAAATTTTTTTTTATTTTTTTTATTTTTTTTATTTTTTTTTGCTTATAAAATCATCTAATTTTAATTTAAAAAATTTTTTTCTCCTCATTATCCATCTGTATTTTTATTTAATTACTAATATTAATTTATAAATTATTTTTTCTTTCTAGGCAAAATTAATTTTAATATTAAATCTCTTTTTATTAAATTATTTAATTTATTATTATTTTCATCAATTTTATCCTTCAACTAAAAATATTTATTTTTAAATTAGTAAAAAAATTTTTTAAATATTCCGTTTCGTAATTTACCAAAAAAATCTTCGAAAAATGGAAAGAAAAAATAAATAAAATCTCGAAAACCGAAACAGCACAGAACAATGCTTAGACGACTGCTCAACCGAATGGCTACCGAGGCGATCCTTTCCCTTCTCTTTTTTTATGAATTTTTAAACCTCTAGTAAAAAGGATCTTCCCTCCATCTTCCTTCCTTTTTTTACTCTTTCTATCCAAAATTTTAATTAAAAAATTTTTTTCCTCCAAAAAAATTTTTTTAACAAAAAAAAATTTTTTTTAATTTTATCTACCTGAATTTGTCTTTCAATTTCTTCCTGTTTTTTAGGATCTTCAACTTGTTGTTGTTGTAAATGTTTATTTGAATGTGAATTACTTCTTTTATTTAAATTTCCTCCTCCACCTCCACCTCCACTATTATTTCCACTATTATTTAAATTTCTTGTAGGTCTAGGTTTGAATGGTTTTCTTGGACTTGTTGATGGTAATGCTGCGACTTCAGCAACAACCTTTTTTTTAAAAGAAAAAAAATTTTTTTTAATTAAAAATTAATTTTTTTTGAAAGTAATTTTAAATTAATTGAAGTCATTTTAATCTATTTTTTAAATTTTTTTTGATTAAAAATAATTGCAAAAAATTTCAAAAAAAAATTAACAAGTTAAACACAACTACCTAAACCATGACAAAAAAAGTAAGAAAAAAAAATTTTTTTTGATGACCGAGTTGAAAAAATTATTTTTAAAAAATAATTTAAAAAATACCCGAAAATATCCAAAAATAATTTTAAAAAATATTTTTCGAATTAAAAAATAATCAAAACAAAATGACCATAAAATAGGAGAGTCGAACCACCTAACTACATACTACTTTGACCATAAAAAAATTCAAAAAAAATTTTTTAATTACCTCAGCAACAGTAGATTCTCTAGATATATGTTGTTGTACTGTTGTTATAGCTGATTTTTTATTCTGTTGTGATTGGCAAACAAAATTTTGGCTAATTTGTTGTAATGATGAAGAATTTCCTATTGAATGTCTTTGTTGTCGTTGAGAATTTGTTGAAGTATTTAATGAAGAATTTAACTGTTTTAAAAAATTGAAATATATAAATTTTAAAAAAATTTTAGGAGCCTAAAAATATTTTTAAAAAATTTTAAAATCAAATAGGAGACAAAATAGACCAATAAAAAGTCAAATACACCCATAAGGAAACGAACCCACGACTAACGTAACTTAAAGGCGGAAGCGTTACCAACTAGACTACCAACCAACTTAAACAATCTTTTCAATTAAGTTGCTAAATATAAAAGGGAAAAAGGGGGAAATATTGTTTTTAACTAATTAGACCCCCTAAATCCACTAAAAATCTTCAAAAAAAATTTTCTTAATAAAAAAAACTATTAAAAAAACAAACAGAATGATTGCTAGAATTATTAGCCGAATTATTATCACCACCAGAAATATTTGAAAGAGAAGCACTTAAATTTAATCCTCCTCCAAGACCTCCTCCCCCACCAAGACCTCCTCCACCACCAATACTACCACTACAATCCCCATTAATTACTATAGAAGAGGATGAAGGTATATTATTATTAATATTATTATTTTCTGTTGTTGCCAAATTGTCTAAAGTTGACAAAAAATTTTGAACAAAAGGGGCTGTTACATTTTGTGGAATTAAACAATTTAAAGGGCTAGAGGTTGTTTGTTGTTGGTGTTGTTGTTGAGTAATTAATGATGATGATGGAGGACATGATTGTTGAGGAATAGAGGAAGATAACTTTTAAAAAAATAAAATAAATAAATTTTTTATTGGGTAAATTTCAAAAAAAAAATTTTTTCCATATTTTTATTTACCAACAGATTTTCTCCTCAAAAAACTTTTAAGAAGCTGAAACTAAATTAGAGCTTGAAACAAGGATAGGAAACACTCATCGGACTATGTATATAGCCCATTCGTTATAGTTTAATGTAGAGTAACACCTGAGCCTTCGAGGGCGGGGAGTTTTCCGGGGTAGAGCCTTCGTGGTTCGGGTCGGGGTTTCGGGAGGACGGGGTGCTACCCTAGTCTAATACCATTCTAGTTTACTGTCTTAATGCCACGACAAAAACCGAGCTCAAAAATTTCCATCTCCGAGTTATTCCAAGCTTTTCCGCTTTTTTTTCACAATTTTCTAGCATAACTTTCATTAATTAAAATTACAAATAAAACTCACAACAGGACTCATTTGTTGTTGTTGTTGTTGCTGTAAAACAACAGCAGCCGCAGCTATAGGACTTAATTGATGAACAACATTATTTAAAGCTGCCCCAGATGCTATCGACTGTAATGCAGCAATTTCTTGAGGAGCTATAGTATTTAATAACCCAAATTGGGTTATTTGGCTTAATAAATGTTGGGCTGTCAATTGTTGAGAATAACGTTCACGCATTTCATTAATTAATAAATCTAGTTGGTTAGTGACTGTTGATACCTTTTTTTGAAAGAAAAAAAATTTAAATAAAATCCCAGAATTAAAAAAAATAATATTTTCTTGTTTAGGGGGTAGAGTGAAATATCCAAATAAAAAATCTCCAAATAAAAAAATTTCCAAATAAAAAAATCTCCAAATAAAAAAATTTTCCCTAATGTACTCTCCAAAAAAAAATTTTCCCTATTTAGGGAATAAATAAAAAAAATGATAGAAACTAGAGAATGGACTAAATATAAAATCTCATCTCTCAAAAAAAATATAAATATAAAATCTCATCTCAATCAATCAAATCTTTAAGCAAATGAAAAATTTGACAAAAAAATCCTGTGCGGAAATAATTTTATTTTTAGAGAAAAAATTAAAGAAGACTAAAAGAAATGGAAATTTAAAAAAAATTTTAATGATTTTTTCCTAAAAAAATAATTTTTAATTTTTTATTTGCCCCTTACTTGATTAACAGCATTTGAAGACGTCGATGTTTGCTGTTGTTGCTGCCCAATACCAATATTATTATTATTTGTTGGACTCGAACTATTATTTAAGGCATTAGCAACAACAGCTACAGCATTTGCTTGTTGTGCTTGCTGTACTTGAATAGCTAATTGGGCTTGGGCTGCTTCAATTAATTTATGTTGTGTTTGTTGTTGGGTAATTAATTGTAAGGCGAGTTGTTGTTGTAATTGGAAATTCTGATTTTGTTGTGTTTGTTGTTGTTGAGTGTTTGAATCTTCCTCTTCTTGTTTTTGTTGTTGTTGTGAACATTCATTAACTAGACTATCCATGTCTGTATTAAATAATTGCATTTCTCTTTGAAATTCTGACCAAGCATTTAATAACCTTAAAAAATAAATTTTCAAAAAATCTTAAAAATTAAAAAAAATTTTTTTTTAATTAAAAAAAATTTTTTTTATAAAATTTTTTAAATTTTTTATTTAAGACTCTAATGTACTCAGTCAAAAAATACTAGCAAAAACATCCATGTTTTAATAAAACATGATATATGTATCACAACAAAATTTGTTTTAATTTTATTCTGATTTTTATAAAAACAACCAAACAAAACAATTGTTATTTTATTTGTTTGATGTTTTTATAAATGTTTTATTTTTGTTCTGATTGTTGTGTTCCCACAAAAACATTGTTTTTACTAATACATGTTTTAATTTTATTCTGATTTTTATAAAAACATTCTAAACAAACAATTATTTTATTTGTTTGATGTTTTTATAAATGTTTTATTTTTGTTCTGATTTTTGTCCCCACAAAAACTTTGTTTTTACTAAAACAATGTTTTAATTTTATTCTGATTTTTATAAAACATCAACCAAAACATCTAGTTTTTATTTAAACTTGTTATTTTATTTGTTTGATGTTTTTATAAATGTTTTTATAGATGTTTTATATTTATTCTGATTTTTTCTTAATAAAAACATTTTTTAAAACACACCATTTGCGCCTGTCCCCGACACGTTTTTGCAATTCCAACAAACGTGATTGTTTTTGTTGTTGTGAACATTGTTTTTCTGGTTGTAGTTTATTAAAGCTAAAATTTGTTGTTGTTGTTTCTGTTGTTTTAGGTGTTTGTTGTAAATTATTTATTTTCTTTTGCAACATTGTTGTTGTTGTTCTGACCGGTGTTTTATTATTGAAAACAACATTGTTGTTTGCTTCACTTGTTCCACTAGTACTTAAAAAGCGCTTACGACTCTCTGCAGAGTAAAATGTCGAATTTTCCTCCCCCATACTGGAAACTCTTCTTCTTCCACCTTCTTCTTCATCTTCCTCCATTTCTTCACATTCTAAATTTTTTAAAGGAGTAGAATCTAATATTGACCGAAATTGTTCAAAGTTTGTAAAATTATTTGTTGAAACATTATTTTGTTGTTGTTGTTCAGGAAGATGTTGTAGTTGATGTTCTTTATCTTCTTCCTTCACAACAATGTTTTTGTTTGAATGTTTTGAATGAAATTCGTCAAAGAAATTTTCATAAGCGTTTTTAATTGTGTCTGGAAAAATTTTTGAAAATTTTATTTTTACAGATAAATTTTTAAATTGTCAAAATAAAATTTTAAACAAGACTCTAATGTCCACCAAAAAATTTTAAAAAAAAATTCAAAAAAAAAATATTTTTTCCCTACCCAAAAAATTGTTAAGTTCGGGATATTTAGAAGAACAATTGTTGTTGTTGTTGTTGTTGTTGGAATTTTCGTTATTCTGATGTTTTTGTTGTTGTTTTATTGATGTTCTGCAAACATTAATATTTGTTGTTGTTGTTGATGTTTTATCATGTTGGGGAAACGGAAACAAACAATTGTTATTATTAAATGTTTTTAGATGTTTTGAATGGTGAGTTGTTGTTGTTTTAGGGGTATCTTTGTTTAAACAAGAATTATGTTGTTGTTGATTTTGTTCGTCAATGTTTTGTGTTTGTTGTTGGTGTTCGTGTAATTGACGATTAGCCTTTTGGTTGGCTAAGTCGGCTAATATAGAGGCAGCGTCCATTGGTTTGCCCTAGAAAAAAAATTTTTTTAATTTAGAAAAAAATATTTTTAATAATTTTTTTGTCACTAGAATCAAGATAAAAAATTTTAGAAGACGCAAAAATTTTTTAAAAAATTTTTGTCCTTAGAGTCCCAGTCAAAAATCCGAAAAAATCACCATTTGAATCGCACAAGTCATTTGATGCATTAATTCCATTCCATCACGTGCATCTTCAGAAAAACGAGGAATTTTAGGGCTGCTATGATGATGTATATTTGATGAATCAGCAGATTTTCGTGGTCGTCCTCTACTTGCTTTTGTTGTTGTAGTAAATGAATTTATTCTTTCTTTACGTTCATAACTTCGTTTTCCTGTTGTTTTTTGTTTAATTGAAATATTAGAAATATTATTTGTAGGTGTTGATATTTTATCAGGAGAAATTGGCTCTACAAAATATATGTTTTTTTAATTTTACAACGGTACTCAAATGTCATGTATTTTTATCATGTTTTTGTTTTATTCTGATTTTAGAAGAAATGTTTTTAACAAATTCTGATTTTTAATTTTCTTATGTTTTTAAAAAATTCTGATTATAGCTTATTACATATTTTTATTAAATTCTGATTTATGAAAAAATGTTTTTAACAAATTCTGATTACAATTATTTTACTATGTTTTTATTTTATTCTAAAAAAGAATGTTTTAAACAAATTCTGATTTGTAAAAACATTCATGTTTCTCAGATATTCTGATTTAAAAATGTTTTGATTATGTTAGCATGTTCAAATTTAATTCTGATTTTTTTTTTCAAAATTACACAATTTATCCCATCTATTCTCTACCCTCTAACTTATGTTCAAATTTTATTCTGATTTAACAAAAACATAATAATTTATCAATTAAAATCTACCAAAACGTGGTGAAATAATAAGTTGTTGTTCATTAACATTTTTATTTTCAATGTTTTTATTTTCTTCTGAAATTGTTTCAACATTTATTATTTTAGGTGTTGTTTCTTCCACAACATAAGTATTATCACAAACATTCTCAACAACCATTTTTTCTTCCTCAACAAACATGTTTGTCGTTGTTGTTGTTGTTTCTATTTTATTGATGTTTTGTTCAATGTTTTTATTGATGTTTTGTTCAATGTTTTTATTGATGTTTTGTTCAATGTTTTCCTCAATGTTTTCTTCAATGTTTTCTTCTTCTTCTTCTTTTTTAATTGTTGTTGTTTGTTGTAATCTAAGTTTTGGAATTCCTCCCAAATTATTATTGTTGTCGTTTTCGGACATTTGAGTACCTCCGACATTTGAAAAATTCTTAACAATTTTTAACATTTTTGGAATATTATTATTATTAGAAATTGAGGTTGTTGATGAAGATGAGGATAAACTATTTAATTGTTGTTGTTGTTTATTTTTTATATTTAAAATAGCTTTAGCAGCAGCCTTTTTTTCACCTCCTCCCCCTCCATTGCTACTACTACAACTACTTTGACGTCTCTTTTGTTGTTCCATTTCATTTACATATTCAGTCCATTTACGTCGAGTTGTTGGGCCAAAACTTTAATTAAAAAATTTTTTAAGAAAAATTAAAAAAAAAATTTTTAAGTAGACAGGTAAGAGGACCTTCAAGTAAAAGGGTTTTTTGTTGGTTCTCGGAAAAAAGTTTTCGGATATTTAAAACAGGGATGTCACGAGTTATATACGAAACTCTAGTCACGAAAACAGAAAATTAAAATTCGAGAAACCTGACTTGCCGGTATTCAATGCAGCATCCAAAAAAAAATTATTTCCGACTTTTAACTAATATACTTGAACAGGAACCGAGGAACCTAACCGACAACCCTCCCTACCTTACGGATAAAAACCTTTGGATTCCCCAAAACATTTTAACAAAAAAAAAAACCTATAATCCTGTTCATTTTCTCCTCCTCCATTACTATTTAACCGTCCACCTCCTCCAACCGCAGAATTATTGTCAGACGATTTATCCCTACTTGGCGCTCTAGCACAACAAATGCTTGATTCTCTCGAATTTGTTGACGTTTTGGAGGAAGAATTGGGTGTAGAAGAGCGTCGACTGCCTGTATCCGATGATTTGGCACGGAGGGAAGAATTTCGCAATTTTAAAAAATAATTTTCCAACTTGAAAAAAATTTCATTAAAAATTATTAAAAATCTTCAAAAACAACCTTTGTTCTATTTATTGTATGTAAATAATATGGAACATATGCAGAGGTCCAGGAACATGGATTTAAACAAGGTTTCATTTCTGTGACTTCGGTAATGACGGAAATATCTTTAAAAAATATTTAAAAATGAGAGGATGATTTTTAAAAATTAAATTTAAGAAAAAAGTTTTGAGATTAGCCTTTCAACCGAGTGACCATTTTTTACATATATACCGAAAAACTGCCTGGGGGGGAGTAAATAAGTACCGTTTAAGTAAATTAGGCAAGTTGTGTACTGCCTAAAATATCGAATCGGTGGGAGTATTCCCGGTATCGAATCGGAAAAAATCCATTTGCCGAACATCAACCTAAACCATAGAAAAAGCAAAACATTTAGCCTTTAACTAAAATTCGGATTTCTAAACTTGAATATCCTTCCCCATGAAATTGACCCTTCGAAGGGACGGCCTGTAGACTCAGGAAGAATTTTTAAGGTTAGTGAAAAATTTTCAAATTCCTCTTGAATATCGGACGACAATATCAAAAGGAATTTCCAAATCGAAAATCCAAATTTTCCCAAAACTAACTAGCTGCACAACAAAATTAAACAAAAAAATACCAACCATTTAATTGTCTATCAGTAATTGCTCCTTGTTTATTTAACGGCACATAAGGTTTAGTAGAAACAATTTTAGTTCCATCCTTCAAGTCAGAAAGCAATTCTCTTTTAATTCTCGTTTCCAAATCTGATTGAAAGGCATAATTGTTGATAAAAATGATTGAGGCTTCTTCGGTTATAAGTTTTCGATATTCTGTGCTGAGGAAATCGCCATGGAGTAATTCAAAAGGTTGAAATGGGCGGCCAAACCAATTCATTAATCTAAACAAAATTGGGTTAAAAATTGTAGGAAATTGAGTGGAAATGGACGAAAAATGAAGGAAAATAAGGGTTAAAATTGAAAACCGGCCCCTAAAATTCTTGAAAAAAATTTCAAAAATTTTTTAAAACCCCCAAAAAAATTTAAAACCCCCAAAAAATTGATACCCCCAAAAATTTTCAAAAAAAAATACTTTTTAAATTCGTGTTCCAATTTCTTTGCAAATTTTGATGGTAATGAAGCTATTTCTATTCCAACCGCTCTATGAGCTAAGGTTCCACCAGCCATGTGCACAACTAGTTGACCTACTCCACTGCCCAAATCGACAAAAACGTCTTTCTAAAAATTGAGTAATTTACTTAATAAAACAAAAAAGGGAGGTAAAAAACGTTCAAAAAATTTTGGAAATTTTTTAAAAAATTTTCAAAAATTTTTGAAAAATTTGTAAGATCTCAAAAAACAATTTTCTATCAAAACAAAAATAGATGTCAGCCAAAGGATTCGAACCCACAACCTAATTGAAGGGAACCCAAAACCCTCACCATTACACCACCACAGAACACAACATCAAAACAAATAAAATCCCCCATATAATCAATAAAAACAACAAAACAAACTTGTGACGGCTTAAGCTCTTCAATAATCATTTGCATCCGTTCATACGACGTCTCACCATAAGTTTGAGACGAAAAAGCTTCATAATGTTTATTCAAAGCTTTTTCATTGTCCACAGCTTTGTTATAACATCTTGTAATTATTTGGTGAAGTAATTCTTTGCTTGCATTTTGGGAGGATTTTGAAGAATTTTCCTTCCTCTAAAAAATTTTTTTTTAAATTTCAAAAAAAAATTTTATTTACAGTAAGGGCAGTCTCTTTGCTGATTTTGTTAAACTTTTTGGCCAAAGAACGGACTTGGTCATAACTAGAAGAAAAAAATTTTTTTATTTAAGCCAATTTCTTCCAAATTTACTTGAAAACATCAACGCTTTCCAGTTTAGATTTGAGTGGAGTTGCCAAATCTGGAAAGTGAACAAGTGCCAATCTTAAGTTGAAAAATATTAATTTTTAATAAAAAAGACATAATTAAATCCAAAAACTTTTCAATTTTCCCCAAAATCAAGAAAAACGGTAATATGGACATTTGATCCCAAAACTCCCAAGGTTCACGTTTAACAGATAAAAAATGTAAAAACCAGACAAAAGGGATGGCGAAGAGACGTCCAGAACCTCAAATCCTCAAAAAACTAAGAGACTCCCACAAAACTAAGAAGAATCGCAAAAGTGGACATTTGATCCCAAAATTCCAAAGAGTCACGTTTAACAGCTAGAGAATATCTAAACCAGACAAAAGGGTAATGAAGAGAGGCCCAGAACCCCAACTCCTAAAAAAACTAAGAAACTCCCAAAGAAACCAAGAAAATAGCAAGAATGGAGGCAATCCCGGAGAATTGGGGTTTCTTCGAAAAAAAAAGTTTAAAAATAAGAAAAAGGGTTTTTCTAAGGTAAAAAAATACGCTGATTACGAATCTGAACTCGGATTTTGAAAAAGTCGAATCCCGAACCCGAATTCGGAATTTGACCCCGGACATTGTCGGACATAGTACAAAATGGTCAGTCTTCCATATGCAGGTAGAACTCATCGAGATGCATCGAATGACACCAAAATCGATGAAATCCGACATGATTGCACCGAGATACAGACCCCGGAATATTGAAAAACCATAGGGGTGATTTTTTTGAGTAAAAAATAGTTTATGCAAATAATAGCTCATTCGAAAGAGCTCGTCGAGATGAGTCGAATGACACCAAAATCACAGTAATTTATCAAGTTTTGACAAAGTTATGACATAAGTCGCCGACTCCTAAGTACTCCCATAGGTATACTTTATGTCATATCTTTGTCAAAACATGTCCAATCACGTTGATTTTGGTATCATTCGATGCAGCTCGACGAGCTCTTTCGAATGAGCTATCATTTGCCTATTCGAAATCCGGTTTCAGGGTTCGAAATTTGGTTCGGGTTCGGGATTCGACTTTTTCAAAATCCGAGTTCGGATTCGTAATCAGCGTATTTTTTTACCCTAGAAAAATCCTTTTTCTTATTTTTAAACTTTTTTTTCGAAGAAACCCCAATTCTCCGGGATTGCCAGAATGGACATTTAATCCCAAAACTCTTCAGATCACGTTTAACAGATTGAAAATATCTAAACCAGACAAAAGGGTAATGAAGATATGTCCAGAACCCCAATTCATCAAAAAACTAGGAAACTTTCAAGAAATCACAAAAATAGCAAAAGTGGACATTTGATCCCATCTCCCCAAAAAGGTCGATTTCTCACCCCAACCCCTTTAAGAAGCCCCCAACCCAATTCAAAAACTCCAAAACAAACCTAATAATATCCACCACCTCAATTCCAATATTGTTCTTTTCCTTCTCACTCCAATGCCACGAGATTGCAGACCCCCCTATAGGGGAATTTAATCTAATAGGTTTTTTCTCAATATTTGACGACACTGCTGAAGATGAGGTATCAATTAAATTATTATTATTATTTATTTTTTCAACAAAAGAACTAAGAGAAATATGCCCGTTTTGTAAATTTTGTTGTTTTAATTGACTATTATTATTATTTAATTTATTGTTGTTATTAGACAGAGAAACAGAAGAAAGTTTACTGTCCATTTTACACTGCTCTTCTCTATACTCCCCAAACAAAAAATATAAAAGTTGGGCGAAGAGTTTAAAAAAAAGAAGAAGCAACTAAACCAAACCAAAAAACACAAAATTTATGTGTTTTTCTGTTAAAAACACTGAAAAATTAAAAGTGTGACATTATGTAAAAATTTGGGGAAATGGACGTTTTGAAAATTTTGAGGAAAAGAAAATAATAAGGGAAGTTGATAAATTTAAAGTTTTTAACACTTTGAAATTTGACAGAAGAAAGGTCAACGCCAACTTTTCTGGAAACTTTTTCCGGAAACGTGTCTGTACAAAAGACCGGTGCGACAAAAGACCGGAGCGGGTAAAAAGGGTTAAAAGACCAGTCTTTTTTGCCCGTACCGGTCTTTTTTAGCAACGGTCTTTTGTACAGACACGTTCCGGAAAATTTTATGGAAACATAAAAGAGTACATTAGAGTCTAGAAGAAATAGTAGTGTTAGAGAAAGAGAATTTTTTCGATTTTTGAAGAAAAAATTTAACAAAAATTCTAGCTACTCTGGATTACTTTTCTACACTCCCTGGACATCTTTCAAAAACTCTGTCCGGGTAGATAATTTAATTTAACCGAAGAAAACAACAAAAAACACGTCCCTAAAACACACAAAAACGTGTCTAACTTTAAAAGTTCCCTACAAATTTTCAGCATAAAGTATAAAATTAAAAAAGTACAAAAACAACACATTTTTAGCAATATTTTCATTTCTACATTTTAGCAAAAAAAATGGATTGGTTGGGAAAAAATTTTTTTTATAAAAAGGGGAAAAGCAAAAAAAGAGGGGAAGAAAGAGCCGGAATAGCAAGTAGAGTAGAAGCAAGTAGACAAAAATCAATTTTTGTCTCTTTTTTTCTTCTCTTCAAGGATGTTTGAGTTGATTGGTTGTTTGTGAAAATGTGGGTATATTTTTATTTGTTTTGTTGTTTAAAAGGAATATATGGGGGAGAGAAAGGGTAAGGCGAAAGTTGACAGACGATTTGTGGGGAGGAATAGAGAGAGAAAACCTTCCCTTCTCGTCATAATAATATTTGAAAGGTAGAGCAAAATCAATCGAATCGACACAACCATACTTTCCAAAAACAGGGAATACCCAAAAGATCGAAAATTTGAAAAACAAAAAATATTTTCCCCCAACCGGACTCGAACCCACGACCCCTTTAGGGAGGTACCCTAAAGCTTTCCCACTACACCAAAATTTACACAACAACAAAACAAACCAGTAATGCCTAAGTAACATTTTCAAAAAACCAATAAATCGAAAATTTCAGGAAAATAAAAAATGTTTCCTCCAACCGGACTCGAACCCACGACCCCTCTAGGAAGGTACCCCAAAGCTTTCCCACTACACCAAAATTTACACAACAACAAAACAAACCAGTAATGCCTAAGTAACATTTTCAAAAAACCAATAAATCGAAAATTTCAGGAAAATAAAAAAATGTTTCCTCCAACCGGATTCGAACCCACAACCCCTCTAGGAAGGTGCCCAAAGCTTTCCCACTACACCAAAATTTACACAACAACAAAACAAGCATGTAATGGCTAAGTAACATTAATGTGACTTTAAAAAAGCGGCAAATTGAAAAATTTCAGGAAAAGCACTGACTCAAATGGTCATTTTATCTAAAATCGGTAGGTGACCCAAAAGATCAACGCCCTTCAAAATTGATTTTTTTAGAGTTGATCTTTTGGATATACCCTTTTCTAAATAATAATAGTAAAGCAGTAATAGTAGTAAAATGTATTTGCCCGTATAGTTTTGAGAGAAAAGAGCAGCACAACAAACAAAGGAGAGGGGAAAAATGGACCAGTAAAATATTAGTAAGTACAGTCGTCGACATAAAGATAGGGACAAGAGTAATTTAATTGAAAATTAACTATTTTTCAGTCAAAAAATACGTTCTATATATCAATCGAAAGCTCTATTCGTATCTCAGTTGACATGTTTCTGCATTTTTCATGAAATTGAAAATTGGCCGAGATAATCCGGATCTACCGGATATACCAAATCCCATATCCTCGGGAAAATTTTTCTGAAAAAATTTGACAAACCCAGTTGATAAAGCATATTTTTGTGAGTATAATCCACAAAACCGCTTAAAAATATCTTTTTCCAGTCCTGAGATATGATTTTTTGAAAATGGCATTTTTAGCCTATTTTTGCAAAAAATTCAATTTTTAAGGGAAAAATGCCAATTTCAAAAAATCATATCTCAGGACTGGAAAAAGATATTTTTAAGCGGTTTTGTGGATTATACTCACAAAAATATGCTTTATCAACTGGGTTTGTCAAATTTTTTCAGAAAAATTTTCCCGAGGATATGGGATTTGGTATATCCGGTAGATCCGGATTATCTCGGCCAATTTTCAATTTCATGAAAAATGCAGAAACATGTCAACTGAGATACGAATAGAGCTTTCGATTGATATATAGAACGTATTTTTTGACTGAAAAATAGTTAATTTTCAATTAAATTACTCTTGTCCCTATCTTTATGTCGACTACTGTATGTAGCAGAAGGCAGTCGCCGACGTTTTTGGTTGAAGAAGAAAAAATCGATAGGAAGAAAAAGCGCGCCGTGTCGTCGTTGAAGTTTTTTTATCGCTTATTTTATTTTTTATTCAGAAAATGGGGAAGTTTTTGAAAAAAAAATAGAGGGGAAAAATTTTTGCAGAAAATAAATAAAAATAAAAATTATTGCTTTGGAGAGGCTCTCTCATTTTAACAAAAAATAATCAAAAAAACTTCCCAAAAATTTAAAAAATCAATTGAATCGACACAACCATACTTTCCAAGAACAGGAAATACTCAAAAATGTCGAAAATTGAAAAATAAAAAATATTTCCCCCAACCGGATTCGAACCCACGACCTCTTAGGGAGGGTAACCCAAACTTTTCCCACTACACTAAAATACCTACTACACCAAAAAATCAATTGAATCGATCCAACTCATTCCTTCTAAAATCAAATAATACCCAAAAATTGAAAAACTCGAAAAATAAAAAATATTTCCCCCAACCGGACTCGAACACACAACCTCTTTGGGAGGGTAACCCAAACTTTTCCCACTACACTAAAAATCAAGACAAAAATCTAAATAAAATTTTTAAAATAAAATACCCACATCAATCAATTTTAAGAAAAATAAAAATACAAAAAAAATATTTTTAAATTTTGCCCTTTTTAAAAAATGTGTTTTCGATAGCCAAAAGGCGCGTGTCTGCACTTTAATTAATTAATTAAAGAGCAAAACTTAAAAATGCCTCCGTGGTGTAGTGGGAAAATTTTTAGATTTTAAGAAAAGAGGGGGTTAATTGTTCAAGTCCGGGCCGTAGAAGAGATTTTTTAGAATAAAGGACCTCCTTCGGTAATTTTTAAATAAAACAGAATATAATCAGAAAAAAAATCAGAATAAAAATCAGAAAAAACCAGAACATTCAGAATAAAATCGGAAAAAGTCGGCTTACAAATCAGAAGAAAAATCAGAAAAATCATCAGAAAAAAAAGAATAAAAACCAGAACATACAGAATTAAACCAGAACAAAAAATCAGAACACTCAGAATAAAAATCAGAACAAAAATGAGAAAAACCAGAACATTTAGAATAAAAACCAGAACAATCAGAATAAAAATCAGAATAATGATCAGAAAAATCATCAGAAAGTCGGAATAAAAACACGAACAATTGGAAACCCCTACAAAAATAATAATCAGAATAATGACAAAGAGGGAGATTAAAAGAAAAGATAAAGCAGAAACCAAAGCATAAAATACATTAAATAAAATTAAATAAATAAAATCCATTAGCGGTCTTTCTTTATTTTTGCACTTTAAAAATAAAAGGGTATTAAAAGCAACATCGACAAAAAAAATTTTTTTTCAATAAAAAAAATATAATAACGCTAACGCCTTTAAAAATTAATATATTTTTTAGTCAATAACGTCCACTTCCCCCCCCCCTTTCCTTCCCCCTTTTTTTCCTTTTTTTATTAAAAAAAATTTTTTTTCTCTCCACACAAACACTTACACACTATCATCTGCAGATCCCCTTCCTTCTCCATTTCTCTCTCCCTATTCCCCTTACAAGAAAAAAAATTTTTTTTTCTCTCCACACTAATATACACACTATCATCTGTCACATCCTTCTTATATTCTTCTAACTCTCTCTTCCTTTCTCCTTTGCGTGAAAAAAAAATTTTTCCTTCTCTCCACACTAACACACACTATCATCTGTCACTACCCCTTCCTTCTCCTTTTCTAACCCTCTATTTTCTTCCCCTTCAAAAAACTCTACCCCTCTAATTCCTTATATTCTCTTCCCTTTACAAGAAAAAAATTTTTTTCTCTTGAATAAAAATAAATTTTAAAAGCGTTTTGCTGTAGCTGCAGCACGCGAAAGCGGCAAAGAAAAAAACGCACGCAAGGAGGCAAAAAAAAGCAATAATATAAAATTTAATGGCTACGTGGCTGGCGTGTTTTATTATAAGCAGAATTAGGGCGTTTGAATGGGTTTACTCCAAAATATCAACAAACCCCTCAAACAATATTTAAAAGGGGAAAATTGGTAAGTTTCGAAGGTATGAGCCTCTAGTGTCCAAAAACTACAACTTATCCAATACCTCTAAAAATTCTACAAAATCGGGATGAGAGAAAGAGCTTGGAATGTGAAGGAAAGGAGGTGGAAATATTGAAAAACAACAGGGAACTAATAATAAATCAGAAGATTCTGAAAATCTCTATAGAAATGGAGAAGCCAGAATAAAATCAGAATAATTAACAATTGATCAGAACATCCACAAAAATCAGAAACAAACCAGAAAAAATCGGAAATTCTGAAAAAACCAGAACATTCCCAAATATCAGAACAAAATCAGAATCAGAAAAAATCAGAACATACCAGAACTGCCAACCAGCCAGAACAAAACCAGAACTTTTTGAATACCAGAATAAATCAGAACAAAAACCAGAAACAAATCAGAACAATTGTAGCCAATCAGAACACAAATCAGTACATAACACTGAAAAATCAGGAAAAAAAATTATAAAAAAAAGTTGATCTTCTGGGTATCAACTTTTAACCGACGCCACACAAAACACTCCACCAACCAACTCCACCAACTATTCAAAAACAAAAATCGATTAATTGACGCTATAACCACCACCTAACTACCCACTACTCTTAGTCGTCATCTACAAATATTATTAAAAACATAAAAAGCCCCTTGTGACAGCCGCCTAAAAGAAGAAAAAAAAAGTGGGGAAAAAATGTTGAATTTTATATATAAATGTACTGGAAAAAAGTAAAGAAAATTTTCCCTCTCTCTCTCTATGTAGTTGTTAAAAGAGGGGATTTAATAAAATTATAAAAAAAAAATTTTTTTTTGCAAATTTTGCAAAGACACTCCTTCAAAACTGTCCTTAAGAGTTTCCAGTAGAGGTGGACATGAACATTTTTATCAAAAATTAACCGTTTTAGAAAATTAAAAAAAAACCGGAAATTTCTAAAAATGCGTGATTTTATTAAAAATTCCCCCAAAATAAAACCGGGTTTTCCCCCAAATAAAATCTAAAACCGAAAACCTTTGGGGTACCGGTTAATAACCATTTTTGTCCAATTTTAGTTTCTAGTCAAAAATTTAAAAAATTGAAATTAAAAAATCCAAAAAAATTTTCAAAAGTTTTTCAACAATTTATGGCTACTTGGAAAAGCCCGTCGTCATTATAACTAAACAAAACACCAAATAAAACAATAAAAATTAAAAAAAACCTTTGCCAACAAAAAAAAATTTTCTTTCCTTCCTTCTCTCTCATTAATTCCTTTTATTTAAACCTTATTAAAAGCCACAACATCAACAGATTGAACCAAATCTTCAAATCCACGAATTTCCTCTTCAAGCCAGTCTGTTGACACTTTCTCGTCTTCGACACAACAACAAATCTGCAATTTTGAAATTATAAAAAGGAATTGAGAAACTGATTAATGAAAGAAATCATTTTTTGGGAGTGAGATTAGAGACAGAATCCACAGACCTTAACCCAGTCCTTACCCTCGAGTTCTAAAATATTAAAGCTGCTTAAGTCTGTCTATGCGCAAGAAATCCTAGCTTTGACGAAGACCAAGCTCAATTTCTAGTAGGGGAGGTGTGAGGGAAGGGTAGTGTGTTGAGGTAGAGACAGGCTTTAACCAGTTTCAGAGACCGACTTAAGCAAGTTTATGAGCCTAGAGTTGAACACAAGACAAAAAAAAATTTTTTGACCGGTGAAGCAAAAGGCAAACGGAAGGAATCTCGAAAAAGGGAAAGAACCCTTTAAACTCAAAAAAAACCTGAAGTTTATTAATTCCAAACGCAACAGGTTCAATTTTAGAAGCACCCCAAACAAGTCCATCTGTCGCAATTGAACGAACATTTTTCTCCATTTCTTTAAGGTCAATTGTATCGTCCCACCTTCAAAAAAAATTTTTTCTTTCTTTTCAAAAAATAAAAAAAAACAAACGGTTTAACGTCATAAATAACATTTGATTTGGCAATAACTCCGGGCTTTTTAGCCTTCTTTTCAGCATAAGCCTTCAGCCGTTGCTCCGTCAATTTCTTCTTTTCCTCATCGTCAGATTCGTCGCTTCCGAACAAGTCAAAATCGTCGGCCTGAAATTTTTTTAATTCCTTCTCTTATTTTGAATTTACCGCCGCTGCTGGTTTAGGTGCTTCCTTAGGCGCCTCCTTTGGAGTTGTCGTCGTTGCTTTCGGTGCTGGTCCAGAACCGCCAGAACCACTTTTTGGCCAACTAAAAAAGAGATTAACATTTTCATGAAAATTGGTAATACTGAGGGGACGGGCTGGGGTAATTTATTAAAGGCCATAAATCTTTCCTAAACCACAGGTCAAGGAAACCCGTGAAGCTCGAAAACTGACAGGATATAGGCTCTGGTACAGGGCCGTAGTCAGGATTCCGCTTTGCTACGGCCTTGCTCTGGTATAGAAAACCCAACCTAAAACAGACCCATCTCAAACTCTAAAATTTATTAGAGCAAATCTCCATCTTCCGGTAAATCGACTACCAAATAAAAAAAAAAGCTTACGCAGTCTGCTCCGCATCAGAAAAGCTTTGCATATGCTTGAACCAGCGAGCAACGTGAGGATATTGAGCAGAAATAGTAGAAGACTTCAAAACACCAAAAACATAACTATCCTCAGTCGAAGGCAGAAACCCTTTGAGATAACCACGAGTAGCCAAATGCTCATTCAACTGTTTAAATTGTTCTTCTGTAGAAGGAGCGCCATTGAGAAGACCGTTAAAGTCAGCCATTTTATTTGCTTTTTATTGAAAATAAATCGAAAAAAAAGTCTAAATAAAAGATTAAAATTGATTAGAAGGGAAAAATGGGGGAAGGGCTTCTAAGGGTTTCAGGCGCGTTTTTGCTTAAAACGAAAAATAATTAAACACCAAACTATCACTAAGCCGAGTAACTAAAGATCAATATGCTTCAATAGACTATAGAAAAGCAAATAAGGAATTGCAAAATAGCAAAATTTGAAGAAAAACCACGTAGTTTAATTAACCAAAACATTTCTAAAAATTTCAAAACTAAGAGAGAACACGCAAAAATAAGAGAGACACAGAGAACAAAAGAAAAATAAAATAGTTAACAAAATGACATTATTATTTCTTTTTCGACATTTTGAAATAATTTAAAGTTTATTTTTCAAAATACCTATTTTATAAATGGTTAAATTTCTACAACAGCTGACTCTTCTTTTTTCTCTGGGGTATTTCTTTGGTTTTTTCGATTTTTTTTTTCAGTTTTTTTCTATTTCAGATATTTTTTAGTATTTTTACTATTTTATTAATTATTTGAAGACTATTTTAAACCTATCTTCTTCCTTTAATGGATCTAGCAGCGACTTCTTCTTCAGCCCCAGCCGTTGCCAGTCCAGCAATTGAGAAGGCGCGTGAGAAGCAGCGACGTAGAATTTGTGAAGCTATTACTGGGCTTAAACCGGAGGACCAAATTGAATTTTTGATTAGTCGTTTGGCCGAATCGGATGTTTCTACTGGCGAGCAGAAGAAAGAATTGGAGCAAACTAAACGAGAAAATGGGAAATTGAATTTGGTTTTTTTTTAATTTTTTAAATTTAAAGACACTTTTTTAGAAGCTCGATTCTGTTCAAAAAATGTTAAGCAAAGCAGAATTGTCCAAATCCAAGTTGGAGCAGTTATGTCGTGAATTGAGCAAAGCTCAACGTGAGGAGAAGGAAGCTAATCAAATGAGGTTTTTCTTTAAATTTATTTTTTTTTTATTTTTTATGATGGAGGGTCAAGGGATTAGCTTGTCTATTTTCCAAGTTTTTGTCTTTTAAAATCCACAGGTTGTTCGCAATGTACACAAAAGAACCTCTGCCCATATAATTTTGTTTCGAGCGAACTTTTTTTTTAGCGCCCAAGGGAAAACTTTTGAGAATTTTATAAGGCCTTAGGCAATTTGCTTGTTCCTTCTCACAATCAGAGGCTTTTCATTCTGGAGCCTTTATAAATTCTTATTTAAAAAATTCTTGACTGTTCCATTGACACCTTTCTAGACTTGGACTCTTCCATTTCGCCTTCCGTTTTTTTCGGCACAACCCTGTTCTAGACCCTTTTTTTGACGTCCATTTCATTCTCTAAATTTATTTCAAAACATCTCTTTTTTAGACTTAAACACATCCAAGCAACCCATGCAGATACCGTCGAATCCTTCAAAAAATCGTTGGCAGATATTCAACATTCTGTCGAATCTAAACAAGAGCATAGCAAGCGTGTTGCTGATGTTGAAAGACTTTCTACTAATTTGAACCAGTTTTTTTTTAATTTATTTTTTAATTAACAAATTTTTGTTTTAAAGAATGGCTGCTGATTATGAGACACGTTTAAATGATATTAAAAAATTGGTAAAAAAATTTTTTTGTCGTTTCTAGTAGAGATCGTGAGTTTTGAAAATCCTGGGCTTATTCCTGAACTTATTCCGGGTTTGATTTATTAACCTGGGCCAGATTCTGGGTCTGTCCAGGAAAAACCCAGGCCCAGGAAAAACCCCAGGAAGGTCAAAAAATGCCTGGGCCTAGATTCTGGGTACAGGAAAAATCCCAGGCCTTGGTCCCCCCAGCTCACCTAGAAAATTAAAAAAAAACTTTTTCAATTTTTTTTCATTTTTTGTCGTTTCTACCACTTAAAAATTCAAAAAAGAATTTTAAAAAAATTAAAAAAATTTTTTTCCTTTAAGTATGACGAACGCGATGCAGATTTGGCAAAGATAGCTAGCGCCAAGGATAAGGAATTGGGCCTCATGCGAGTACAAATCGAAGAAATGCAGAAACGTGTGAGTGAAGTATTTAGTGAAAATGTTCAGTTAAAGAAGCAGGTTTTTATAAAATTAAAAAAAATTAAATTTAATCCCCCTTTAAAGTCATTAAATGATGAGACACGTTTAAAGGAGTCAGTTGAAGCAGAATTAAAAACACGCCAATTATTGGATGAATATGCGCATAAATATGCTGCACTTACCGAATCGTTGTCTAGTACTAACGGGTAAATAAACAAACTTGTTTTTATTGAAAATAGAGCATGTTTTTCCGGAAAGGTTTAGAAATGTTTTCTTTTCGTGTTTTGATGTTTTTCCGGAAAGTTTGAGTTCTGGAAATGTTTAGGAATGTTTTGATGTTTTAATGAAACATTAAAAACATTGGTTCAATGTTTTTCCGGAAAAGTTGCAGGGTGTTTTTCATGTTTTGATGTTTTTCCGGAAACATTTACTAGTTGTTTTTAAAACATCAAAACATGAAAAACACATTGCAACTTTTCCGGAAAGAAAAGTTTCTAATGTTTTTCCGGAAAGGTTTAGAAATGTTTTTTTCGTGTTTTGATGTTTTTCCGGAAAGGTTTAGGAATGTTTTTTTCGTGTTTTGATGTTTTTTCCGGAAACATTTTAGTTGTTTTTAAAACATCAAAACATGATAAACACATTGCAACATTTCCGGAAAAGTTTCTAATGGTTTTCCGGAAGTTTCTAATGTTTTTCCGGAAAGATTTTATTATTCTCTCATGTTTTGACGTTTTTCCGGAAAATATATTTTAATGTTTTCCGGAAAGTTAAAAACATTTATGTTTTCCGGAAAAAGTTTGTTGTTTTTCTGATGTTTTTCCGGAAAAAAACCAACTCTTACTTAATAAATGTTTTCCGGAAAATTTAAATTACCCATATTTTCAGTTCGTTTGACAACTTAAAAGAACAAATGTCTAAAATGAACGGAACAATGATTAAAGTGCAAGGGGACGCTAAAAAGTGGAGAGAACAGGCTGAGGCTGCGAATAAGTAGAATTTTTCTAAAAAATAAATTTTAATTAATTTTTTAAAAAGATTGGCTACTTCATTGAGTCTTGCAAAAGTAGAAAGTGATAATTTGTTGGCTTTTAAGAATCGTCAACTGGCTCAATTACAAGAACTTTGCCGTCGTTTGAATAAAGAAAATCGGGGAATAGATAAAAATAGTAAACCGAAAAAAATTTATTTTTGAATTTTTAATTGATTTTTAAAGGTATGTCTTCCAACGACAACGAAATTGGGGAAAAAGGAAAGGAGGAGAATGAAGAGGGTGCTTCTACTAGTAATGGAGCTGAGGAAGGAGAAGGGGGAGAGGAAGGTAAAATTGAGGAGAAAGTTGCCCAGATTGACTTGAAAGAGGAAATCAAGGAAGAGAAAAAAGAATAAAATGAAATATTTTTTAAAAATATTTTTAATAGTCAAAGGCCATAAAAATATATAAAAATACCTTTTTTCTTTATGTGCTCAAACATGCTTTAAGCTTTTTAAATTTACCTTTGATATGTTTGCCAAATTAAATACAGCTTGAATATTATTATAAAAACAATGTTTTTCTCCCAGAAAATTATGAAATAAACATTGATATTATGTTTTTGTGTTTAAATGTTTTTATGAATGTTGGGATGTTTATTCCACTGTTAAAATGTTTTCCGGAAAACAAATTTTGTTTTAATGTTTTCAGGAAAGAAACGAACTTTGTTTAAATAAAATAAATGTTTCCCGTAATGTTGGGAAATGTTTCCCGTAATGTTTTCCGGAAAGTTGGGATGTTTGTTTTGTTTGTTTGTAGAAAACAAACTTTGTTTAGATGTTTTCCGGAAAATAAACAAATTATATTTAAATTGTTTTTCCGGAATCTGGGAACATCTAAAAACATTTGTTTGTATTAAAATGTTTTTGCGGAAATAAACAAGTTTTCCGGAAGGTCATAAACATTTAATTGTGTTCGTCAAAACATTGAATAATTTTTATTCCTTTTCACTGGGGTTATAAAATTAAAAAAAGAATCCAATTTTATATAAAAATCGGAAAATATAAGTATATTTATGAGTATCACTTTTAGAGATCAATTTAAAAGATTAATTAGAATTTTTTTTAAATTTAATTTTTTTTTTTGAAATTTTACTTCTTTTTTGGTAAATGGTTTAAACCTGCACCGCTACTCCATCGATAATTTGGAGGGCCAGCAGAAAAACAAGCATTTTCTTTTAATGTTTGCCCTCCAGTTTCAGTCCAATACATTAAATAAAAGTTACACATTTCATCTTCCCCAGTAGGGCCGATCTTGATTATTCGTTTTTCATTGTTGTTTATAGTGCAACGAGCAGCCAAAATATCCTTAAAAATAATTATTTTTGTTTTAGGAATGTTGGAATGTTTTCCGGAATGTTTAGAAAATTGTTTTAGAGTTTTCCGGAAATTGAACATCGATTTATTATTCTAAATGTTTTCCGGAAAAATGTAAACATGTTTTTCCGGAATGTTTGAAAAATAAATGTTTTCCGGAATGTCGTAAACTTGCTTTTCCGGAATGTTTTAAATAATCATATGTTTTCCGGAAGCAATATTATAATTATTAAATGTTTTCCGGAAAGTTGCGAACTTGTTTTTTCCGGAAACAATATTAAAATTAAATCTTTTCCGGAAAAGTGTAAACATGTTTTTCCGGAAGGTTTTAAATAATTATATGTTTTCCGGTAACAATATTAAATTTTAACGTTTTCCGGAAAAGTTCACCATTATTTTACAAAAATATATACCCCTTGTGTAATAACTATTGACTGATTTACAACAGGCTGGAAAAGTTGAGGAAGCTGAAAATTCATTTTAAAATTACAAAAATATTCGAAACTTAACTACCTGTGGATTTCTATTTCCCAGTAGTGTCCATTTATCCTGTCCAGTCAAAGGATTTTCTTGGACTAACCAGCCATGTACGTTAGTTCCATGTCTATGAGTGTGAACACGGAAGGCGAAAGGATGTAATTCAACGTCTTCATCAACAACACACGCTACTTCTAGTTGCTCTAGAAAAAAAAAATAAAAAAAAAACTTTTTTTGACTAAAATTTTTTACAAATTTTTTTTGAAATTTCCAAAAAATTTTCAAAAATTCGCAAAAAAAATTTTTCAAAGTTAAAAAACACATGAAACACTCGAAATCAACATTCTAGACAATCTAACATAACATAAAAAAGATTCAGGTCTTACCCAGATTTGAACTGGGGTCGCTGGATTCAGAGTCCAGAGTGCTAACCGCTACACCATAAGACCGTTAAACTAACTTTCATTTATTTAGCTTTTAACATTTACTCTTTTTTTCTTAAATTCTTTAAATGTTCTAAGGGAATGGGAAAAAAGTTTTTTAAGCAACTTAGATATTTTTTAAAAGTCTTTAAAAAATTTTTAAGGTTAGAAAAATTTTTTCAAAAAATTTTTTTCTCAAAAAATTTTTAAACTAAAAAAATTAATCTCCTTTACCGGTCTTCTTAGGCGCCATCCTACCGTCAGTTGCCAACAACAAGGTGCCTGCCATTCTAGGTTGAGGCTCCTCTGTGTGAAGCAACCTAACTCCAGAATTGTCTTCTCCCTTCATTTGGTGCATATAATGTACTTGAAGCACCAAAAATTGGGATTTTGCTTCACCACCAACACGGAAACCGACACCTTGAGAAAATTAAGTCTTTTAAAAAACTATTCTAAAAACACCTTTAGGCAAGTTAAGCTTCGGAGCGCCTCGAGCCCAAGCATAGATAATGTCTGGTTGAGAGGCGCATACAGGGGAACGAGAATATCCGGCGTCCGAGGATGACATCTCTCCACAGTCCCTTCAAAACAAATAAAATTATAAACTTGTTTTGAACATTTAATTATTGAAATGAACAAAACATTGTTTGAAACAAACATTTGTTTTAAACATTTGATTATTGCAATGTTTAAACAACAAAAACATTGTTTAAAACAACAAAAACATTGTCTGAAACAAACATTTGTTTTAAACATTTAATTATTGCAATGTTTAAACAACAAAAACATTGTTTGAAACAAACATTTTTTAATAAAAACTTTGATAAAAACTTTTTTCAAAACATTTTTAAAATGTTTTGATTAGCAAGTTTATTTAAAACATAAAAACATCTTATTTTAAGTTCTGAACATTTTTAAGTTTCCAACTTTTTTTCGAACATTGTTTTTCTCTCAAACATTTAAAACTTAGTTTCTAAACATTTTTCCAACTTTGTTTCAAACATATAAACCCTAAACAAACATTACCAGGCAGGTTCATCGCTTCCAGGCATTTCACAACCAAATAGAAGCATGTGATGGATCTGGTGTTGGTTTGCAAGGGGTTCAAAGGAAACTAAATAATTTAAATATTAAAAATAATTTTCGTTCCAACCAATATAATGTTCCTCGTCAGCATCTAACGGAAAAGCAGTACATAAATAAGTATCGTTCTTTTCGATCCGAACACTTGGCATTCGAAGATCTGTTGATTGAATACCTTCGGGAAGGGTTTGTTGTTTTTGTTGTGGATTCTCATGGTTAAAATGAAACCATGCGAGACAAGGGTAGGTTATTGATAGAGACAGTAAAAATATTGTTGGAAAAAACATTTTATCTAAACAATCAAGGTTTCCGGAAAAGTTGTTAACGTTTGTTTTTGTTTGAATGTTTTCCGGAAAATTGGAAAATATTTCTGCTTTAAATGTTTTCCGGAATGTTGGATATTTCTCCCATTGTAAATGTTTTCCGGAATGTTGTCAACGTTTGTTTTGTTTGGATGTTTTCCGGAATGCTGGAAAAACATTTCCCAAGTTAAAGGTTTTCGAAACATTCTTCTATCTTAAATGTTTTCCGGAATGCTGGAAAAACAATTTAAACATTCCGGTGTTTTTGTAAAACACTCTCTTAATTCCCCCGTTTTTTAAGGACTAAAACATCATTAAAACATGCGCGCTCAAAATCAATAGAACAAAAACCAGTGGAGAAAAAGCCGAATAAGCATTTTCCCTGTGGCACCGAGGCAAATGCTTAAACTCTCGCGTACATTAAAAGCAAACGAAAAAATGTAAAGAGAGAAAGCCTACTAAAAAGAATAAAGAAAAGCTTACATTTATTTGGCTTTATCCCTTAAAAACTAGAAACTAATCGATTAGAACTACACGGCATTTCTTCGCAATTCCGAGAGTAAGTAAAAGCCGAAAAGAGAAAAAAAAATTTGTGTCACGTCAGAAAAAAATAACGGAAATAAAAAATCTAGTTCAAAAATTTTCTAAAAATTATTGTAGTATCTTTGTTGTCAAAAAAAGAATTTATATATATATGTATACACTACAAAACTTTGTTTGGCTTAAAATAAACTTACTTAAAATAAACTTACTTGAAATAATTTAAAACTTGTGTATGTTTTAATTGTAAAGTTGTAGAGTAAACTTTTCTCCAAACATAGTATTTATGTTTACAGGAAACAAGTTTTATATATTACCAGATATTTGAATGTTGTTCCGGAAATTATACATGTTTTCCGGAAAAACAAAGGATGTTTGTTTTAACGTGTTCACCAACAAAACATTCGAACATTCTTTCAAACTTAGATGTTTCTCCGACAAAACAAAGGATGTTTTGTTTAGACATTTACACCAACAAAACATTCCTTCCGGAAACTTTACATGTTTCTCCGGAAAGAATAATTAGATGTTTGCTTAAGTGTTCACTAGAAAAACATTCCTTCCGGAAATTCTACATGTTTTCCGGTAGAACAAAGGATGTTTGTTTTAACGTGTTCACCAACAAAACATTCCTTCCGGAAACTTTACATGTTTCTCCGGAAAGAATAATTAGATGTTTGTTTAAACAATTTAAAAGGAAAACATTACTTAATAAAACAAACAGAGATTTATCATAAAACCGGTTTTCAAGTTTTAATGACCAAATTTCGAAATAAAAAAATAAAAGAGGAATATGTTTAAAATAATTCGAATAAAAGCAAAAAAAAGTTTTAAGAATGTAATATAAAATGGAGGGATAAAGAGGCAGAAAAATGTCAGAAAAATTTTTTTTCGATAAGTAGGGATGCAATTTAAATTTTTCAGAACTTTAAATATTATTAAAAATAAAATTATTTTGGGAAAAAAAAATTTTTTTTTAAATTAGAATCTTGTAATAAGTAAATTTGTGGAATCTTCAGTTTGTGAGCTATTATTTTCGAAATCATTTATTAATTTTGTTGGATGTTGGTTATTTTTCTCTAAATTTACTAGTAATGTGACATATTCTAATCGTGATCGGAGCTGAGAGCAAATACGCCTTAAAAATGAAGAAATGGTTTCTGGGAATTTAACAAAAATGTTTACCGAAAACTTAAGTTTTAAGAATTCGAAATGTTTTCCGGAAAAACCTAAGTTTTAGAAATATAGATGTTTCCAGGAAAACTTAAGTTTATAAAATTAAAATGTTTTCCGGAAAAACTTAAGAAATAAAATGTTTTCCGGAAACTTGTTTTAGAAAAGTATGTTTCTGAAAAAATGGAATATTCTAGAAATATAAGCTTAACGGAAACTTGAAATATTTAAATGTTTTAGAAAAATAAAATGTTTTCCGGAATGTTTTTGTATAATTTCTCAACATACCTATAACGAATAAGTTCGGCTAACAATTCAGCATTTTTCCTCTCCTCTTCTGCACAAAGTTGTTCCCAATCAGTATTATCGTCTTTTTCTCCATTTCTTTGTTCCTTGTTTGTTTGGCTTCCAACATGTTGTTTATTGTTGTTGTTGGGAACAATATATTTTAATGGTCGTTGTTGCGATAAATTGTTTGTTGCCTTTTGCGACTCTGTTAACAAGTTTTGTTCAGATTCTGGTAATTTATTCCTCAACTGCAAAATCTAATCTTATGTTTTTTTAACATTAAAAATTAAATTTTTTCCTTTTCTTACCTCACGCAACTCAGACAATAACCGAACTATAGCTTTCTTTTCATCACCAATTTCATTTGAAAGTGACAATTTTGAAGCAATTAATTGTTTTTCTAAAAGTTTAGCATTTGTTTCATCAATTTCTTCTTCGTCTTCTTCTTTACAAAATTTTTTTTCTTCATTAAAATTATTTTTTTCTTCAATTTTTTCTTCTTTAGAACAAACTTCTTTAGGAATAGACCCTTCTACTTCTGTCAAATTTTTTAATTTTCTTTTAAGTACAGTTATGCCTGTTTGAACAGCCCACATTTCGTCTTCTTTTTGTTTTAATAAAACTTGTTGATTTGAATGTTGTCGCATTTGTTGTATCTAAAAATATAAATCAAATTCTCTAATTTAATAGTAAAATTATTTTTAAAATTTTTTACGTGTTCGTGCAAATATTCAAGTAAATTTTGTTGTTTAAGTATTTCTTCTTCAATTTGTTTAGAAGTTATAGGCATTTCCAATCGAAGTTCTTCAATGCTTTTAGGCTTAACGTATCTAAAAAACATTGTTTAGTTAAAATATAATTAAGTTTTTAATGTTTTGGAATGTTTTCCGGAATGTTTAAATAATTATAAAGTGTTTAAGAAGTTGTTTAAATGCCTCCGGAAAGTTGTAATTTGTTTACATGTTTTCCGGAAAAATTCACTAACTTAAATGTTTTCCGGAAAAATTCGCTAACTTAAATGTTTTCCGGAAAATTCGCTAACTTAAATGTTTTCCGGAAAATTCGCTAACTTAAATGTTTTCCGGAAAGTTGGAAACATTAATGGAAAATTATGTTTCTGCGTTATTTTAAACGTTTTCCGAAATGTTTGTATAAAAAGTTTACAAGTTTTTGGTTATAAAAATGTTTATTATTTCTTATTTTCCGGAAAAAGATGTTTTTCCGGAATGTTTTAAAAAGTTTTAGTTACGTGTTTTTAGTTAAAAAATGTTTCTTATTTTCCGGAAAGGAAAATTCAACGACTTAAAAGTTTTCCGGAAAAACATTTAAAAAAAATTATGTTTCAATTATTAAGAGAAACTTTACAAACATAATTAATAGAAAAACATAAGGAATAAATAGGAGACTTTTAACGATTTATTTTCTAATAAATATTATATCCCCAACAAAAATTGTTTTAGTTTTTTCTCCCCCCTTTTATAAATAAATTTGTTTTCTTTCCTTCAGTTTTAACGCGCACGCTTCATTCAACCAAAAATAAATATACTAATATATTAAATATTTTTATTTATATTTATTTTTATATATAGTAGCTTCTCACAACGTAAAAAAATTGACCCTTTTCATAAATCAATTTTAACAATTAATTTTTTTTATTGACAAAAAATTGATTGAAATTTTAAATTAAATTTAAAATTTAATTTTTTGACCAAAAAAATTTTTTTTGTTTCATTCATTTTATTTATTTTTATTTTTTAAATTTTTTTATCCTATTAAAATAAAATTTAATTTTTCAACCTTCACATTTGCAACAATAAAAATTTTCGAAAAAAATAATAAAAATAATAAAAATGGGAAATAATAATCAAAAAAAATGGATGATTAAATATGTCGCCCCCTATTTGCGTCATTAAACAAAATAGTTTAATGATCATTTATCAATAATAATAAAAAAGGTTTCAAAGTTTTCAACGTAAAAATCACTTGAAACTTTGCATGAATGGAAAATGTCTTTTCAGAAAATCTCTAAGAAAGAAAGAAATTTAAAAATAATAAAACATTTTTAAATAATACAAACATTTTCGAATGTTTTTAAAATGTTAGAATAATTCCAGAATGTTTTCCGGAAAGTTGGAAAAGTTTCGAATTGTTTATAAACTTATTTGCGTGTTGTTGAATGTTTTCCGGAAAAACAAATAAATTCAAACATTTTTTATACATTTTTTAATCAATTCTAGAATGTTTTCCGGAAGGTTGTAATTTGTTTGGAAAACATAACATAAATAGGAGCTATATTGTTATTCAATGTTTTCCGGTTATATAATGTTTTCCGGTTCTCATTATTTAATGTTTTCCGGAAAAAGTTAATAAAATATTTCTTTAGATTTAATGCTTAAAAATAATTGTATTTTCCTGATTAATTCAAGCACCATATTAATTTATTTAACAATTATTACTACTGCTATTGAAGAAAAAATAGAAGAAAAGATAACAAAAAATTTAATAACATTTAATCGAATAGCTGGATGTCCAGACTTGGAATCTTTTCAACACCCTTTTGAGACGTTAGAAAATTCAGACAAAATTGGAAAAATAACATGTTTATGTGGGCCAAGTAGAGAATTAATAAATGAAGATAATGAAGATGTTGATGAAGAAAAAGCTTCAATAACTTGTATTTATGGCTCAAAATTGGAGGACTTAGAAAATACAATAAATTTGGCGAAGAAAGCAAACAAGTCAATTGAAAAGGTAAAAAAAATAAATAGACTTAAAAATATGTTCGAAACAAAATAAACATATTCCAAGTTTAAAATAAACTTGGAAGAAAACAAGTTGAAAAACAAACTTGAAACAAAACAAGTTTGAAAAAAAACATGAGAAACAAACAAACAGAAAAATTTTAAAATAAACTTGCAACAAAACATGTTGTAAAAACTTATGAAACAAAACAACAGAAACATTTTAAAATAAACTTGCAACAAAACATGTTGTTGTAAAAACATGTTGTAAAAAACATGAAACTTAAACTAATTAAAATAAACTTGCAAACAATAAACTTGCAACAAAAACATGTTGTTGTAGAAACAAGTTGTAAAAAACATGGGAACTAAACTAATTTAACTAAAAATTTTTTAACAGATAATACTCAATCATGTTGATTTTAAAAGCGATAAAGAATTGTTACAAATACTCTTAGAAGAACCTCAAACCACTTCAAATTTAAAATATTTGGAAGCAAAAAAATGCAAAAATCAACCAAAATTTACAAAAGAGAAAAACGAAAACAAAGAATTAAAACAATTTAATAGTATAGAGTGGATAGTAATTGAAGAATGTTTAATAGAGGAAATGCCTTTAAATTTATTAAAACGTGCGCCAGTTTTGAAGGGTTTGTCGCTAAGCGGAAATAAAATACATTCAATAAATGTACAAGATTTGGCTGCTAGCAAAATGAGTGTAAGCAAAATATTTAAAAAATAAACTTGAAACAAAACAAGTTTGAAAAAATAAACTTTAAAATAAAACAAGTTTGAAAAAATAAACTTTAAAATGAACATGAAATAGAACAAGACAAAACATTCTCAAAAATAAACTTGAAATAAAACATGTTGGAAAATAAACTTAAAATACACTATAAAATACAAATAAACTTGAATAAAAACATGTTTAAAAAGAAACTTGAACAAAACTTTGAATAAAACAAGTTGAAAAACAAGCTTTAAAATAGAGTTCAGCGGGATCGGGATCCCGGTCGGGATCGGGCGGGATTATCCCGGGTTTTTCGAATCCCGATCCCGATTTTTCTGATCCCGGTCCCGAAATAAATATCCCGATCCCGATCCCGGTCATTCTCAATCCCGAGCCGGGATCCGGGATCGGGATCGGGATGTGCATCAGATCCCGATGCAAATCCCGACTTTATAAATTGACTAGAAGTCTGTGAAATAAAGTTAACAAAAGAGGGGAGGCATGAAAGTAAGAAAAATTTTCGCCTGCGGCGCAGAAAATGAAAAAAATTTGGCATGTTGACATCCAAAATCTCAAAATTTTCGTCTGCGGCGCCGCAAAAATGAACAAAGCTGTCTTTACAACTTTAATGAAATATTGAGTGATTTGGTGTGATATCGAGGGATCAAGAGGGATTGAGAGGAGTATCGGTGGATTTACAGGGATTGAGTTAGATTTGAAGAGAAATCGAGGGCTTAAGAGATATTGCTAAATGAATATATCACGTAATACCTCAATGTCAGTTCTTAATCGTCCACGTTTTAGCGTAACGCACTTAATCGTTAGACTTGAATTAGACTTGAATGCCCTTGGCCTTCCAAAATTAAAAAATGTTGCCTGCGACGCTTAAAAGGGAGGAAATCTGGCACCTTGGCCTTCCAAATTTTTCAAAATTTTAGCCTACGGCGCTTAAAATAGAAGCCCAATCCCATTTACCCCCCCCCCCCCCCCATTACCTTATCTCCTCTAATCCACTACATTATCTCCCTTAATCCCCTTATCTCCCCATAATCCCCAACCGGAAAGTAAATTATGTGTTTATGAGACTTAAACTCTATATTTCAGCACCGCAGCGGCAATGTTAGAATTATACTGAGTCGTATGTGAAGAAAATAAAAATTTTAAAAAAAATTTTTAGTAAATCCCGATCCCGATTTTTCAATCCCGGTCCCGATTCGGGATCGGGACCGGGATCGGGATCTCCAGTCCAAATCCCGATCCCGATTTCGGCTAATCCCGATCCCGTGTCGGGATCCGGGATCGGGATCGGGATGACTATTCCTAAATCCCGATCCCGGGTTTTTCTCTAAATCCCGATACCGCTGAACTCTACTTTAAAAACAAACATGAATACTATTTCTCCTATTAAAGTTGGAATCATTAAACCTAGCGAGAAACTTACTTTCACTACAAATTGAAGCAGGAAGTTTAAGTCAACTTGAAATGCTTAAAAACCTAGAGATTGGTGAACATAATTTTGCTAGTACTCAATTACTTATAGAAATTGGGAAACTTACAACACTCGAGGTAAAAAAATATTTTTAAATAATTTTAAAGATTTTTTCAGAGTTTGGACATGTCACAAATGGATGGAATAGAAACAATAAATATTTTCTCAAATTTTGAAAAAATGTCAAACTTAAAGAGACTTTTATTAAGTGGATGTAACTTGCGCATGTTAAATAAATCAAGTTTTGCACAATTCCCAGCATTAGAAACAGTTAAACTTAGAAATATAAAGAAAAACTTAAAAACATGAAATCAAAAAGAAACATAAAAATAAACTTGGAATAAAACAAGTTTGAAAAAAAATAAACTTAGATAATAAAAACAAGTTGAAATTTGAACTTTAAATAAAACAGGTTGAACTTAGATAATAAAAACAAGTTGAAAAATTAAACTTGAAACAAAACAAGTTTGAAAAAAAATAAACTTTAAATAAAACATGCTGAAATAAAACAATCAAACATTAATATTTTTAAGTTGGATTTAAGAGTTAATTTAATTGGAGAATTGGAGAGTGAATGTTTTGCTGGTTTGGACAATTTAAATTCACTTTCACTTGCAGGAAATTATTTAAAGTAAAAAAATATATTTAACAAAAAATTAAAAAATATTTATTTTAAAGAGAATTACCATCCAAAATATGGAAAGATTTGCCAAATTTAGAAAATTTAGATTTAGGCTGGAATGATTTTCGGTCTTTAAATAAAAGTTCTTTTAAAGAAATTTCACCAAAAATAGAAAGAATAAATTTACGAAATAATGAAGTGCTTAAACAAATAGAAGAGGGGACATTTGATGGATTAAATGAATTGAGACATTTAAATTTAAGTACAACAATGTTGAGTAAAATAATAAAAGGACAACTTAATTTAAATAAACTTGAGGTTTGTGTTTGTTAATAAAATAAACTTTAAATAAAGAAAAAAAAAGTTTTTAGAAAAAAAATAAACTTGAAATAAAACATGTTGAAAAAATAAACTTGGAATTAAACAAGTTGCAAAAATAAACTTGAAATAAAACAAGTTGGAAAAAATAAACTAGGATTAAAACAAGTTGAAAAAATAAACTTGAAAAAACAAGCTTGAAAGTAAAATAAAACTTAAAAAAGAAACATGGAAAAAATTAAAACTTGGAAAATAGTAAAACTTGAAAAAATAAAATTGCAACTTGAAACATGTTTCAACTTAAATCAAAATTTTAAGAAGCATATCATTCATTTACAAAAAAAAAATTCAAAAATTAAGGAATTAGATTTATCTGCATCAAACATTTCCTATATTGAACCAAATGCTTTTGATTCATTCAAATCAACATTAGAATCACTCAATTTAGCAACAAACAAACTTAAACATTTAGACACAAATTTGATAAATTTTTCAAATTTAAAAATGATCGATTTGTCTAATAATCCTTGGATTTGTGATGAAAAATTACAACACATTTCTTTATTTATTGAGGATAAATATAAAATAGCCGCCTCAGAAAAGAATGAATTTGAACTGCGCGAAGCACACAAAACTCAATGTGATAGGCCTTACATTAGACGAGGAGAATCAATATTTTCGCTTGTTGGAATTAATAGTAGCGAGTTGAGTTATAATGAGGGGGAGGATACAACAATAGCGACAACAACAAAAACATCAACAACGAATGGAGGGGAAGAAAATTTATTTGGAGGGAATAATGTTGAAAATGCTACGATAGACTGGAAAGCGGTATAAATTTTAAATAAGAAGATAATAAAGACATACAAACTTGAAACAAATGTTTGCAACCAACAAAAACATAACAGAATATTTTTAAAAACAAATAAAAATCAGAAAAACATTAAAAAAGACAGCAAATTTTTAAAATCAGAAAAACATTATTATAAACATAAGTACGCAAAAACAGAAAAACAAATAAACCATCAAAACATTTTAAAAACATGATAAAATCAGAAAAACATGTTTAAAAACGAGAAAACCAGGAAAAAGAAAAACATCAACAAAACAGAATATTTCTTAAAACCAGAAAAACATCCTAACAAAAATGACAATTCTGATTAGATAAAAACATCTAAACAAATCAGAAAAACATTTTTAAAAACAAATAAAACATCCAAACACAGATAACATTATTGGTTGGCAGCAATACAGACGAACACATAAATTTTACAAGTTTATTAGAACAGGACGAAATTGAAGATGCAAACAAACCAAAATATGATATTAATGCAATTAGATATGGAGAAAAATCGTTTTTACCAAAAAAGGAATTGGCTAATACATGGATTTCTGGTGTAACTGTAACTCTATTAATTATAACCACGGCGTTTTGCATTATTTTTGTGGCAAGGCATAAAAAGGTGGAAAAATTGGGGAAAAAAGGGAATTTTTTAAAAATATTTTTAGACCGCCCCAGACGAAGCAAAACACGAAGAAGTCAAAATACAAAAAGAAATAAAAGCAGAAGAATCACAAAAAACAACACAAAAACAATTACAACAACCAGAATTAACTCAAACAAACATTTTAAAAGAAACAGAACAACAACAAAAACTAAAAACATGTGAAAATTTAGAAGAAAATTGTGCAATTACTGTTTTTTAATTTAGCTTTTAATTTAATTTATTTAATTAATTTTTAGTGTGTTTATAATTTTCATTTTTTAATTATAAAATATTTTTTAGTCGAAAATAAAAATATTTGTCAGGTTGAGGTTCGAACCTTTGACCCAATATATTAGGTTATAAAGGAAAGAAAAACTATACTAACAATGTTCATGTCAGACAGTGAGAAATGTTCAGATTAAAGTTTATTTAATTGTTTGTTTATTTGTTTTTCCAAGTTTATTTTCAAGTTTGCGTTTTTACTAAAGTTTAGAAGTTTTTAATATTATGAAAACAAGTTTATTTAAGTGTTTGTTTATTTGTTTATTGTTTAAGTTTATTTTTAAAAACAAGTTTATTTCTAAAAGTTTGTGTTTTTGGTAAAGTTTATTTGTTTTAATTTTATAAAAACATGTTTCATTTTAAGTTTATTTAATTGTTTGTTTATTTACTTGTTTGTTAAGTTTATTTCTAATAGTTTGTGTTTTTGGTAAAGTTTATTTGTTTTTATTTTTCTAAAAACAAATTTCTATGTTTTACTGTGTTTTACTCATTAACTCAAAACATTATATAAACAAAAATAGAAACTCACGGCTTAAAGTCCACAACATCAAACAAAGCGGTTGTTGTAATAAATGTTTGTTGTTGTTCATTTGCTTCAGAGGAATTGTTGTTGTTGTTTTCACAAACATTTGTTGAGATTGAATTTAATAAAAATGTTTTGACTAAAGGTTGCGACAAATTAAACATTAAATGAAGCAAAACGCCTATAAAGAGAAAAATTTAATATTTAATTAAATATTAATTTTAAATTTAATGTGAAAATTTTTTTAATTTTAGAATTTTATTTTTTTAATTCTTATATTTAAAAATAATTTTTAAATTTAAATAAAATAAAATTAAAATTTTTTTTTAATTTACCTATAGCAGGCAAACCCATTTTATTTGAAGATTCCTTCAAAAAATAAATTTTTAATTTTTTGAGTCAAAAAAATTTTTTTTAAATCAAATTACGTGTTGTATAATGAGATGTGCATGTCTGAATATATAACCCAAAAGATAATAATTTTCTGTAGGCAGTTGTAATAATAATTTCTTTAGCTGTAACGCGCATTGACAGGCACAAACATTTTGATAATTACATTTACATTCTGTTCGAAAAAAATTTTTTTTAATTTTTTAAAGAATTAAAAAAAATTTTTGAGGGTCAGAAAATTCAAAAATCAGAAAAAAAAATTGGAAAAAAATTTTTTTAAATTAAAAATTCCCCGAAAATGTGTTATTTTCCAGAAAAATTTTCAAAAATTTATTTCAAATTTTTTTCTTATTTTTTTAATTTTCTGATCCTTGAAAATTTTCTTTAATTTTTTTAAGGGTCAGAAACTTAAAAATTAAGAAAAAAATTCAATAAAATTTCGGAAAAAAATTTTCAAAATAAAAATAAGAAAAATTTCCAAACCACTAGCAATTTGTTCAAATCTAGGCTTCAATTGTTGTGTCAAAATGTGCTGGTTGAGAGAAGCCATATTTTCTGGTAAATGGTGTAAGAAGCGTTTAAGTAAACCTGCCGCTTCGTGGGCATCCTAAAAAAATAAAAATTAAATTTTCAAAAATTCTTCCAATTTTTAAATAAACCTGAAAAACTATTTCATCTCTTTTTTCACTATTAGCCATCAATTCGAGTTCATCCAATCTTGATTTGGGTGAGGATACGCGAAAAATGCCTTCCAAGTCGAGTCCTATAAAAAGAAAATGAAATAAATTTTGAACTTTATAGACAAATTTATTTTCGTGAAAATTTCCCCTTTATACTCTTTTTAGGGTCAGAAAATTCAAAAATTAGAAAAAAATCAAAAAAATTTATTTGATTAAAAATAAAAGAAATTCCAAACCACTAGCAATTCGAAAATCGCAACGAAAGAATTTAATAGCTAGTAAAATAACCAGACAAGGTTTCATGAGAATATGTTTATGCTAGAACGTTCACAAGAATAAAAATAAGTAAAAACAAAAAATATCAGGAAGCCGTGGATAAAAAGAAGGAAAATTGAGAATAAATGCGAGAGAAAAACAAAATTTGAAAAAAAATTTCAAAAAACCCCATAAAATTTCAAAAAAAAAATTTCGCGAAAATCCAATACTGCTTTGGGTGAGAATACACTTAAAATACCTCCCAAAATACCTACTACTTTCCAGAAAAAATTACAAAAAATGTTTCCAAAACTGTCCCACTCTCCCAAAAAGATTTTTCGAAAAATCTCACCCAAAAAAATCCAACAAACCGTAAAAAGCAATATAATCCAAACATTCTCTGATTAAAGCAGGCACAGGAACTCCATCAAAAGAGGGGTTGTTTTTAACAGCTTGTGCAAGCGGAAGTTTGAATAATTGAATTCCTCCAGTTTTGAATAATTCATTTGTTGTTGTTGTTGTTCCTTTTTTGCTTTTTTTACTAAATAAATTCATATCTATAATCTACATATTTATAATAAATATCTGAAAATTAAAAAGAAAAAAAAATTAAAAAATTTCGTAAAATTCGTAAAAATAAAAAATTATTAAAAATACGACATTTGGCCACAAGGTATAAAATTGTTCATTTGGGTCAGACCCCAAAAAATTTTCATTTCGTCACAAAATGAAGGATAAGATGAAGGATGACACTGGATCGAAAAATCTCGTATACTCACTACCCTTTATTGACTACACTAGAACTAAAAAAATATTTGGTTTCTGAGTGTTCACAAAAATAATCAAAAAAATAATTTTTTTACCTCCGCAAAAAAACCCCAAAATTAACTCCTCTTTCAAAATTACTAAAATAAACAATATTTGATGAATGATTGTTGTAAAAAAAATTTACCCCAACTTCCCCCTCATTCTTAACACACAGAAAAAAATATAAAAAATGTAAGTATAATGAATGTGCACTCACACTATATAAAATTAATATATTTTGTGTTGTTGCTACTCTAAACAATTTTTAGCTGTGCACCAGAAATTAAGAAAAACGCCAAAAAAATCAGAAAATTTTAATTAAAAATTTAAAAAAAATTTCTGATTTTTTTTATAAATTTTTGAGCCCTAAAAATTTTTTTTGAGCTCTAAAAATTGCCAAAAATTGCCCAAAAAACACAGAAACCCATCCAAAATTACCACCCATTTTACTCACTTACCCCCAAAACATTCTCTTTCAATACACTAGCCTACTCTTTTATTTTTCTCAATGATTGGCCTGTATGGGAAAAAATTTTAGGGAGAGGGTTGGTTGACTGCTGGAAGGAGAAGAAAAAAAATAAATAAAATTGGATGATAAATAAAAAAAATATTTTTAGGGATATTTCACCCAAATGATCAAAAAAAAATTAAATTAATTGGCAGCAAAAAAATTTTTTTTTGAAATTTTATTAATATCAAAAATCATCATTTGTACGCATAAAAATTTAAAGTGAAACATTTTTATAGCAGCATATTATGTTTCTGCACATTTTAATCACCCAGATCATGTTGAGCAAAATAACAAGAGATTCTTAAAAGTATAGAAAACATTATAAAAACATGTATTAAATGTTTTCCGGAATGTTCAGATTATATTAAAATGTTTTCCGGAAAATATAAATATTTTTAATAGTTTTTCCGGAAACTTATTCTTTGGTAAAATGTTTTCCGGAAAAATAATAACATTTCTAATAACTTTACGGAAAACTTATTCTTTGGTATATAAAATGTTTTCCGGAAAGTTTATTATATTAGAATGTTTTCCGTAAAGTTTGTTTATATTCAAATGTTTTCCTAAATATTTTTAATAGTTTTTCCGGAAACCTATTCTTTGGTAAAACATTTTCCGGAATCGCTCAAATATATTAATTAAAACATTTCCGGAAACTTATTCTATTTTCAGAAATGTTTCACAAATATTTTTCAATGTTTAAGTTTTTCCGGAAAGTTGTATTACTTTAAAATGTTTTCTGAACAACTCAAAACATTTTTATCTGTTTTAATGTTTATCAACAATGTTTATTTAATTAAAAAAACAAACTTACATAGTGATGAACCAACTCAATTCATATATTTTATCCAATTCATCCTCATCCATTTGAGATCGCCATTCACGACATTTACGGCAAAAATCACGCAATCGTGCAACAACATCTTGAAGCAACGGCTTTTTAACAACCAACAATAATGCATAAATCCATTCAAGAATAGCACGGCTATGTCCATTTTCGATTACATACTTGAAAAAACAAATAAAATTAGTGAAACAGAGAATTTTGAATAAACAATCAGAAACCTGAATAGTAACTCAGAATTTAAAAACAATTAAAATCAGAATTAAATCAGAAATCAGAATCTGAAAACAGAAACAAGAAGTAAAACCAGAAATTAAAATCAGAATTTAGAACCAGAAACAAGTAAAAACAAAAATCAGAATTCAAAATCAGAACCCAAAATTAGAAACCAGAATTTAAAATCAGAATTAGATCAGAAATCAGAATTTAGAAGCAGAAACAAAAAGTAAAACCAGAAATCAGAATAAAAAATCAGAACCCAAAATTATCAGAAACCAGAAATTAAAAACAGAAACCAGAATTTAAAATCAGAATTTAAAATCAGAAAAACATTACAAAACAAGTAATAAACATAAACCAGAATAAAAGAAAAACATAGGAAACATTTCAAAACAAAACACATTCCCAACAAATAAATGTTTGTATAAAATAAACATTAATATTTACCTCAGTTTGGTGCATAATAAGATGATTCACCTTAAATTATTAAAAAAATTTCAAAAAAAATTGTAAAAAAAAAATTTTTTTTCTTACCAAATTATCATTCAAACATCTAACCAATCCCAACATTGGAGGTATACCCTTATGATGTGCAAATTTTTCCAATTTTTCTTTGTCTTCCTCGTTAATGTCTAATTCTGGAATTCTTCTTTCAAAACATAATTGACACCAACCCTGCGAATCACCCTAAAAATTAGAAAAAAAATTTAAAGAAAAATAAAATTTCATCAAAGAAAGGTAAGCCGTCGGAAAGTAACCGAACCTGCGACCCTAAGTCAGTTAAAGCTAAATCGCGCAAGAAATACAAGTTCAGGGGGATGACTTCTATCTAAATCCTAACCCCCACACTTTACTTAATCTAAAAGTAGGAATTCAAAATCAAAAATCATAATTAGGAAAGGAAAATTATTAGATTTATGAATTCAGTTAGAATTCATAAATATAAAAATAAATCATTCAAAAAAAAAGTTTTTGTCCCATGGTTAGAAGAGATTGAATTTGGGCTCCCCTTAAATTTAACCAAGTTAAAAAAAATTAAAAATAAACCGGTGTAGGAAGTTTAATATTAGCCAAAATATCTGGAGGAGCTTTCTTTTCTTCCAAAAGTGAACGATTCAACGAAAATTCATTGACCTTAAAAATAAATTTTAATAAAAAAATAATTCTTTTCAACTCCAAAAAAACCTTTGCAGTTCTCCATTCACTATCTGGCCCGAATCGAGTAGTAAATATTTCGAGTTGATTTTCTAAACAATTTGTGATTCTTGAAGTTGTTGCAGATGTTGAACTTTGGGCCATAATAAGACTTAAATTTGAAGCAACTGCAATAGCTGGTTGTTGACTACGATCAACAATTACCTGAAAAATATACTTTTAAATGAGAAAAAAATTTTGGGAAATTTTGAGAAAAATTTCTTGAAGTTTTCAAAATTAACTACTAAATTCAAATTTAAACCACAAAATTAACTATTGAAATAAATTGCAAAAATTTTTTAAAAATTAAAAAATATTACAAACTATAAAATCCATCCAAATTTACAACTCAATTGTTTATTTTTGTATTATTTATTTATTCAGCTAGAGTTTTATTTAGAAAAAAAGAATTGAACTAGTGGAATAGCAAGGAGATCGAACCGGGTCGAGGTCTCGGTCAAAAATCAATTTATCAAAATTTTTTGAGATATCAATCTCGATTCTTGAATGACCCTCGCAGTCCGATTTCTAGTGTCAGAAGAAAAGGAGAGCCCCTCTGCCTATTAGGAAAAGAATAATCAAAAAATAAAATCTTTTTTTTTTGATTTCAGCATCATAAAATTACAAAATTTCGAAAAAAATACTCGAAAAATTTTTCTTGCGTCTTTGTAATTAGACGCTTTTCAGAATAAGAAAAAATTTAGGCTTCGAACCAAATAATAAAAATAATTTACTTGTTTCAAATATTCTTCAGCAGTCATTGCAGGTTTATTCAAATCCACTCTCCTTGGATCAAAAGGACCGACATCAAAAAATTTGCGTTGGTGTTGATCCAGATCCATAGGCTCATCACTATCATCGTCATAATCCATTTTTGAATGAATTTTAAAAAATTATATTTTTCCCACTAAAATATTATTAAATTAAAAAATATTAGAAAAATCATGACGGACACAGGCTTACAGAAAATTTAGAAAAAAACTTCGAAATTGAAGAAAAAATACCAAAAAAATTGTATCCGACATGATTTTTTATTAAAAAAATGATTTTTAAAAATATTTAAAAGAGGTAATTTAACTCTTTTTTTTGAATCATTTAAAAAATAAATAAATTTTTAAAATTTTATTCAAAAATATATTTTTGAGATGAAACAAAACTAAATATATAATTTAAGAAAAAATAACAATTTGAAAAAAAAACACGTCTAAATAAATTTTTAAAACCTTCAAAGCACCAAATTTCCTTTTTGGACATGCAATTCTAATAATTTCCAAGCTGTTGCTGGATTAAATTCTTCCATATCTCGACAGAGTACCCAAACATGATGAACCCGTATTGCATTGTTCTGATTAAGAAAAGAATGTTTTTTAGGGAAAATAGTTCATTATAGTCGACATTGTATTTTATAATGAAGGGGAAACCCAAAATGAGAGTATCTCTTGGGCAGCTCCTCAATCCAATAGACAAACCAAGTTCACAAAAATGTAATTTTAGAGGTATCTTATATCTAATTTTAAAGGGATTTGATATAGCGAGGTTCAAGACCCCGTAGAAAAATTTCAAAAAAAAATTCAAAAAAAATTCAAAATTTTTACCGGATCTCCTTCAATGACTTTTCCTTCTTTATTTTTTAATACGTGTATCATAAAAACTTGAAATGTAATAACCAAAGTTGGCCCTTGATCCATCATTTTTCCTGATACCATCTGTTAACAGAAAAAAAAATTTTTAATGAAAATTTAAAAGAATAATTTTTTTAACCTCAACTTTGCTAACATCAATAATTTGTGAGTCAAATGTATTATAACCAATTTTAGAATATTCATTAATGCCTTGAGAGATCATTTTGAACGCCTAAAAAATAGATAAAATTAATAGACATATAACAATAAACAAAAATGTTTAGATTTTATTCTGAACTTTTTTTCTTAATCAGAATAAATGTTTTAAATTAATTCTGATTTTTTACAACAAGTTTTAAAAATATTCTGGTTTTATTCTGATAATAAAATTAAAATGTTTTGATTTAATTCTGGTTTTATTCATTCAAGTTTTAAAAAATTCTGATTTTTTACAACAAGTTTTAAAAATATTCTGGTTTTATTCTGATAATAAAATTAAAATGTTTTGATTTAATTCTGGTTTTATTCATTCAAGTTTTAAAAAATTCTGATTTTTTACAACAAGTTTTAACAATATTCTGGTTTGCTCTTTTGTTAAGTTTATTTCTAATGTTTTAATAAAATTCTGATTTTTGATTAAAAAATATTCTGATGTTGCTTTCATGTTTTCGACCAGAATGATTGTTGCAATTTAATTCTGATTTTTTACAACATTCCAAAACATCAAAATATTTTATATTTTTAATGTTTTAATAAAATTCTGATGTTTTAATAAAATTCTGATGTTTTAATAAATTTTTAAGAGAATCCCCCTCCATGTTTTTTTAAATTAAAATTAACTCGCTCTTTCATAACACCAATCGTTTAACACATCAACATTCATTTGTATAACTGCCTCCAAAATGTTTGGAATCATTTCTTTTTCACAAAACCTAAGCCAATTATGTTTATTAAAGTTTGGGTCAACTTTTGATATTTCTGTTAACACTATGGAAACATCATCTTGTGAAGCTAGAAAAAAAAATAAAATTTTTTAAATTAAAAATAATTAAAAATACAAACTAAATGCAAGCTGAATCCTTTCCATTGTTGAACGAACACCACGAAAAACAATATTTTCACTCTCATCAATACGCATTTTCCAGTCCAAAAGTTCTATGTTATAAAGAAAAACATTTTCATGAATTACATTGTTTTAATTTAATTCTGATTGTCAACATGTTATAAATTTAGTCATACAAATGTTTTTATTATATTCTGGTTTTTCTGATCTGGCTCTTATTAATTTTAGTCATAAATGTTGGGATTAAATTCTGTTTTATTTTTATTTAATTCTGGTTTCAATTTTATTCTGATTTTATATAGTTTCTTAAAGTTTCATACATATTCTGATTTTAATAAAATATTATGTTCGGTTTAAATTCTGGTTTTTTCTAATGTTGTAATTTAACTCTGATTATTCCCACACAACTGGAATATGTTTCAATTTTATTGTTTTATCCAAAGGAAATGTTCGGCTTAAATTCTGATTTTTCTAATGTTTTAATTTAATTCTGATTGTGTCCTATTATCCCTAATGTTTTAATTTGTTGGGAATAAATTCTGGTATATTAATTTGATGTAAATTTACTTTTCCCAGAACAAACTTGCCCAGTTTTAATGTTTAATTTTTATTCTGAAATTAAAAATTCTTACTATTATAATATGGATTAGATTCAGAAAAAGCTTTCCAGCCAGAATACCAACGCGATTCTTTATGTAATTCTACTTGAGTTGCATCGCTGAATAAATAATCATTATAAAAATATTTTTTTAATAAAATTTCTTACAGGTTCACATCTACATGACGCTGAGCAAATGAAGAAGTAAAGGAATCACTTCGCATTCTCAATTCTTCTAGAAAAAATTTTTTGTAACAAAGGAAGATTTTTTAAAAATATACATGATTCTCTAGATGAATTTATAAAAATGTTAGTAGTCAGGGGAATGATAAAGATAAGGGATCGAGCCTATCCGATTCCCGATAATCGTGACATTTTTTAGGTTTGGGAATTCCCGATTCTCAACTCTTAAATTTATTTTTATGCCAACTAGATCTCTTGTATATTTCACAAAAATCTGTAAACTGGAAAACTGCCGTTTTCCCCTTTCAAAAGCCCTATCTTTAAATAAAAGTTAATTTCCTAGAATAGAATTTTAAGGGAGTTAGGGCAACAAATTTAAGGTAAGGTTAAATAAAATAAAAAACCAGGCTTTGAATACATCCGCACATCTGCCAGTTTGTCAATTTCATTAGCTGTATTTGCCACCTGTCTATAAACTTGTGTATCCCCAACTTGCTTTGCTACTTGTTCTGCAACTTCAGCTGCTGCCTTTAATTGTTTGAACGTATCCTGACCTATCTGGCTGTCTTTTATGCTTACTGCCAACTTTAAAAAAAGTCAAATTTAATTTTAAAATAATAAAATAAACCAAGGTTTAGGGTCCCTGTTTTATTCTTCCACAAGATCGTTCCCTTATATGTTAGAGAAAGGTCAGACTTTCCTCCTTCCTAAATTTTACTCTGTTTCCCTGTGGCATATTCTAGAGTAGCTCCCCGTCTCCCGTTCCAAAAGTCAACCACGACCCCGAAATGCCCTCTTCGGCAAACCACAATCCCCGACACTTCCGACCCCCGAAGGCTTGGGGAGCTACCCTAGTTTATTCAATAACATTAATAAAAAAAGATAAATTCGAGGAAGGAAGAAGTTTGAAGAAAAAAGGGGTACCCTAACCTTACTTTACCCATATAATCAACAACCTTGTTGACATAATCAGAAAATTCGTTTAATTGGTGTTTAATTAATTCAGTACTGGCATTTGATTCTTTTTGAATTTTCATCTAAAAATGGGCAATAGAGTTAAAATTATAATTTAAAAAATACATATTTTTCTTTAACAGAAGTGTCAGCGAGTTTTTTCAGTCTTTCTTCAAGTTGTTTCTTGTTTTCCTAAAAAAAAGTAATTTTTAGTCAATTTTTAATGCTACTTTAATAGGTTAGGAGAGGAGACGATTAATAAAATAGATATTTAAGAGGCTTAAGTAATTCAAGTACCCGAAGCCCCCACAGAATTTTTTGAGCTCCCTTGGCTTTCCACAAATTGCTAATCCAAAAATCCCAACGTCAATGAGTTAACAGGAGAAAAGACACGCTCTAAGGCCATTCTAGAAGGCCAAAGTAATTCATTGTCAGAGCCTTGAATTTTCCCTTGTTGCCAGCAAAAAATAAGGAACCACTAAGGACAGAGGCTTAAGTAATTCAAGTACCCGAAGCCCCCACAGAATTTTTTAAGCTCCCTTGGCTTTCCACAAATTGCTAATCCAAAAATCCCAACGTCAATGAGTTAACAGGAGAAAAGACACGCTCTAAGGCCATTCTAGAAGGCCAAAGTAATTCATTGTCAGAGCCTTGAATTTTCCCTTGTTGCCAGCAAAAAATAAGGAACCACTAAGGACATGTAAGGAACCCTATTTTAATACCCAGACTCAATCAATATCCTCAATCTTTACATAAAATACAAAAAACAAAACCTGTAATTCTTTATTTTTTGCCATTTCCTCTTTGATATTCTTCATAAATTTGCCCGCAATACTTTGATAATTTCGGCAACAAGTTCTAGATACTCTGAATAGTGTTGCAAAATTGTAGGAGAACATTATAATAAACAGAAAAAATAAATATAATCTGAAATAAAAAGGAGGAAGAAATTTAAGAGAAAAAATAAAAGAGGAAGAAATTTCAAAAAATTTCAAAATTGTTACTTAAAAATTAAGAAAATAGAAAATAGGCAAAGAAATCCAATTTTTAACGGTAGACCAAAAGTCTTTTTTTACTTCTTTTTGACTTTTTGAAAAGTTGACACTTTGACATTTAACACTTTAACAGTCTCAGCCAAAAAATCTCATCACATAAAATAAAAGTGGAAACTAGTAGAAAATTTTTCAAAATATCTAATTTTAGAAACGTCAATTATTGCTAATTTAAACCGTCTGGTTCTTGTTATAGGTGAAGTGTCTATTATTTTTGTTCTTTTTCGGGTCTATATAGTTCTTTCAGGTTTAGGAAATTTTAGGAAAACGTCTTTAAACAAAAATTGAATTTTGTAAAATGCTAGGAATTCAAAGAATTTTAGAGTAGACATTTTGAAAATTGGACATTTTTAGAATTGGACGTTTTTGAAAGTGGACGTTTTTAAAAGTTGGGCATTTTGACAATTGGGCATTTTTAAACTGGGGCATTTTGGTAAATAACTGAAATCCGAAGATCATTATTCTGAAATTTACCTAACTCGGTTCTACATTTTACAAGAAATGCTTTCTGTTTTTGACTTTACTGTTGTTGTATGTTCAAGTAGAACTAACCTGATCTCGGTCCCATCGTTACCAAGTCAATGGGGACTCCTTAAATTTTAAGTAAACACCTAACTTTTACCATTTTTAATTTTACCCTTTTCTGTGTCTTCATTTTCCTGACAGCCTCAAAAAATTAGGCCAAACGAAATAAATTGCTCTATTTACCAAAATGACATTCTCCTCTTCATTGCAACTTTTCTTTTTTTCTCTCCCCATTTATTTTCATTTTCTCTCATTTTAAGGCGGAGCTAGTTGACGGCCTATAAATTTCGGCGCGTTTCTTCTCTCCCTTCCCATTCTTCATTTATTTTCCTTATTTTTATTCTTTCAATTTTCTCCCTTTATCCTTTAAAAAGCTCTTTTAAGCGGCTTTAAAGTGCTTTGAATTAAAGTTGCTTTTTCGAAGAGATTTGCGAAAATTTTTTTTGTAAAAATTTGTAAGTTGGTGACCTGCAAAATTTTTTTTATTGATTTTTTTCTGAAATTTATTTTTGGATTTTTTGTCTTTTCCATTCATTTTCTTCGTCTTAAAATAAAAAAAAAATTTTTTTTCAGATTTTTCAAAATTTATTTTAAATGACTGAAAGTGAGCTTCTCACCAGAAATCCTCAATCGACTCTACACACACCTCATCAACACAGCCAGCAGCAATTACAACAACAGCCTTCGACGTCTTTATTGCTTAACCCTCATGTACGGATTGAATCGAGGCCTGAAACTTTTACTGCTTCAAATTTGATCAATGTATTTTTTAATTCTTAAAAAATTAGGGATGTTTTTTGGATGGCCCCATTTAAGAATAGGGCTAACAATAAGACTACTAGATTGTAAGATAAAAATCTGGGCCCTTCTTGCTCATAAGACACGCCCCCTTTTCTTTTCCCTTATAAATTGAGTGGTTCATCTAGTTTTAAACTTTTACCTTGACTTTTAAAATTTATTTAAAACCTGATTAAATTTTTTTTAATTTCCAAAATTAAATTTTACAAAACTCTGTGTTAGAAAAATCTGCAAAAAATTGTCCGCAAGTTTAAGAGTCTGCAAACTTAATATCTACCTTTTTTACACCCTTCCATTTTTTATTGGATTAATCCTTTCCTCAACTATCATTCTTTTATGGGAGCAGGCCAGTGTACCGCAAGCCCAATGTACCGCCAAGCTATAACTTAGTTCAAAATTGTCGAATCAATGGCGCCCTGGTATGATTCGATTCAGCTGGTCGAGCCGCATCGAACCATACCACGACGTTACGGATTCGACAATTCACAACAAAGTTATAGCTCGGCGGTACATTGGGCTCGCGGTACATCGGGGTGTACCCTTCTTTTATTTTTCAGTCTTTGGAGACTAATTATCATAGTATTGTTGAACGTTTTGGCAATTCACCACTTACAGAAACAACTCAATATTTGACAAACAATATTATTGACTCTAAAGAGGCAAAACATTTAATAGATGGATTTCTTTGTGGTGTTTTGGTTGATGCACCAAATGCTGAAAAGGTTTGGGGTTTTTAAATTTTAATAGGATTTTTGGCCCTATCTGAAAATAATGCGGCAATCAAATTTTTTCCTTATTCTTAAAAATGGTTAATTTTCTTATATTTTTCTCTCTATTTTTTGGTTTTTGCCTTAAGACTATAAACGCAAAAGGATTATTTTTCTTTCATTTTGTGAGCATTGACGTTCTGTCCGTGTTTTAGCTGACCGATGTGTGTGCGTGTTTTGTATGTCCGGGTCCATCCTGACAAAACACGGATGGTCACAGACAGACAAAACACGGACGGTCTTTGTTTTGTCTGCCCGTGTTCGGCCGTCTTTTCTGTCCGAGTCCGTCTTTGTTTTGTCTGTCCGAGTCCGTCCATTTGAAGTGAACGAGGGAAAAAGTCAACCCTTCTGTACAAAATAAGGAAAAATGTGGAAAGGAAAAAATGAAGGAAAAAATTTGATTGCCGCATTATTTTCAGATACGGCCGGATTTTTGGCTATGTCTAATTTATGACTCTGATTCAATAAAGTTTCAGGAGTCCATTGAAAATTTATGTATTCAAATAAAATTCGGAGTTCCGTTGGACCAAGTGCATATGCCAGGGGATCGATTTCAGTGGGGTCTAAAATTGGGTGTGCGCCAAAAATTGGCGTTCCTAGGCAAATTTTTTTAAACCATATTGGTGGTCATGAGGTTTTTAACATTTTTATGGTCATAAGGTGGCCTCCCCCAAAAATTTTGTTTTTTTTTTCACTTCAACTTTTGATCTATTTTTAAATTAAAAAAATCTTTTTTTCTAGCACTTTACCTGCATCAAAACTTTAGCAATTTCAACAGATCAATGGATGAGCCTTTTAACTTCATTCAATATTTTAACTTTGGAATGTTTTCCATTTATGAAACATTCATGCAAACAACAACTTTTATATTTTATTGATGAAACTTTAAAATTACAACTTAGAACAAATTTAGACTCTTCCTTTACAAATATTTGCAGAGCACTTTCTGATGGTTTTTTAAAATTTTTTTAAAAATTGGTTGGGATCTGTGAGGGTTTTATTTGGAATTATCAATTTTTGCGGACTTTATTTTGCGGATTTTTTAATTTTGATTCTCTTTCGTTGATTTGGTTTTGATTTTTGGTTTCCAAGGCAAGCATAAGGCTTTGATGACTTTTTTTTTAAGTTTCCAAGGGGGTGGATTTGTATTTACAGTTATGTTTACTAACAAATCTAAGGCTCAAAATTTTTGCAGACTTTTTTGCGGACAAGTTTACAAAAAAATTTTTTCTGAAAAAATTTTCAATAGGCTTTAATTGGATTAAATTTGTCCCTTTTTCTCTTTCCTGACATAGATAAAACTTTAAAAAAATTTTTCAAGTTTTTTACATAATTTTTTCAAAAATTTGATTTTTTAGGCACAGATTTCAAAGAGACATGTCAAATTGTCCATCAATTTGCTCATCGTTTATTATCTTCACATCAAAAATTGGCAACATTTCCTCGAAATTCTTCATTTCCACCAACAGCATTTGCCTTATTTTCTCGTTTTATTAGTGATGCTCAATTAGTTGCGAATGCTGGAGTTATGAATTTGGAAAGTTTTAAGGCGCCTTTAGTTGAAATTTGTGTAATTTTGGTTTGTTTTTTTTTATTATTTTTCAATTAAAAAATTTTTTTGATTAAGTATATGGAGGGTTATTGGGAGTTTAAAATTAATTTTTTCCTATTTGCGGACAATAAAAATTTTTGAGAATGAAAAAATCTTTTTAATAGGAAAAATAGGGGAGAAATAAGCTCCAAAATTCAAAAACTTTAAAGTCCTATACCTTTTCGAAATGAGGGTCAGTGAAGAAAAGCCAAAATTTGCGATAGGTTATTGACCCTGCTTTCCACGATGGTGCAAAAATAACGGCAGAATTTTCACATACATTTAAAAATGTTTCCTTTGCGGACATATAAAAATTTTTTTGCGGACAAATTTAACGTTTCAACAATTTTTTTCTAAGGGTTCAACATTTTTTTTTCTTTTCTTTTTTTTCTAATTATAAAAAATTTTAAATTTTTCCAACAGGTTCGTGAACGTTTCCCCGATCTTCTACAACTTGGACACGATTTGTTTTTGCTATTATTGCGTCTTTCTAGAGTTTCACAATTTGTGCCTATTTGGCGTACTTTGTTACACAATCCATCTGCTATGGCCCCTAAATTTAATGGTAAAAAAATTTTTTTTAATTAGAATTAATTTAAAAACCTATTAGCCCTAAAGTGCCGCCCTGAATTTGTAAATATTTTTTTTTGAGAAAGTTGATCGGATATAAAATATGTATAAAAATTTGCGCCTGAAACACCAAAGTAATGCCAAAATTTCCCTATTTTAGCTCCCCATCCCTTCCCCTCCCTGAAATCGACCCCTGGCTACGCTCTTGATATTCATTAGAGCTCGTGACGGGATCCCGGCTGTATTTTCGGAATCCCGATCCGGGAATTTTGATAAAAATCGCGATTTTTGGGATTTTGATCCTGAAAATCCTGTCCTGGTAAAAAATTAATAAATCCCGTAACGGGATCCGGATTTTTTCAAATTCCCAACTCTAATATTCATGTTGTTTCCTTAAACTTTGTTAGAATTTTCGATGATTTCTGTTTTTTTTTTGAATTTATTCTAGCTAATTTATCCTTTTATTTTCCCTTTTTTTTAAATAAAAATAAATTTAAAAATAAAAATCAATTTAAAAATAAAAATAAATTCTTTCCTTCATTTTCTTTTTTTTTTCAAAGGTTTACAACAACTTTTGAGCATTCCAACTTCAAGTGGTCTTTTATCTCACAGAGTTAGTTTAAGAATAAGCAGAAAAATGGCTGAAATTCTTAAAAATCATATTCGTATATCTTCTTTAAATGCTACAAATCCTTCATTGGCAGCACAATTAAAATCTGAATTAAATAAACAGTTTGAAGCGTTGAAAGCTATGGTTTATTTTTTATTTATTTTTTTCAATTTTTTTTTATTTTTTTTATAAAAAAAGGGGGAGGGGTGAAATGTTTTTTTTTAAAAGATTAAAAAGGTTGATAAGAGAAGGGTGAAACCACTAAAAGATTTAAAATTGAGATTAATTTTAAATTTTTTTTAGAATTTAGTTAGAGGGATGGGTAAAGTTGAGAAATAAATGGCTGGTCGTGTTTCGGTTAGGTTTTTCAAAAAAAAATTTTTTTAAGTCCGAAGTTTGAGTTTAAAAAAGGTTTGGGTTTCGGTCAACTCTATCCATTGCGTTTATTTAACAAGGGCTCAGTCAGAGAGCTCAGGGGAATGGGGTTGAGGGGAATTCCTTCCCCCCCTCTGAAATTCTTCCTTGGCTTCGCCTTTGGTATTTAGTCTTTTCTTAAACCTTAAAAGACCTTTGTATATATTTTTGTTAAAATTAGTTTTGGATTTTTTTTTATTTTTTAGCATTTGAGTGGACCTGACAGTGGCAGTATTCGTGCAGAAATTATTAGGCATGTTTGGGCATTTATTGAGCCGAAAGAGTTTAATTCTCATTCTAATGAAGCACGCGCTACACTTCTTGGATGGTTATTACGAACAGCTAAGGTTTGAATAATTTTTTGAACAAATTTTTGAAATTTTAGAATATCTATAAATTTTTTTAAATTCCCTGAAACTTGAAATTTTAAAAATTTCAAAAAAAAATTTTTTTGAAAAAATTATAAAAACTTTTTGAGAAAATTTTTTTGCAATTTTGGAATTTTTTGAAAAATTTTTCAAAATATTTTCTGATAATTTTTTTAATTTTCAACAAGTTTTTGATTTAATAAATTTTCAAAATTTTTGTTGAATTTTCTTTTCAAAAAATTTTTTTAAAATTTTTTGAAAATTTCTTAATAAATTTTTTCCTTTTTCAAGCCTGGTGCTGAACTTCAATGGTGTAAATTGTCATTCTTTTGGGAGTGGTTTGGTTTTGATCCATCTATACCCAATTCACATTTGGCTGCTGAACCAGTAATCTCTACACTTCGACATTTATTAAATACAGGCCATACTCCTTTGGGAAATTCACTTGTTGATTTTTTGATTAAGGTTTGTTTGGATTTTTTAAACATTTAATTGAAACGATTGTTGACGGGAAAAATTTGTGTGACATATTTTTGAATAGGGATAGACGAAAATTAACCAAGTAGTGGAAAATTTTACATTTTAAGAATGTTTGATTTTTCCTAGTTTATGCAACTTTTTGTAAGATGATTAGTTGTAAACCCAAAACATAAGTTAACCCTATTATATACCAGGAAATCGGGACAACAATAAATTTCCCGAATCGGAAATTTCCGAGCCAAAAAACGTCGAGAATTCAAATTTTGGTAAATCTGTTTGGCGGGATCCATATTTAATAATAAGGTGTGTTTTATACCGGAACGGGCCAGCTGAGCGTCAGCCAACTTTGAACGGCTATAACTTTTTTAGCCTTGATCCAATACGAATGAATCATATATCATTCGAAAGCCCTCGTTAAGCGCTATATTTGTTTCAATTGGATGGATCATGATTGATCGCTATTTAAAAGGTTACAAGTCGATAAGTGTGAAAAACAACGATTTTCTGCATTTATCGACTTATAACCTTTTAACCGGGATCAGAACTGATCCATCCAGTTGGGATAAAGATTGGACTCATCGAGGGCTTTCGAATGATATATGATTCATTCGTATTGGATCAAGGCTAAAAAGGTTATAGCCGTTCAAATGTCGGCTGACGCTCAACCGGCCACGCATAACTGACCCCAACCGGTTTTATACTACGAATCAAGAACTTAGGTTTTTTAGCGATGAAAATGGAAGAAATCTGGCATCTTTACCTTAAAAGTTCAAAAAAAATTTTTTGTCTCCCCAAGCCGCCCCTTGAAATCGGCGCCCACTGATACGCTTTTTCCACTAATTTTAAGAGTCGATTTGTTCAATTCTATGGTGATATCTATTTAAAAATGGAGGGTTTTATAGCTTTACTTACTAAAAAAAAGTTAAATTTTTCCGTCAACAGTTATTGTGTCAATAACTCTACCTTTCTTTTTTACAAAATTTATTTATTTTTTTTTAGTCAACCAGCGTTCTTTATCCACCATTAAATTTCTTTTTTGTAAATTCTATCACTGCAGCAATGAAATCATTGGAAACGACTGCTTGTTTGTTAGTTTTTTTTTTATTTTTTTAATATTTTTATATATGGATTTTTTCTTTTTTGTTTAATTTTTATTTTAAAATGTGTTAGGTTTATTTTTACATTTTTGTGATTAAGTTGACTAAATTTTATATTTTTGAAAAAATTATTTAGAAACTTTATTTATTTGAGGGTAGTCACTAAATCAAGCGTTATGATCAGGGGAAGGCTAGGTTATAAAATAAATGTCGGGCCAAATTTCTGATTTCGTGTCAATAAAATAATATGTGGCATTGGTTTTCGGGTTCTGGGTAACCCGATGTCCATCCCTGTTTATGGATGACTATCGGGTTTTTATTAATCATTTGTGATCGGGTCATTTGATCGAGAGATTAGGAAGACACTTGCGGACGAAAAAATTCTTGAGTTGATGTACTTTAAAAATCTGAACAAATAACCTATTGACAATAAGTGTATTCACTACCCACACCAAAAAAATAGTTGGAATATCCAGTTTTTTTAAATGAATAGTAGTAAGTAGTAGGCCACCCAGTTAGCTCTTTATTTTATTTTTTGGGTTATAAAATCACTTGAAAATTTATTTTTTTTTTTATTACAGGCAAGTTTCACCAGTCTTTCTTCACAGCAAATTAGACCAAATATTACGTGATCAATTTCGTTCAACTTTTCCAGATTTTTTTCCTAAACGTTTAACATCTATAGCAGATAATTTGGCAGCTCCATCTTCTATAATTGATTTTGAAGCTATTCGGAAAACAACAACAAATTCATCTACAAGTTGTACAAGTTTAGTTAATAAACAATCAAATGTTGGTGTGACAACAGAAAATTTGATGGAAAACGAGAAACTCGAAAAAAATGTTTTGATTAATGGAAGAGTAGTTATGGGTGGAGGAGTAGGTGGGGGATCAAATGTCGTCTCTAGCAGTACCAATGAATCTAAATTGTCAACAACTTCAAGCAGTACAGGGCAAATTAAAGTAGAACCTGAAGGTGTGGGAGGAGAAGGTTTCGGAAAAAATTTAAAAAATGTTGGAGAGAGTGTAAGGGAAGGAGGAAGAGAAATTGGTGGAGGGGGGACAGCAGGAGGAAAGGAAAAGGACGGAGGAATGGGAGGAGGAGGAGGAACAATTTTGAGAACAACTTCAGGAACTCGTAGACCTTTAACTACATCAACTTCATCAATAGAAATATCCACTTCCCCTTTAAAGAAAAAATTAAAAAAAGAGGAAGAAGCTGGGGGTGGACGTTCTCCTCAACTTGATAAATTTAAAAAAGAAAAAAAGAAGGAAATAAAACAACAAAAATTATTGAAGAAAAATGAAGGAGGAGGAATTAATAATAATTCTAAATTGACTTCAAATTATGTTGGCGGTGAAGCAGCAACAACGAAAAAATTTGGTAAAAATTTATGTGTTTTTAATTTTTGATTAAAAAAAATTTTTAGTTAAGGGATTTTTAGAATTTGGGGACCTTTCCAATTTGACCATCTATTTCTTTGGGATTTTATTTTTATATTGGTTCTGGGTCGGTTTTTTTTATTGATGTAAACTTTTGAGTATTTTTTTGGGGGCTTTTGAATATTCAAATAGACCTAAAAAAGAGGCATTGACCAGAAATTGAATGAATTTAAAGATTCTTATAGACTCAGTTTGAAATTGGGCCTGGACGTAAAAATTTTTTTTGGCTCTTTTACACAATATAGGCCCAATCGAAGTTTATACGTCCAATCAAAAAAAATTTGATTTTTCTTTATACTTTGAAATTGTGGTTGGGGGTTCCGTAACGGTTCTCTTCATGTTCGAAGCAGATTGAACTGATATTGTGTAATAGACTCGAAAAAATTTTCATTTTAGGAAGCGAACTAGCAGTAAAATCATCAAAAAGTGACGATTCTTTACAATTAACAATTGCTGAGGATGAAGAGGAGGAGGAAGAAGAAGAAGATAATGAGAAAGAAGAAGGAAATGTATGGGAAGACGAGGATCAAGAAGAAACTGAAGAAAAGGATGGTGAGGATGATGAAGCAGACTTACAAAGTACTTCAAAACGTTTACCTTTAACTTCTCTTTTACCAATGGTTAGAGAAGAATTTCGTGAACATTTGGAAGGAATGTTTAAAGCAATAAAGAAGAAGCAACAAAATTTGTCTTTGGAAGAAGCAATTAATTCAATGCAGAATTTGTTGGATAGTATTTTTGATGCGGTTTGTTTGTTGATTTTTTAAAAATAAGAGAAAATGGGGGTTTTTTAAGGAATAGGTATGGATTTGGAGTTGACACATACTAGGAAAATTTTTTTAATAAGGATGATGGTTTTAAAATGTGGGGGAAATTATATATTTTTGGAAACTAATAAGAAACACTATTGAATTGACAGTAAAAATTTTTAAATAAAACTTATATTATCGTGTAGAGTATAGTCGATAACCTATTGCCAATTTTTGGCTCTTTTTGGCCCTGACCCCAAAAAATCAAAAAGTTATAGGGAGCGGTTACTTTTGGAGCGGTGAGTCTCCCCATGCTCCTCACGATGTTATAATTTTTATTCAATGATTTTTACTGACAGTTCGATAGTGTTCCAGTGAGGTTGAAGTTGGATTTTTTTGGGTATTTTAGAAGGTCCCAATTCTTCTTCCAAACATTTTCTTTTTTCCACAGTTAATTTTCTGGTTCTAGGGACTAGTCTTCTAGCCTCTTTTATTAGGAGCAATCATTTGCTATTTCATTTACTTTAAAAAAAAATTTTTTTGCTTTGCAGAATGAAATGGAATGTGACCAAACTGAATACATCGGCCTCTGTTTAATTAGAATTTTTGACACTTATTTGGAACAAACACAAAGCTATTTGACTTGTCAGGAACCTTCTGAAGAGTTTGTTTTTTTTTTTAAATTTTTTTAAATTATAGTTGGACCTCACTTTAAAAAATTTTTTTCCATAGTGGGGTTCGAACCTGACACCTCTAAGTCTAACACTATCCCACTACATCACAAAATATGATTAATCGATAAATGCCGATTTGAGGTTTACCTTAAGGTTTTGAATATTGCCTAGGCAAGATTTGATCTAAATTTTCAAAAGTGAACAAAAAGGAGGGCTTGAGACACGCCCAATAACATTTTGAACATCTATAATTGTTTCTCTACCCAAATGTTCAACTAAATTTATTTTGAAATAATAAATTTGGTGGACAAGGTACTGCAAAGCCTTCTTTGTTCAAAATTGTCGGATTCGGGGCGCTTTGGTATGGTTTGATTCAGCTCATCGAGGCGCATCGAACCATACCAGGACGTCATGGATTCGGCAATTCTGAACGAAGTTATAGCTCTTTGATACTTTGGGCTTGCAGTACCTTTGGGTGTTTCTAATTTAGATATCCTAATTTTTGGGGGATTTTGTAGTCATGTTTGGTTATATTTTTTTCAATTTATTTAAACAAAAAAAATTTTTTTTTTGTTTTTCAAGTGAAATTTCTGAAATAATGGAACAACCACTTTATCGTTTCTTCAAAACTTTGTGTCGTTCTGGTGAAGAAACAGATACAAGACAATTTCTTTTATCAATATTGAAAAAAATGATGGAAGAATGTAATCGAATTGGTTATTTATTTCTTTTCTTTCTTTCAAGTATTGAAAGTGAAAATGGAAATGGAGGAGGAGGTGGTGGAGGTAGTGGACGTTCAAGCAGATTAGGAAATAATGGAAGTAGTTGGCCGTCTGTTGACCAAGCTTTGGAAACTTACAAAACTGTGTGTCAATTAATGGATACTGAATGGGAAAAACAATTGGCTAAAGACTTGGAGGTTTTTTTTAATTTTCTATTTTTTTAAATTAATTTTTGACTAAAATTTTTGTAAAATTACCCTAAAAATGTCCAAAAAAATTTATTTTTAAGGGAATATAAGATTTAAAACCTAGAGAAATCTTATAAAAAAATTTTATTTTACCCTATTTTTTATTTTTATTAGTTGATATACTTGATTTAAAAAATATTTTTCCTGTGTGGGATTCGAACCGGACACCCCTTCCCTCGAGAGCACAATTCTTTTCCACTACACCACAAAATAGAATTCTTAAGCAGAGGTTCCTAGTTTTCTGATAATTCAGAATTACTGAAAAAGTGTTATAAAAATCTGGACTTTTCGCTTTCATTAGTTTTATAATGAGACAATTTCTGAAAATAAGGTTAAAAAATTTGCGGACAACTTTTGCGGACAACTTAAAAGAAAATTTTTTTAATTAATTTTTTCTTTTTTTTTTCAGCAATGTTCATTTGACGATTACCAATTATTTTCCCATTTACTCGTTAATGTATTAGCTCGTTTAACACCTTATGGCCCACCAACAAAAGTTATGCGTTTAATTTGTGGTTCAATGAATACTCGCCTTTTGTCACGTTTAATGAGTGAAATTGTTCGTGAAAATGTTGTTTTATTTGGTGAGGGAGATGTGCTTTCAATGTTAGTGGATTCGCTTAAATGGGACTCTTTAGAACAAATGATGCTTTGGCAAATGTTGCAAACGGAAGCTGTGGAGTTTGACAAATTTATTGATTTATTGTGAGGTTTTTTATTAATTTGTGGGGGAAAATAAGCTTTTAAAATTTTTTTTGGGAATTTTAGGGAGTTAAATGTTGATTTTCTTGTTGAAAATTGAAGATAGTTCACTTAAAAATATTTTTTTCAAGAGTGGGGGTCGAACCTTACACCTCCCTTCCCTTAGAAAACCTAACTCTATCCCACTACACCACAAAATATATTTTTTGAACAAATGTTGCCCATTTTTCTGATAATGTTCTTTGGGTAACCGAAACTGTTACCGACAAATTTAATAGAAAGAATTCGGTTTAATACTGACAATTTTTTTTAAGATAGGAAGGGGAGTGTAGATTTGCTGATAAAATTAGCGGACTTTTTTTAGGAGAATAAATATGTATGTAAGGAAAATTTCATAATTGTTAAAAAAAATTTTTTTTTGGATGGTGTAGGATTAAAATTAATTTTTTTCTAGGCAAAGACTAAATTACAATCAACATCCAGAAGCTACAGCAGCCGTTATTGTTATTATGAGAAATATGGAACCAGATCCAGATGTTGCTATAATGAAAAGTTTACTTCGAAATTTACTTTTGAGACCGCCAAATAAAGATTTGTTTACTGTGGATGCTATAAAGGTTTTTTTCTTCGTTAAAAAAAAATTTTTTTTGATGATAATTTTATAGTATTTAGTGTGTAGGAGATCGTCTCGTTCTAAAAATTAATTTATAGAAGGGTGTAGGAGATCGCCTCGTTCTAAAAATTAACAAAAAAAATTTTTTTGGGGTTTTCTAAAAATTTATTTTTTTCTGGATTAAGTGATTTGTTAAATTTAATAAAAATAATTGTGGATTTGGAAAAATTTTTTCGGTTTTTTGGGGAGACCAACGAATTTTTGTTTTTAATTTCCTTTATTTATTTTTATTTTGAGACATTTGATCCCAAAAATTTTTTAAATAAAAACAACCGAAAAAATTTTTTTCTGAGAACAACTTTATTTTGACAATGAGACATTTGATCCCAAAATTATTTTTTTCTAAAATTTTTTCTCTAATTTTTAAAATAATCTTTCAATTCCTAAAGTTACTTATTGACTATGATGATAATATTCCACCAGTAGCCAATTGTATTAGTAAATTTGTGAAGAAAGCTGTAGCAGATGGTGATATTAAAGGTCCAATTTGTAGTCCAAAACATTCTTCTATTAAAATGGGGAAAAATCGTATATTGACTGCTGAATATATTTTTGGACATTTGGTTTGTTTAGAATTTTTTTTTCTAAATTTTAATTAAATTAGGGTATAGGGGTAAAACTCGAGTGTTCAGAGGAGAGAGAGATCAGAGGAGAAAGGAGGGTTTTTTTTCAGATTATATCCAAGTAGATATTTTAAGGCTATTTTTAAAAGGCCAATTTTCCTCACTTTTTCAGTTATAATATCCTTTTTAATGCTAAGGGTATCTTTTCTGATCCTATCAACGGCTTTAACTCCTCCAATTCTCATGATTTTATATAACTATATTTTCGAAATTTAGATTTGTTAGCAACGTATCTCTCATTGAGTTGAGTCTGTCAAAACAGAATGAGTCAAAAAATAGTCCTGATGTGAAAGTACTGATCAGAGCTGTTTCGGAATTCAGATTTTAGAAGATTTTTTTCCTTCGATTTTTTGGCGATATCTTCGTTTTTCGAAGTTTTTTGTGTTTCGAAACAGCTCTGGCTTTGACCTTCTTTTTAGGACTGCTATAGAATTTTTATAAATCAATTTTTGTCTCAAAACCCCTTTAAAAATTTTTTTAAATTAATTTTCCTCAATTTTTTAAAGGATCGTTTGCGTAAATATTGTATGGAAAAAGAATCACAACGTGCCGAAAATTTGTTAAAAAATCAATTATTGTTGGATATGGCTTTATTAGTTAAAAGAAATGTCAAAACAATTGAATTGAGAAATAAATTTGATGAATTATTTGCTTTATTTGACATTTTATTGGAAGATGAACAAGCTACAAATGGAGGAAAACAACAACGACGAAAAGCTAATAATAAGGTTATAAAAAATAAAAAAATTAATATGAATGTTAGGTCGTTTGTTAATTGGTGAGATATAGATTTGTTGTAGTAAAGAGAGAGAGAAAAGAGTTTAGAGAAAAAATAGGGTTGTTGTGAAATAGAGAGGTGAGAACATTTTTCCGGAAAACATTTAAAACATTAAAACTTGACCGGAAGAAGTTTAATCTTTGAATAAACATTTTCCGGAAAACATTTATTTATGAAAACTTGCTTTTAAAGCATTAAAACATTTCCGGAAAAAGTTTAAATAAACATTTTCCGGAAAATGTTTAAACATGAAATAAACATTTTCCGGAAAACATTTAGAACATTAAAACATTTCCGGAAAAAGTTTAAACATTAAATAAACATTTTCCGGAAAAAGTTTAAACATTAAATAAACATTTTCCGGGAAATGTTTAAACATTAAATAAACATTTTCCGGAAAATGTTTAAACTTTGAATAAACATTTTCCGGAAAATATTTTTTTCGAACAATGTTTTGAATTATATTAACCTTTCTTTGGAATGGGGAAGCGGAAACCTTTGAAAGTTTTTGTATACAACCCTATTTTAAAAATTTAAAATTTTTGTTTGAGTGAGAGAAAGGTTTTTGTGAAGTTGATAGAGTTTCTAGAATATATATAGAATTTATTTGAAGAGAAAAAAAATATTTTTGATTAAATTAAGAAATAATAATAATATTTAATATATTGTTCAAAATTTTATCATTTTGATTTTGTTTTACATTCTCATTTTTTGAAATTTTTTTGAAAAATAATAATAATAAAATAAATATATTTATTTTTAATATTGTGATGTTTTTTTGTGTTTTTTAATTTATTAAAAAAAATTTTTTTATCATTTATTTAATTTTGTCCTTTAGTGTTCTTGTCGTTTTTTTTCTTTTTTTTTCCTAGACTTTAAATTAAAATTTTAATTAAATTAAAATTTATCAAAAATTATTTTTTATTTTTTTCCAGAAAATTGACGGATCGCCGACCAAAAGAAAGCGTAGAGCAAATAAATCAAGTGAATCTGATGAAGATTAACTGATAAGAATTATATAAAAATATTTAAAGATAAAAACATTTGGTTTTATTTAGGAAAACACGTATTTTTTGTATTTTACATATATTTGTTGTAGTAATTTTGGTTGTGTGATCTCATGTATTTTAATTTTTTATTCAAATCAAGTTTTTGCATATTTCTCTATTTGTATTATCTCTATATTCTGATGATGGGGTGATGGTTGTATGTATAACCTCAATTTTTCTCTCCCTCATTATTGTCACTTAAACATTTTAATCTCTATTTATCACTGCTTTTAAGTGTTTGTTTCCGGAAAACATGTTAGAGAACATTAAAACTTTTCCGGAAAATGTTTAAACTAAATAAACTTTTTCCGGAAACATCAAAACATTCTGGGGAATAAATTAAACATTTTCCGGAAAACATGTTAGAGAACATTAAAACTTTTCCGGAAAATGTTTAAACTAAATAAACTTTTTCCGGAAACATCAAAACATTCTGGGGAATAAATTAAACATTTTCCGGAAAACATGTTAGAGAACATTAAAACTTCCGGAAAAACATCCATACTCTAAACAAACATCTTCCCGAAAAACTTTCCGGAAAACATCTAAACATCGTAAAAACATTAATTTTTTAAAAACAAAAAGTTTCAAACTTTATAATATTTTGTTTGTTTTTAATGAATAAAAAGTTTATTTTGTTTGTTCAGAATTTTAAGGATTATTAGAGTCTCATATTTAATTTTAATTTTTTTCTTGCCTAATTTAATTTTCTAGATAATGTGAATTAAATTTGCTCAAAAAATGCCTTCATTCTTTCAATTATTGGCCAACAGCGGGATCAGTCCTTTGGTACCTCCACACTCAACAGATTTTGCTTCCCAAAAATTAAACTCTACTGAAGGGGGTTGTTCTGACGACGAAGAAGAGAAACACAAACTTGTGAATACCTGGACTAGACGAAAATGTATTTGGAGGTGGAGGAGGAGGGTAGGGAATTGTACAAAGGTGGAAGCATGTTTCAGACTGGTTTCTTGTTTTTGCTTCACAATTTTGCTAGTCATAGTAAGCAATTCTTGAAGCAATTTTTTTGAAACATTCCCTCCTAAAAAATATTTTTTTCAGTCTTTTCTTTATTCAATCGGGTGGAGTTGGACTATTGCTGATCTCACATTTGCTGATGTTCCTGCTAGTCGTTCAAATATTAGAATAGTGGAAATTGAAAGGCTTTGTTCTCAAAATACAAACAAAACAGCCCCCAAAGATTGTTGCACAGTTGTTGACATTCTGGACTATACGAGGTGTTTTATTGTTTTTACTCTAACTTTCCGGAAAACACTTATGTTTGGTAAAATGTTTTGTGTTTTTCCCTGTTGTTTTTAAGAAAAACAAACTTTCCGGAAAACATTTGTTTTGGTAAACTATATTTTCCGGAAAAACATTTAATTTTGGTAAATTTTGTTTTAATGTTTTCCGGAATTTTTAATATTTAATGTTTTCCGGAAAGTTACTCAAACATTAAAATCTTTCCGGAAAAAACATTTTTATTTTAAATGTTTTCCGGAAAAACATTTAATGTTGGTAAACTTTGTTTTCCGGAAGGCTAATGAAGCATTAAAATTTTTCCGGAAAACAATTATGTTGTTTTTATATTTGAATGTTTTCCGGAATTTTTAATATTTATTTTCCGGAAGGAAAAAGAAACATTAGATCTTTCCGGAAAAACTTTCCTGAAAACATTTAAATTTAATGTTTTCCGGAAAAACATTTTAATTTAATGTTTTTCCTGAAAACATTTAAAAAAATGTTTTTCCGGAAAAACATTTTATTTATTGTTAAATGTTTTCCGGAAAACATTTAAATAAAAATGTTTTTCCGGAAAAACATTTTAATTTAATGTTTTTCCGGAATGTTTTATTTCCCCTTATTTTTATGTTTTTAATACTCAAACATGTTTCCAAACATTTCAGTAAAACAGCTCGTCGTGCGCTTTTCTTTGGCGTTTTTGATGGGAAGTTTTCAAGCGACTTTGAGTCTGAAGTTGCTTTAATTCCACAAAAAGGTTTTTATTTTATTTTAAATTTATTTATTTTTAATTTTAAGTAATTTACAATATTTTTAATTCGGACACTCGTCTTTGGACTATTGACCATTTTACAATTTTAAATGAATATGTTGCTGCTATGGCTATTTTGCCGTTTGTTGTTGGCTCTCTACATAATGACTTGAAATTGAATATAAATTCAAACAAGGTTTTAATTATTGGACTCGGTGGAGGGTCTCTGGATATGTTTTGGCATAAACGATTTCCTTGGGTATTTTTTTAATTTAATTTAAATTTTTTTGAAACACCCTGTTAATTTTTTTATTTTACCCCTAGGATTTAAAAAATCCTATACCTTTTAATAAGATGGATATGCCTTAAATTGGGGGAGTATAGTTTCTCCGTGTACTCTTTCGCTTTTCATCTTTTGCTGAATTTTTGTTGTTTTTGCTTTTTCAACTCTGTTTCGGCAACCCCTTGTCATACCCAGTAGAAAAAATTTTGTAGGCGAAATTTTTGAGAGAGAATTTAGAAGGCCGTATGCCAAAAAAATTCACTTGCGCCAAATTTTTGGCGCCGAAGGCGCCAAAAATTTTTATTTTCAGCGCCGTAGGCGAAAATTTTGAGAATTTTAGAAGGCCGTATGTCAAAAAAATTCACTTTTTCGGCGCCGCAGGCGCCAAAAATTTGATTTTCAGCGCCGCAGGCGAAAATTTTTTGAATTTTGGACCTCAAGAAGCCAGATTTCGTCCTTTTTTAGCGCCGCAGGCGAAAATTTTTTAAATTTCAGAGGCCGTAGGCCAAAAAAATTCACTTTTTTTGCCCCAGCCCTTCCCCAAATTTTTTCCATTTTCCCATTTCGGGGGGGGGGGGGGGGGGGGGGAATTCCCCCCCCCCACCCCCCCTGGCTACGGGCCTGATTTTATATTGTTTTTCTTTCTAATATTGGGTCTATTTAAAAAATAAAATCCGCTTTGTTTAAAAAAAATTTTTTTTAAAGTTAAATATTACAATATTTGAAATAAATCCAAATGTTGTTAAATTAACTGAAAAATGGTTTGATGCAGGTTTTTTTTAATTTTTAACAAAATTAATTTATTTTTTAAATTAATAGTTAATGATGACACCAGACATGTTTTTGTACAAGATGGAATTTTGGCTTTTAATGGAAAATTGAATATTGAAAAGGGAAGGAAGGCTGTGAATAATAATGGTTTTTTATTTTTTTTTTAAAATTAGTCCAGTCTGGTAAAAAAATTTTTATAAGCTGCTGGAGTCAGGGATTAGGGTTGTCAGTTCTGGACCGAACCGAAGAAATTTTTGGTTCGGATATTGGTTCGGTTAGGATATCCGACCAAGGACCGACAACCCTATTATGTAGGTAGCCTTACCAATGGCTAACTTCAGACCTCGCTATATCCTTTCCTCCTCGTCAAATTTTAGGTTAGGTCAAATTTTAGAACTTATTTAAAGACGACTATTGACGAAATTTAATCAATTTTTCTCAATTTTCTTTGAAATTTTCAGTTTTTAAGATTTGGGGGTCATTTTATTACAATCTTTCTAAAAAAAAACTTGAATTTTTAAAAAAAAATTTTATACGAGCTTTTTAACCGCATTTATAATTTTGTGATTAGCAAAGCTCTAAAATTTCACATTAAATTTTTTTATTTTTTTTTCTCAGATTCTCAACTTTACGATGCCATAGTAATCGATGCTTGTGACCCAATAAAAAATGCTTCAATTAAAAACAAAAATAAAAAACAACAAGAAACTGACTTTCAACAACAAATGCCATGCCCCTCCTCCAATTTAATTTCCCCAACATTTTTGGGATTAATTAAAAGAAAATTAACTTTGAAAGGGGTTGCAATATTTAATTTATTACCTTTGGAGAACGAAGAAGTTAATGTTAAAAGATTTGTTCAGAGAAGATTGGCAGCACATTTTCCGACTTGTATTCGATATAAAATGGCTAAACAGTCTAATAGTTTGTTTTTTTTTTAATTTTTAGGGGGGGAGGGTAGAGAAGGATGGGGAGAAGGGTTGTTTTGTGGCCGTATTTTGGTTCATAACTTTTTTGCTCCTTAACCGATTTAGATAAGTATTATACCAAACGAAAGCTTTGGATGTACTGATTATTTTTCCAGAAAGGACTGATTAGATCCAACCACTACTTGAAAAGTTATGGCCCAATAAATGTCGAAAATCACGATTTCCCGCACTTATGAGTTCATAACTTTGTGGGGAATGGTCGGATCAAATTAATCCTGTTAGATAAAATACTCCTTACATCCAGAGCTTTCGATTGGTATAATAATTGTTTAATTCGGTTATGAATCCAAAAAGTTATGGTTCAAAATTATTTTGAAACTGCCTTTACTTTGGGTATATAATTTTAAAATCGATATTAAAATACACTAAAAAATTTTTTTTAAGCTTCTTTTCAATTTTTATATTTTTATTAGTCAAAATACTTCATTTAAAAAATATTTTCCCCAAGTGGGATTCGAACCTTACACCCTTTACCAGTCATATCCTAACACTTTCCCACTACACCAAAAATTCGAAAAATTTAAAATTTATGCCTATCTTGGTCCTCAACCCATCTTTTCATTTTTCTACGTCTCTTTCTATAAATAAAAACAATTTCATAATATTTTTGCAGATATTCTCGCTTGTCTTCCCTATTCAATCACACAACGTCGAAAATCGTCAAAAGAGCCAACTGAACTAACAAATGAAATGTTCAATTTTTGGAAAATGCGTCTGGCTACATTAATACGTGAATTTGGTTTTAAAGAGTTGCTAAATGATTCGACTTTAATGAATTTTTGAGTTTTTTTATAATTAAAATTGTGCGCCATGAGGGTACGTTTGAGTCTGGGCTATTAAATAATGAAGAAATAGTTAAAGGAGGGTGTGCAAGACTCTAATACCTCGTTTTCGAAATTTCAGGGGTTCTGAGATACAGAAATTCTGATTCTCCAAAAATCTTAATTTTTTTATCTAAGAAAATCAGAATTTACGTCCTTTTGGCGTTCTTCGAAAGTTTTTGGCGCACAGCGTCATTTTAAAAATCTAGTTAATTTAATAAGACAATTCAGGGTTTATAATCACCAGAGGTGGGTCGGAATTTCGATTTCCGGTGTTTTTTCCTTCCGATTTTCGAAAAATGTTTTTGATTTCCGATTTCCGACTTTTAGGCCAGTTCTGATTTCCGGTTCTTCCGATTTCCGACACCTCTGACTGTTCCGACCCACCTCTGATAATCACATACATCTGGTCGTACAAAATCTCTTTTTATTTTGTGTTGCCATGAATGTGTAGTTTTTAAATATTTTTTCAGACTCTAATGTCAACTTCTTTTTTGACATTCTTTTTTAATTTCCTCCCAGCTTTAATTATATCTTAAGCCATATATTTTTTTGAATTTTCTTTTACAGCTTTTTGATTATATAGATTTAATTGGGGCAGGCGATTTTTCTTTTTTTTGAGTCTTGACTTTTCTAAAAAAATCGCCTACCCCTAAATTTAGCAGCTTTCTTTTTTATTATTTTGATTCGAAATTTTTGACCCTTAATAAAATTTATTTTCATTAAATTCTTTAAGCTGAGTCTTTTGACAAAAAGGTACGTTTTAGTCTCGGAGTTTTTTATATTAACTTCTTAGTTCACTTGAGTCTCAGGCTTAATATTCCTATATTTGCTTAACCCAAAGTATCACCCTCCAAAACATCAAATATCCTATGTGGGTTTAAAAAGAGTTATTAGTGTAAAGCATATAGCTATTAATTTCCTAAGGCTGAGCAGTAGGCGGCGTGGTGTAATGGCTAACACATCAGTCCGGTCTACTGAAGATGCTGGTTCGCTCCCAGCCGCCGAATAACCTTTTGCACTAGCTAAAGGAGAGAAATAGCTATAGCCCAGCTGCTTTACTTTAGAGTCTTGACAAAAAATTTTTCGTTTCACATTTTATCTTACAAAATTAAAAACAAAAAAGAAGGGCAGAAAGGGGAACCAAAATTAATCTACAAATCACAGAAATAAAAAAATTGACAAAACTTTAAAATTACAAAAAATGCAAGTACAATTAATAGGGTCATTTTTGCGTATCAGTCTTTAGAAATATTTTTCCCCAAAATTCTGTTTAAAACTGAACAGTTCCATTCTTTTTTAATGCAATAGCATCTAATATAGCTTTGCGTTTAGCATGATAACGTGCTTGTAATTCGTGTAATTCTGATTCCATTTCTTTTTCTAAACGTTCTTTGCGTAAAAGTAATTCGTCTGTGCTCAATTCTTGTAACTTTGAAAGAAGAAAAAAATTTTTTGAAGACATTTTTAGGTTAGAAGACGTTTCAGTCTAGAGGGCATATTTTAAGTCATAACTTTTTTGAACTCCAATCTTTTCCTATGATCTATATATCATTCGAAAGCTCTAAATGTCTCTAATATTTTTCCCAAGAGGACTGATAAGTTCCTATTATTCCTTAAAAAGTTATAAACTGATAAGTGCGGACAATCGTGACTTTTGCTCTTTATTCAGCTGTAACTTTTTGTAGGATAACCTGATCAAATCAATCCTGTTAGTTAAAATAATCCTCAGATACAGAGCTTTCGTTTGATATATAAATTATTTAAAACTGTTAAGAACAAAAAAAGTGGCTGTAGTGTAGTGTACCGGTGGTAAAAGTTCGAGACGTGATATATGTCATTCGATTCGTCTCGGTGAGCTGAGTCGAACGGTACCACTCCCTATTTTAGGAAATGATTCTGGACCGAGTTATAGGTCACGAAAAATTGAAAAACCAAAGGGGGAGTAAGGTCGATTTTGGGATGAAAAATTCGAATGTGCAAATAATAGCTCATTCGAAAGAGCTCCTCGAGCTGAGTCGAATGACACCAAAATCAACAAAATCTGACTTGATTTGACAAAGTTATGATCGTTTGTTTTAGCTCCTTACCTATGGTCTCCATGGAGGGTTTTGCTGCTACTGAGGCCCCGGTATGCCCAGACAAGGGAGATAGGAATAGGTTTATGTTACGAGCCCAGACCCACCGCCCGTAGACTCCCCGCGAGGCGCGTGCCGCAAACCCCCGCGCGAAGCGCGGGGGTTTGCACAAGCGCCTCGCCGACTCTCCATAGGTTTATGTTGCTTGTTTTCTGTGTCGTAACTTTGTCTAATCTTGTTCAATCACGGTGATTTAGGTGTCATTCGACTCAACTCGTCGAGCTCTTTCGAATGAGTTATTATTTGTATAAAAAATTTTTTATTCCAAAAATTGCCCCTTTGGATCTTCGATATTTAGAGGCCTATATCTCGGTCTAATCAAGTCAGATTTTGTTGATTTTAGTGTCATTCGACTCAGCTCGAGGAGCTCTTTCGAATGAGATATTATATGCATATTCGAATTTTTTACCCCAAAATCGAGCTTACTCCCCCCTATGGTTTTTCAATTTTTCGGGACCTATAACTCGGCCCAAAATCATTTCCTAAAGTTGAGAGTGGTACCGTTCGACTCAGCTCGTCGAAACGAATCGAATGACATATGTCACGTCCCGAACTTTTACCACCGGTACACTACACTATATCCAAAAAAGTTATGGCACAAAATATAACTTCGAAACTAAAAAGCTTTCTCTGAAATAGTCTTTACTATGTGAAAATTTTGCCGTAAACTCTTCAAAAATATCCAAAAAAATTTTATTTTTCACCCATTTTTAATTTTTATATTTTTAATTTTTATCCATTTTTAATTTTTATATTTAATTTTTATTTTTAATTTTCACCCAATTTTTAATTTTTATTTTTATTAGTCAATATAATTCACCTAAAAAATATTTACCCCAAGTGGGGTTCGAACCTTACCCCCTTTACCCTTCAATCCCAACACTTTCCCACTACACCAAAGATTTAAGGAAATTCAATTTTTAGGCTAATCTTGTCTAACCGATAACTCGTGATTAAATGGTCCGTTTTTTTATGATTTTGGTGTCATTCGATAGAGAAAAAAATTTGCTACAATCCCAGCTTAATGGTCAGTTCAAGAAAAATTTTTTAAAAATTAAAAAAAAATTTTTTTCAAAAAAAATCACTCACAAAAGCATAATCTCCCTGTCCATTCATTGCCCGTTTAAAAGCATTAGATACATTACTATCTAAACTTGCTTGATTATAATCTTCATTTAATTTAATATTTTTCATTTCTTCATTTAATTTATTATTATTGTTTCCATTATTATTAGAAATTAAATATGATGGAGGTGGGGGTAATGAAGTGCTATTGTTGTTGTTATTGTTTTTGGTTAGTTGTAATTCTGGAAAAAATATATAAAATATTAGAAAATTTTGGTTTTATTCTGAAATTTATATTTTAGTTTAAATTCTGGTTTTTAATTCTGATTTTTGAAAATTCTGATTCCTTAAAGTTCTGGATTTTTAAATTCTGATTTCTCATAAATTCTGATTCTTCAAAAATTGTGAGATTCAGAAATTCTGATTTTTGAAAATTCTGATTTTTTTAATTTCAAGAGTTCTGGTTTTAATTCTGGTTTTCGAAACATCTGATTTGTCAGAAATTCTGATTCTTGAAAGTTCTGATTTTTACAAATTCTGGTTCTTCAATAATTCTGGTTCTTCAATAATTATGATTTATAAAAGTTCTGATTTTTCAGAAATTCTGATTTTCAAAAATTCTGGTTTTTAAATTCTGATTTCTCATAGATTCTGATTCTTCAAAAATTCTGAGATTCAGAAATTCTGGTTTTAAATTCTGATTTTTTCAGAATCCCCTCTCCTCTCCTCTCCCCTCCCCTTACCATGTCTAATACTCTCCCCATATTGTATCAAGGTTCCATCGTCAAAATTAGTTAACAATGTATCATTATTATTAACTCCACTACCCATAGTTTCTGAATTAATTATTAAACTATTTTTGGTTGAAGAATTTTTTCTTTCTGAATTTGAAACCATTGTTGAATTTGTATCGAATTCTGAAATTGAAGTTTGCTGTTGTTGGATGTGGGAATATTGCTTTAAAAATAGAAAAATTTAAATTCTGATTTTTTTTCAGAAATTAAAAAAATTCTGATTTTCTGAAATTCTGATTTCTGTTCTGATTTTTTCAGAATTTCTGATTTTGCTCAGAAACCCAAAATCAGAACAAAACCAGAATTCTGATTTTTTTCAGAATTTGATTTTATTCTAAAATCAAAAAATCAGAACTTTTAATAAATTCTGATTTTTAAAATTTTGATTTTTCGAAATTTTTTTCAATTCTGAAATTTGAATTCTGATTTAAATTCTGATTTCAATTTCTATTCCTACAATATTTAAAATTAATACCGCTTCTTGCAATAAATATTGTGCAGCAACATCTTGAGCATTTGCAATCATTTCTCTCAATACTTTTGCTCCTTTAGCCGATTTTATAAATTCGTGCTAAAAATTAAAAAAATATTTTATTTCATTTTAAATAAAAATTTTTTAAAGAAAATTGAACCAGGGGGACAATTGAGTCTTAAAATTTTTTAAATTTTTTTGACCTCCCAAAGTTGTCTAAAAATGGATAGATTAATCCGAAAATTATTCAAAAAAATTTCAGAATAAAATCAGAATTTCTAAAAAAATAATCAGAATTTTAAAGAAAAAAAACCTCAAGCAAACATTTAGCCGTTGTCCTCTCTTCCGGATTTTTAACCAAACATTTTGAAATTAAATCGAGAAATGATGGACTCCAATCTTGGGGAACTTTGAGTGTTGGAGGAGGTTTTGTAGGTATCATAAAAATTGCCTAGAAATTAAAAAATAAAAAAAATCGAAAAATTTAAAATACCCTCATTGGATGTATTTCAGCATGTGGAGGTCTTCCTTCAGCCATTTCTATAGCTGTTATTCCCAAAGACCAAATATCTGCTTTCATATCATAACCAACTTCTTGTATCAATTCTGGGGCCATCCTGAAATTTTTTTAGAAAAAAAAATTTTCTGAAATTTTCAAGAAAAAATTTTTTTTGATTGGATACCTTCCAAAAAGTACAACTCTTTAAGGGGTAATCAGATCTTATCAGTCCTACTGGAAAAAATAATTAGCATACCCAAAGCTTCCAAATGAAATAAAATTTAGTTAAATCAGTTAAGGATTAAAAAAGTTGTGGTTAAAAAAAGTTCACAGGTCCGTCCCATAAAAGGTCAAATAAAAGTCAAAAACACGTCAAATTCAAATCCCTATAACTCTTGATAAAATTATCCAAATAATCTAATTTTGATGTCAATGAATAGAGAATTAAATTTACTACAAAATATGGAAGGAAACAAAATTTTAAATTAAAAAAGAACAAAGGTAGAAACCAAAAACAAAAATTTTAAGAGGTTTTTGAAGGTTTTTTAGTCAAAACATTTTTTATTTTCCTCAAAAAAATTTTCTTTCGACCAAATTTTGTAGAGAATTTAATTCTCTATTCATTGGCACAAAATTTATTTTTACTCAAAATTTTTAAAAATAAAAAAAACCAAAAAGGAGTTCCAATAACAGTGTTTCTCTTAGCCATTGTATCAGTTATTTGCCCAGCCACTCCAAAATCTGCCAGTTTTGCATTTCCGTCCATATTTAATAAAATATTTCCTTTAAATTAAAATTTAATTAAAAAAAATTTTTTTCAAAAAAACCTGCTTTAATATCTCTATGTATTTTTTTCATTCCATGAAGATAAAAAAGCCCCAAAAGTGTGTCTTTTAATATTGCACTAATTTCGAATTCATCCAAAGTTTTACGTCTTAACCGCATTATATCGGAAACGGAACCAGCACCGCAATATTCCATTACAATCTTTTAAAAAAAAAATTTTTTTTAATTTAATTTTCCGTCAAAAACGAGCATTTTAGGGCAAAAAGTAAAGACTTGATTTTTTGGTGTAGTGGGATAAATTTTTGGAATTTGAGAGGAATAGGTCGCAGGTTCGATACACAACGAAGGAAAATAATTTTTAAATAATTATTTTGACTAATAAAAATCCAAAGGAAAAAAATAAAAAAAGTTAGGTCAAAAAGGTATCAAAATTGATCTTTTGGTTAAGTTGGAAAATGTTTAGTTTTCAAGGGAAATAGGTCGAAGGTTCGAGCCCCACTGAAGGAAAATAATTTTTAAATTCACAAAAAATTATTTAAAAAATATCTTTAGCTTTAAGCTCATCAAAAAAAATTTAATTAAAAAAAATACCCAGAGATCAGAATTTTTGAAATAACTTCCATAATATTTAACTACATGCCGAGAATCACATTGCTGCATTATTGTAATTTCTTTAATTATTTCTTGTAAATCTGTGTCTACTGGTACCTTTAAATTTAATTAAGAAAATGTTTTTAAAATAAAAAATAAAACCATTTTAATAGCCAAAGAACGCCCACTAGATTTATGTAATGCTTTATGGACTGACCCATATGAGCTGAAAAAATTTAAATATAATTCGCGAGGAAAATAAAAAAGAGAAAAATCAGGAAAGAAAAGGGAACACTTAATTCGTTTTTAATAACGGTTTAAAAGTAAGAAGGATCATCTTACAAAAAATTATGAGATGATAAAAATCGAAAAATCACAATTGTCCTCACTTATAAGTTGTTAACTCTTTAAAAATTGATCGGATCCTAAAGTCCTTTTGGAAAAAATAATAAGCACAATCAGAGCTATCGATTGGTTTTAGATCATAGGAAAAGGTTGAAGTTCAAAAAAGTTATGAGCCAAAATATCGCCTAGAGACTGAAACGTTCCCTACCCAATAAAAGGTAAAATTCTGTTGAAAACGAAGGCGGAAAAGAAGCCTATCTATGATATAAATCCAAAAAAGTAAAAGGACACCCCCAAAAATTCATTTAAAAATAAAAAATACCCTTCCCCAACTTTACTGACAATATCAAAAATTTCGTCTGGGAATTGATTTAATTCGTGTGGTTGTAATTTGAATGAATTTCTATAAAATTTTAAAAATTAAAAAAAATTAGATTAAAAAATTAAACGGGTCTGGTGTTGTCGGAATATGCTCATCAATTTCATCTTCATTATTATTCAACATTTCAAAATTTTTATTTGTACAATTTTGAGAAAATATTTGAGAAGTTGAAGAATTAACTGAAAAATTAAAAAATTTAAGGGAAAGTTTTTTCAAAAAAAATTTTTTTTACCCCTAGAAAAATTTTTAAAAAATTAAAAAATATCTGAAAACATTTTAGACTGAAAAAGGAACGAAAATAGCAAAATTTGCCTTTTTGGTGTAGTGGGATAATTTTTGAAAATTGAGGGGAAGAGGTCGAAGGTTCGAATCCCACCGAGGGGAAATAATTTTTAAATGAATTAATTTAACAAATGAACATATAAAAACACAAAAGAAGGAAGAATAAATTTTTTAGAAAGCTTTTTTGGACAGTTAAGGGAAGGAATAGGAGAAGAAAACCCCCCTAAAACTGTTTTGTTCAACAGTTTCGTCTTTAAAAAAACAAAAAAAAATTTTCAAAGATTAAAAAAAGGTTAAAATAAAACCACTATTGAATGAATAACAACATTTTATTTGTATAGTGGAAGAAACGAAAGAGAAGGGGTTACTTTAGCAGCGTGCTGGGAATAATCATTGGTTGGGAGAAACAGTTGGAAGACAAAATTGATGAAAAACAAGGAGAGGAAGGAAGAATTCAAAAAGTGGGGGAGATGAACACAAAACGATTTTTAATGTATATTTTTAAATTTGATTTCTAAAAAAGGTTCAAAAACCATTGAAAAAATTAAAAATTAAAGTCGCAGACTCAATTTTCTCATTTACCCCTTATAGTCTTTTTGGTGTAGCGGGATAATTTTTGGAAATCGAGGGGAAGAGGTCGAAGGTTCGAATCCTATCGAGGGGAAATAATTCGAAAAGAAGAAAAATAAATTATTTAAGAAATTTTTCGATAGGAAGAGGAAGAAAAAAATTTTTCATGTTTTATCTTGTTTATCTTGCAAGAATTACACCAATCAATAGAAGAATAAAGTCTATTAATGTACGAAGAATGAAGAGGAAATGAAGAGATTTTTAATTATTGATTTAAAAGATTAAGTAATTCTCATGTTCTATTTTCTCCTTTAAAATTCTCTAAAAAACTGGATTTTTCACCGAAGGACGACTCACTTAAAAAGCCTTTTAAAAAAATTAGAGTCCCAGACTCTAATGGACAAAAATTTTGTTAAAAATCCAAAAAGCTATTTTCCCCTAAAAACAAGTTTCATCTTGTTTTTCTTGCAAAAATAGGTCTAATAAAAAAAATTTATTTATCAAACTAAACTAACCAAAAGGGGTATGAAACAGTTGAGAGCACTGCTGTGGAACTGAGATCAAATGTCCCATTAATCTTTTCTCCTCTTCTTTTTTGTTTGTAGAGAAAATAGAGTAATTTATTGACTATTTCCTTTCCTTCTTATTTAATTAGCAAACATAGAAAAATAAATAAAATTAGCTAGCCTCCAATGAAGGTCAAAAAATGGGAAGATTTTTTGGCGGTCAGTTTTCTATAAAAAGAGACGATCGTTGTTTTTGATGTTTTTTGAGTTGTAAAATGTCAATGATATTAATATTTGTTGTTGTAACAGTGGCAAGAAAAAAATCTAAAAAAAAAAAGAAAAAATTTAGGTTGGGATCAAATGTCATTTTTACTAAAAGGGTATATTAGAGTCTCGAATTTACCCCTAAAAAATTGGGAACCTTTCCTCTTTTTATTCTTACCATTCGATAGGGAATTAAATTTGCTATAGACGATCTTATTTTCAAAATATTGGATCAAGTTACGGCAGAAATATAACCAGAAATTTAGGTTGGGATCAAATGTCATTTTTACTAAAAGGGTATATTAGAGTCTAGAATTTGCCCACTGCAAAATCGAGAACCTTTCCTCTCTTAATTCTCAGCATCCGATAGAGAATTAAATTTGCTATAGACGACCTTATTTTCAAAATATTGGATCAAGTTACAACAGAAATATAACCGAAAAACTAAAGTTTTGGGGAGAAATATGAGAAAATTTGTTAAAAATCGAATTGAACAAAAATAAGACTCAAACAGGCATATTTATTTTTATAGTTTTGGCCAGCTATATAGCAGCTGTCAACAGGCAAACTGCCAGTAAACCCTCGAAAAATGTGTAAAACATTTAAATAAAATACATGCCTTTTTTGGAAACTACTTTTAGCGACAAAATGTCACATTTCTCGTTTGCTGGCAAAATGTCGGATTGGCAATTTGTCACTTTTTTCTTGGGTGGCTAATTGTCACAATGGCAACTCTTTCGTCAGCATTATTCTGCATTTTGATTTTCGACATTATTTCTCTATTTCTCTGTCCACACTATTTCCTCTTTCATTTAAGTATAACTACACACAAACAGAGACATAGAAACGTGCATTTCTGTGGCAATTTACCAACTTTTTTTATGCGTCTCCCACCATTTTAACTTGTCTATTTCTTTAACCACATAATCTTTCTTTTATTTTAGTGTCTAATTTGTTAGTTAAATTTTAGTTTAAAGTTCGGCCATTTTAACTGTCTTCAGGTTATAAATTTCAGATTTTTTAATAATTTTTTTTCTTCGCGAGGGGTTAGTTTAAATTTTCTATAATTTTTCTGCTGCAAGAATAATGTGTTTTCTCCAAAAATTTGACTGAAAAAAAAAATTTTTTTGGGTATTCACCTGGAATTTTTTTATAAAATTCAGAGAAAGATTAGGCGTGTATTTAGGCATTGCTTCAATCAAAAAAAAATTTTTTTTTCAAAATTTCCCACGTTTTTCTTACTTTTCCAACCTCATCAAAATTTCTTCAAAACAAAACACACATATTTTAAATTTAATTAAAGTTCAGTTTCACCAGGGGATTTTTTAAAAATCAATTTTTTGCTTGGCTACCCTCTTCTCCCTATCCCCCACCCTATCCCCTCCTCCCTTCATCTTTTTAAAAGTCAATTTTCTTGACTTTTCACCCCTTATCCTCCCTTCCCCTAACCTATTGACTTGCTAAGGTGAGCTGGATCTTTTTCTGTATCACGAGCTTGATCGAAAGGCGCAAGCCTTTCAAGCCTTCACCCTTACCCTTCCCTCCCCCCCCCCTTCACAAGTCCTTGCCCCACCTCCCCAGATTTATTTTAAGCTTGTTAATTCTCCTTTCTCATTCAAATTTTCTTTAAAAAACGCTTCTTTCTCTTTTTAATTTTTAGAGATTTTTTAAATTGACTCTTAAAAGTCCAAAAAACAACTCCAAGAAAAATGTCCTTCCAACCACCTCCAAATCAAAATAACGATTTAAACCAAGTCCCCTCTTGGGATGAATTTAATATGATGGCACATGAAGACGAGGAGGCTAATTTAAATAATGAGGGAGGAGGAGGGTTGTTGTTAGATGGACCTGTAGACGAAGAGAATGATGTTGGGGATGATGAAGTTGTTGAGCCTGGACAGCCTGAAGAATATGGGCCGTCTCTTCCTCCAGGTTTTCTTTTTTGCTTTAAAAAATTTCTTTACATCGTCGGAAGGCTTTGGTAAATTTTTCAGAGCTCGTAGGTGCTCGTTTTCATGTTCAGGGGCGATTTATCAAAGGAACTCCCTTCAGACTCTAATAGTCCTTAAATTGGCCATTTGAGTCTGAAAATATTTTTTTGACGTTTTTTGACATTTTTCCAAGTATTTTTCCTCTCCTTTTGGTGCTTCCGAGTCCTATAAGAGTTCTACAATGTCCATTCAATCCGTTTACCTTTTAATTTTACCATTTTTACTTTTGGACATTTTGTCCCCATTTTTAAAAAATTTTAAAATTTCAAAAATTCTTTAAAATTTTTTCCAGGGTTTGGAGCAGACGATTTAAACGACGGACAACAACCTCATTTTGCTGAACACGAAATTATCAACAACGATTTTTCCGCTTCGTTTGGTGCTCACGATTTGGATTTGGACGACCCTGAAGACCCGCTTCAATGCAGCACAAGTTCTTCAAGTAATCAACCAAGAAATGTGAATTCGAGAATGATTGGACCGTCAATTCCGTCTTCGTCTTCTATGCTTCCTAGAATTCCGATGAATAATAGAGGTTTGATATTTTTTTGAAAAAAATTTTTTTTGGGATCAAATGTCACTTTTAAAAAATTTTAAAGTTGTCTGTCCATTTTTTCGATTTTTCTTCTCTAAAAAATGTTTCTAAAGACATTTTCTCATTTTTATTCTTCATTTTTCATTCAATTATTTAAGAATTAAATTTTGGGATCAAATGTCACCCTTAAAAATTTTTTACTTTTTTAACCTTTTCTTATCTGAAAAATCTTTCTAAAAACATTTTCTTATTTTTTTCCTCGTTTTTCATTCAATTAAAATTTTTTTACCCAAACGTGTTCTGACCCAAATGTCCAAAAAAATTTTTTTTTAATTTTTGGGATCAAATGTCATCTTTTCTGTTTTTAAAGGTGATGAACATTTTCTTCCATCAATTGGTACCAACCACAATTCTTCTGTTGATTTTATTCCTTTGTGTGATCAACCAAGTAGCAGTAATGCTTTAAACAATAATAATGTAGTTATTGGACCAACACTTCCACCAGATTTGAATTTGCCGAGTAATGGAGGGGGACAACATGGAGGTGGTGGAGGAGGATTTCCAAATATTAATGGTTCTTTTTTAATTTAATTTTGTAGGGAAAAGGGGAGGGAAGATTTTTTCTGGATAGCGTTTAGCTCGGGCCATTGAATACAAGGATAGCGACTAGTAATAAGAAACTGATGAGACTTCATTCTTCATCTATCCCTTCATGATAGATCTCATCGTATCATTTAGTCACGGAAATTTCACTTCTTTATTCCATGTCTAAATTGGCCCCCAAAAGCAGTCTAAATTTTTAAGAAAAGTTGGATGGCTCTTGGGAATCCTTGATTTTTGGCTATAGTTTTGGGCTAAAATTACCTCTAAGTAGTATATTCGACCAAATAACCGACCCAAAAATCTCGAGGTTTTTGGGTTTTTCCGAACCGATAAACCCTAGCTTTGCAAATATTACCCCTACTCATACTACTCTTTCTCAAAAAAATGTTTTTTTTTCTTTTACAGATTTTGAAGATATTGGAGGTCCATCATTACCCCCAGACGAACCACAAATTTGTAATAATTCCCAACAACAACAATCAAATTCTCGTACTTTTCGTAAAAAATTGAATAGTTTTGGGCCAACATTGCCTTCAAGTAGTGATGAAGAAGAAGAGGACGAACAGGAAATTAATGAGGGGAATTTGGCACAAATTGAATTAAATAATGAAGAAGGGGGAGGAAGGGATTTTGAAATTGAAGGGGAAAGAGAGGCTGAAAATAGAGGGGAGGAAGACTCTTTTGTTATTGGCCCTATACCTCCAGTTCCTGGACGCTCTGAAGAGGAAGAACAATTTGAATATTTGGCACGTTTGGCTGAATTTGAGGCTAATAAAAAGGTTTTTTGAGAAATTTTTTAATTTGGCCCCCCTTTCTAATAGACGCCCAGAAAATCGAATCGGAAAATGTGAACTCTGCCCAGGACGCTATTGTCCCCTAATTAGTTTTGGGAGTTTTTTGGATTTTAATTTGTGACTCCCTATCTAATAGACGCCCAAAATTTTTTAATTTGTGACTCCCTATCTAATAGACGCCCAAAATTTTTTAATTTGTGACCCCCTTTCTAATAGACGCCTATGAAAAGGAATCGAAAAATGTGAACTCTGTCCAGGACTCTAATGTTCCATTATTATTTTTGGGAGTTTTTTGGATTATAATTTGTGACCCCCTTTCTAATAGACGCTCGTGAAAAAGGAATCGAAAATTGAGAAATCTTCCCGAGACTCTAATGTCCCCTAATTTTTTGGGAGTTTTTGAATTTTAATTTGTGACCCCCTATCTAATAGACGCCCAAAAATTCTGAAAGATGGGAAATCCGTTCAAGCTAATGTCTCCTAATTTTTAAAAATTTTTTCAAAATTGAAAAAATTTTTCAATTTAAGGCTTCAAATGGTTTAAAACGTGAAGAATGGATGACAGAATTACCTCAAAAAATGCTCAAAACAGGTGCTTATGGGCTTTCCTCAAAAACCTCATTTTCGCGTTCTTCTGCTGGTCCTTCCAATAATGATAATTCTGGTTGGACAAGTATTCCAAATGGTGGTGGAAATTTAAAGGTTTTTTAAGTTATTTTTGGGGATTTAATATGAGGAATTGGGGATTGGTTGTTGTTTTACGAGAGGCTTTGGTCTGGAGCTCGCAATTGTCTAAACCTCTCAATCAAGCATAGCCCATGTCTATTTGTACCAGAGATGGACCGCAAACCCGTAACCATGTTTTTTTTCAGAAGGGCAGGGATTTTTTCGGCGCCAAAGACGTATTGAGTAAAAGGTCGGGTAAGACTCTCAAAGTTTTCCTTCGAGTTGGAAAGCCTTTTGGTTTACCTTCAAACCAGGACTGGGCTAATTTCGCTTTTTATTTTTAGATTTTGCCCAGCCCTGCTTCAACCCTTTTTTCGTTTAACCTCTTTTTTCTCTCTTTTTCCCCCAGTTTTTAATTTTTAAAAATTTTTATTTTAAAGAATACCAAAAACAATAATGTTGATAATTTTGATTATGATGGCCCTTCAACTTCCTCCTCCTCAGCTACATCTTCCAATATTCCCAAACCACCAAATAAACGAAGTGAACAGGATGAATGGAATGAGAAACGTGCTGCTGAATTAAATGTGTTTTTTTAATTTTTTTTTTCTTAAGAAATTTTTAAAAATATTGAACCTGACAGACTCCAATTTTTCCTCCCCAAGTATTTTCCTATATATTTGGTCAACTTTTTCCTTTCTTCCATCCAAGGGGAAATAAAAATTAATTTCTTTTGATTGTTTATAGGCAAAATTAAAAAGGGAATAGGAATGGAGGAAAAGAAGAAAAGTTTGACTATTTTGTATGAAAAAATTCGGGGAAAAAAAAAATTAGGTCTGTCAGGTTCAATATTACCATTTTTAATTTTAAAGAAAGAACGAAACGAATCACTTTTGGATATCCACCAGAAAAAACGAAAATTGGAATCGTCGAATAATAATAAAAATGGAGGTGAAAGTTCTGGAACTAAGGTTTTTTAAATTTTTTTAATTAAAAAATTTTTTAAAGTTGTTGTACACAAATAATGCTGAAAGGAGGCCATTTAATAGAGATACTGATATTGAGGTTTGAATTTTTTGTATTATACAAAAAAGGGAAGCTCTTATGGAAAAAGCCTCTTCTCTTCCTAGGCCCTTAGAAGCTCCTTTCCTACTTCGAATGGTAGAGGCTTTTTTCTCCTTTTATAGAGGAACTACGATGACCATGAAATTCTGAAAAGATTTTTTAATTCACCACACACCTTGGTACGCTACAATTATTTTCTTTTTCGAGACGGAAGCCTTTCCTCGGTTAAAGAAATTGAATTTAAAGTCACCTCATAGAAGCCTCTTCTCCCGTAGAGGGACCAATGAGCTGGGTAGCTAATTGGAACCTTGAAGAATTTTTGGAAAATTCCCCCACACCTTTACACATCTCCCCAAGAATTTTCTTCGAGGATTGAGCCTTTCCTCAGTTAAGGGAATTAAGCACAAATTCAACATGGTCATCAGAAATTGATCAGATTGAATTTTTGGTCATTCTTTTAGAAAAAATTTTTTGAGAGAAAAAAAGCAACTCTAAGAAACCCTTACCTTATAAAATATTTTTTTGTTGTTAAATTTCTTAATTCATTCTTTTTTTTTAATTTTAAAGATTCGAGGACTTGGAAGTAATAAGAAAACATCTTCTACAGACCCAGCATCATTAAAGGAACGTGTAGGTGATTTGTCCAATCGTTTTGGAAATAATTCTGATAAGAAATTTTTGTAGGAAGGAAGGTTTATTTTTAAAATTAATTTTTTTTCTCTTTGACTTTTTCCCCTTTAAAAAAGCAACTCTCTTTTTTTTGGTGATCGGAAAAAATTTTGTCCCTTGAGACCTTAATTTCAGTTGTTTGCTTCTTGACCAGATTTTTGCTCGAAAAAAAATTCTGATTATGATTTTTGACCCTAAAATCAAGGGTATCTAGTTCTGACCCGCTCTATTTATTTTCCCCAATTTTAACTAAAAAAAAGAGTTGTTTTCTTTGATTTTAGTAAAATTAGAATATTTTAATTATTAAAATTACTTCCCCTTATATTTATCCATCCATATCCATTTTTGCCCTTTTCTGAATTTTTAGTAAAATAAAAGCGCCCATTTTTTTCTGCCAGTCTATAAAAAAAATTTTTTTTGCCTGGTTTGTAAGTGAAAAAAATTTTTTCCTTGAATATTACCCACCAAATATATCCAAAAGTCAGAAGTTCTTTTCTTTTCGGTTTGCGAAAAAATGGGGGCTTACCTATATTGATTTTAAAAAAATTAAATTATAAATAAATTTGCATTTTAGGGGATAACAAAATATTTTTAAAATTAGAATTTTCTAAAATTGAAATTTTTTATTAAAAAATTTGTTATCCTCTATATATCCCTAAAACCCTCCCTATATTATTTAGACATATTTAAATGAGGTTTTAAGACACCATTCTTTTAAAAAAAATTATTTTTGGAATTTATATGACTTGGGGAATTTAATTGGAATTTAAAAAAAAAATTAAAAATTAAAAAAAATTAAGAAAAAAATTTCAGACCCCAATGACCCCCAGAACTATTTAATTTAAAGAATGGTGCAAGCACACAACTAGCCAAAAAATTATAAAAATACACCACAAACCTCAAAAATTATTTTTTTCCTTTTCTGTGTACCTTTTTTTCCTACATTTAAAATAAAATTATTTAAAAAAATTTTTTTAAATATTATTAGATGGGTTGTATTTTTATTACAACTTTAAAAAGATAACTAAAGAAGATATAACTTGTGTTTTAAAATAAAATCAGAATGTATTTTATTTGTGTTTTACTAGAGTTATACAAAAGAATAAAAAGAACTTGTTTTCCGGAATGTTTTAATAAAATTCTAATTTTTGTGTTTTCCGGAAACTTGAATAAAATTCTGATTTGTGTTTTCCGGAAAAAATATAAAAATATTGTTTCCGGAAAGGTTTAAAAATAATTCTGATTTTTGTGTTTTCCGGAAAATGTTTAAAAATAAATTCCGATTTTTGTATTTTCCGGAAAACTTCTAAAAATTCTGATTTTTATTCTTTTGTATAACTCGTGTTTTTTAGTGTTTAATCCGGAAAGTTTATTTTATATAAGTGAAGACTTGTGTATGTATTTTCTTTTAACATTTTCAAGTTTATTTTTCTTTCTCTCTTTTTTCCTCTCTTATTTATGCACGTTGAATAGGCACACTACGGCCAAAAACAGAAGAACGTCCACCCAATTCTTCTGCTGGGCGCAATAAATGATCTTTAAAAAAATTCATTTTTTTTTAATTTTTTTAAATTTTTACCAGCTCCATTATATCCCCCACGATATTCATTACGAGATGCAGAAGCTGTACGTCGAAAATGAGACTCAGAACGATGACTTCCTGCCCCTCCTCCACCTCCAACGCTGTCAACAGCGCTTAAACGAGATGGTGGACGGTAAATTGATGTTGGTGGTGAAAGCGCATTTGCACCTGTTCGTCGGAACTAGAAGAAAAAATTTGAATCTCGAAAACTCAAATGTGTTTTAATTTAATTTCCGGAATGTAAATTCTGACTTGGTTTCCGGAAAAGTTATATAAAAATTATAGTTTGTGTTTTTCTCTAAGCTTTTATATTTTGTGTTTTAAATTCTGATTTTTTAGTGTTTTTTTTTTGTATTTTCCGGAAAGTTTTATTTCCAAGTGTTATTATAATTCTGATTTTATAAAATTCTGATTTGCGTGTGTTTTCCGGAAAAGGTTTAAAATAAAAATATTTGATTCCGGTTGATTCCGGAAAAAGTTTAAAAACATTTTTAAAAATTCTGATTTTTGTTTTCCGGAAAGTTTTTAACCCTCACCTCTTCACGAAATTCTTCTCTACGCGCTTCATGTCTCATTCCATTAGCATCAGTTTGTCTCTGTTCATATTCACTTTTATAACCCCCATTTCTACTAGGAGATAATAAATAATCTCCACCTCCAGCTCTACTATCCCCTCTATAATAATCAGAAGCTTGAGTGCCCCTACCAGAATCATAAAATTGATCACGGGGAGAATAGGAACTTGAACGCGAATTTGCTCCAAAACGGCGGGCAGTTGATTGACTTTCTATTGGTATAGCCCTTTCTCTACCTTCTATTGCTTGCCAACGCTTTTGGGCTTCGACTGTTAAACGTCCCTATAAATTAAAAAAAATTTTTTAGAATTTTTTTTCAAGAAGAAAATTTCAAAAAAAAATATATTTACATGGCTATCAACATGGCTTGAAATAGATTGAGGCTCCACATCAGAAGGCAATTGATATTTACGGACAAAATACTAAAAAAATAATTTTAAAAGGTTAAAGAAATTCTGGTTTTTGTATTTTCTGTTTTACGATTAATTTATTTTGTGTTTTCCGGAGTTGTAAAAATTCTGATTTTTGTTTATTAAAAGGTTGGTAAAAAATTCTGATTTTTTCCTGTTTTCCGGAAAAGGTATAAAAATATTAAATTCTGATTATTTTCCGGAGATGGTATAAAAATTCTGATTTTTTGTATTTTCTTGTATTTTTATTAATTTTTGTGTTTTCCGGAAAGTTGTAATAATTCTGATTTTTGTATTTTTTTGTATTTTTCTTAAGCATAGTTTTGTGTTTTCCGGAAAAGTTATAAAAATTCTGATTTTTTGTATTTTCTTGTATTTTTATTAATTTTTGTGTTTTCCGGAAAGTTGTAATAATTCTGATTTTTGTATTTTTTTGTATTTTTCTTAAGCATAGTTTTGTGTTTTCCGGAAAAGTTATAAAAATTCTGATTTTGTATTTTCTTGTATTTTTCTTAATTTTTGTGTTTTCCGGAAAAGTATATTTTCTCTAAGGGTTCTGAAATACTTTCCCCCAAAATTTAATATTTAATAATTTTTAAATTACCATTTTTGTATAATTATCACGATCACGAACATCCTCATGTCTACCTTCTATTAACAACGTATCATCTAATGTTTTTACTTGTAATTCCTCCGGGCGGAATTGGTAGCAGTCAATTTCTACAGAAAAACGTTGACTATCGTTTGTAACATTTGTCTAAATAATTGTGTTTAAAATCTGATTTAAGTGTTTTCCGGAAAAGTTTAAATAAATTCTGATTTTTGTGTTTTCCGGAAAAGTTTAAATAAATTCTGATTTTTGTGTTTTCCGGAAAAGTTAAAATAAATTCTGATTTTAGTATTTTCCGGAAAATATTAAAAACTCTTTTATTATATTTTCCGGAAAAGGTTTAATAACCTTAAAATTCTGATTTTGTTTTCCGGAAAAAATATAAAAATATAATTCTGTTTCCGGAAAAAGTTTAAAATTAATTCTGATTTTTCTCTACCTTAACATCAATTCCTTCTTTAAATACAGGCTCCGCCCATCTTGGGTACAAATCACGCCAGAACGGATCGGAGCGCCAATCACGGTCAAAACGGTCCAAATAAGAAGAAAACTAAAAAATTACAAATTTATTTTTAATTTTTAATTAAATTCTGATTTTATTTTTTATTTTTTTTTAAAATTTTTTTATTAAATTTTTCGCACGCTCGCGCCTCTGAAAAGCGTTTTGGTGGTAGATCTGACGTTGAAGAAGGCGAAGTTACAAAAGGGTGTGTGTGATTAGTTGATACAAAGGTTGTTTTTGTTGAAGGCCTCAAATGAGGAAATGCTTGATAAAATTCTTCTGAGAAGAAAGGACGTTCTTCCTCTCTTTCTAGTCCATCTCTTGTAGTTGTTCGTTCTATACTAGGTAGAGGTTAAAAAATTCTGAAAAAAATTTATTCTGATTTTTTATACCCTGTTTTGTCCAACTTTTTCTTTCCCAACTTCTTTCCTCTTCTTCCTCCTCTTGTTGTTTCCCATTATAATTATATTTTCCGGAAACATTTTCCGGAAAAGTTTTATTCTCTTCTCCATTTATTGTTGCTTTTGCTCTCTAAATTTTTTATTTTTATTTTTTTTTCTCTATTTTCTCCAAATTATTACGCTTTCAAAATCTCTGGTTTCTGTTGATGTTGTTTGATCCCCCACATTAATATATTCATCTACCAACGGTTCTCTCCATCGAGGACTGGGACGTGGACGAGTTCTTTCGCTTTCACTCATTTTTTTTTAATTTTTTTAAAATTAAATTTTAAAAAATAATTCGTTTAGTCGTATTATTTAAATAAATATACAAAAATCGACACGTATAGCTTAAGAAGAAGCAAAATTTAAAACTTCTAGTGAATATTCAGTGAAAAATAAAATACAAAATTAGAATAATAAAATACAAACCTTCCGGAAAAATATAAAGACTAAATAACCTTCCGGAAACTTATACAATAAATTCCGGAGAATATATAATATAAATCAGAATTCCGGAAAATACAAGAATAAAATATAATAAGGAAATATAAAAATCAGAATATTCTTTTCTTTTGTTTTCCGGAAAATACAAAAAATACATTCCGGACAACATAGGTATATAAATTCTGAAATACATAAAATCAGAATTTATATTTTCCGGAAAATACAAACAAATAAAATTCGAAAATACAGAAAAATACAAAAATCAGAATATTCTTTTCTTTTGTTTTTTCGGAAAATACAAAAAAATACATATTAATTTTAAAAAATACAAAAACATTAAAAGCACGTATAGAAAGGCGAGAAAATTGATTATAATTAAACAATTTAAACAAATAAATTTTATTTATCTTTATTTATTTTTTTTATTTACTTTATGATAAATACAGCAAAAATAAATAATATACGATTTTGCCTTTGCTGTATTTTCTAAATATTTTTTTTGTTTACCCATTGGATTGAACAATTTTTTATTTTTTATTTTCTCGTTGAGGGAAATGAAAAAGAAAAAAGAGAAAAATAAAAAAAATAAAAATTTAAGCTGTCTGTTAGAATTTTTTGTTAGCACGCTCGTTGAGTGATTGAATCCCTCCCCTCTTTCGCCCTCCAAAAAAAAATAATTTTATGAATTATTGTGAAAGGTGCAGATTGGGACTACAATAAAAATGAAGAGAGAATTGCGTAAAAAATTTTAAATACCAATTATTTGTATTTATGAGGAGGGGGAGGATGCGCGCGGGAATGAGGAGGGAAGGTATTTCATAACATTTGTATGAACGGATGGACCTTTAGAAAATAACAATGGTAAAATACATTGTTTTTATAGAGGATTAAAATTGTTATGAAATACAATAAAACAGAAAAGAAAATACAAAAATACAAAAAATCAGAATAATTATATACTTTCCGATAATGTATTACAGAAATCAGAATATTAAAAAATCTCAAACTTTCCGGAGAAAACACAAAATCAGAATATTATATAAACATTCCGGAAAAAGTTTCCGGAGAAAATAGAATCAGAAAAAATAATATATACTTTCCGGAAAACCGTTCCGGAAAAAATATAAATTAATCAGAATATGTATTTTATATAATTTTCCGGAAAACACAAAACTTTCAGAAAAACATTCCGGAAAATATAAAATAGAAAATTCAAAATATATAAACTTTCCGGAAAACATCAGAATAACAGAATTGATAAATCAGAATATAAACAAAACATTGTTACAACTTTCCGGAAACTATATATAAAACATAAAAATACATTCTACACACAATAAATATTTTTGTATTTTATTAGAAAAGATAAGCCTGTAAAATAATGGTTTTTTGCCTTTTATTATTGTTCATTCTCTACGGAGGCGTTTAATAAAAAAATATAGGAGAGCGTACACATAGCTTATCGAGAATTTTTTTATTGAATCATACAAGGCAAAAAAATATTTTTATGGGAGGAAAATATTTTTTTTAATAAATTTTTTATTTTTTCGCCATAAAAATTTTTAATTAAAAAATAAACCAACCCGAGGCACAATAGCATCCATTCGTGGCCAATCAGAAGGCCAATCACGCCACCAACGGTCAGTATCGTGAGAACGGAACTAGAAAATAATAAAATTTTTTAAATTTAATTTAAATAAAAATAGAAACTAGAACAAAAAAATTTTCAAAAAATCATGCCATTTTTCGAAATTGACGCCCTACAAACTTGGGAAAATCAGACAAATTTTTGTTGTTTTCTATTTTTGTGTTTTTATTATTCTTTTTCATTTTCGGAAAAAAATTAAAAATCAGAAAAAAAATTATTTTTGATTTTTTTAACAATTATTTTTGTATAACAGTCAATTTCCTTTTAACCCCTCTTTTTTTGTTAAATGTTAAGTACCCTTATATCTATAGAAAACAACTTAAAAACATTTTATATACAACAAACATCAATATAACTAATTTTGGAAAAACATTCACCAACTTTTTCCGGAAAATGTTTGGGGGATGTTTCTATAGTAATTAAACAAAGTTTTCCGGAAAACATCAAAAAAAGTTTCGAACATTCCGGAAAACATCAAAAAAAGTTTCGAACATTCCGGAAAACATGACAAAAATAAATAAAGTTTCCAACTTTCCGGAAAATACATTCATACCTAATTGTATTTTTTGTGTTTTAAAAACTTGAATTTTTGCTTCAAGCTTTAAAAAAGTTGAAACAATAAGAAAATAAAAATAGAAACTTTTTTTCAGAATAAAATTTAAACCAGACTATTCACACCTCTAGAAACTTTATTTTTATTTAATCTTTATATGACCCATTTTTTTCTATTTATAAGAAGATTTCTTTTAATAATTTTTATTTGATCAAAAAAATTTTTTTCAAAGAAAATCCTCTTTTATATTCATTTCTCATGAAAATCCCCCTATTTTTTTATATTTTCAAGGAGGTGAAGAAAAATAATCTTTGAGTCAACGTAAAGCTAAGGCTAGTAGTAGGTGACTAGCAGTCTCTCAAGGTGTTTATAAACAAACAAAAAAAATTTTTTTAAGAGCAAACAAACAATAATAAACAAAAAAATTTCTCTTTTTGACTCACCCGATCAAGCAAATCTCTAGGTCTAGGCCAATCCACAGGCCAATCTTCCCATTCACGGCTAAATCGGTCACGCCATGTAGAGTTCCAACTACTCAATCTACGTTCTGGCCAATCACGCCAAAAAGGATCTTCGTCCCAATGACGGCTTGAAACCAATGCCATTTGTTTTGATTGTTTGTTGTTTTGTTTTTAGTAAATAATAAAATCTGAAAATAAAAAAAAACATGTTTGTAAAACATTAAAACTTGAACTAAAACTTGTTTTCCAACCTTTAAAACTTGTTTTAGTTCAAGTTTTAAAAAACATATTTCATTAAAAACATGTTTTAAACACCCAAAACATTTATTAAAACTTGAAAACTTTTTAAAAAAAACATCAAAACTTTTTAAAGAACATTACAAACATGCTCAATTAAAACCATTAAAACATGTTTATATTTTTTTAAAACATGTTTTAGAATGTTTATAATAAAAACATGTTTTAGTCACTCAAAACATAATTAAAACATTAAAACTTTAAAAACACCAAAACTTTTTTTAAATAAACATTAAAACATGTTTTTCTCAAAAACATGTTTAAATTCTCAAAAACATGTTTATAATCTCAAAAACATGTTTATAACTCAAAAACATGTTTATAACTCAAAAACATGTTTATAATCTCAAAAACATGTTTATAATCTCAAAAACATGTTTAAAAAACTTTTTCCAATTTATATACCCAATTTTATTTTTCTAATTTAATATAGAAAATTCTCGAATATTTTTTTAAAAAATTTATAAAAATAAAATTGAATGTTCTCCTTCGAGAAAAATTTAATGAGAATAAAGAATGATTTAAAAGAATGTGTTTTTAAATGGTTTTTTAATTTTCCTTTTATATATAGGCCCCAATTTCACTGCGCGAGCATCAAAACCAAAAAAGAAAAAATTAAAAACAGCCTGTTCAATAGTCAAAAAAATTTTTTTCTTTTTTTTTAAATTTATTACAACACACAACCAAAATTATTGAGAAATAGAAAAAAGAAAAAAATTCTTCAACATATAACATTTTATTTTAAAAATGTTCAGAGAGAATGCCTTTAAAAAATTTTTTTGTTGATTTTAATTGGTTTTCTCTCCTAAATCAAAAAATTTATTTTAATTTTAAGGGCGTTGAATTAAAAAGAAAAGAAAAAGAAAAAATAAAATAAAATTGAAAATCCATGTAAGATGATTCATTCAATTATTTAAGAAAAGACAAATCAGAATTTTTTGAAACACAATTTTGATTTATTGTGTTTGACTAATTTCCGGTTCAACGAAAATCAGAAAAAGAAATAATGGGTGTTTATAAAAACATTAATTTATTTTAAAAATGTTTTAATGTTTTTAATGTTTTAATTGAAAAAAACATCTTTTAATGAAAACTTTAAATGTCCAGTTTTAATGTTTTATTTAAAGTTTTAAAACTAGTTCAGTTCGTTAATAAAACAAACTTTTCTAAAACTTTTTTTCAAACATATAAAAATTAAACTTTTTAAGAAACTTTGTTTTTCTTTAAAACTTGTTTAAAACTTTTTCTGAAATTAAAACAAGTTTGAAAATAAGTTGATAAAAACAAGTTTATTAAAAACAAGTTCATTTCTAAAACTTGTTTTTATGAACATGTTTGTTTTGATATTTTATTAAAACCTAAAAACATACCATTAAAAAGTGAAGAAACATGTGGTTTGTTTGTAGATGACTCATCACAACTAAAACAAGTTTAATTCTTTAAAAAATTTTAATTTAAAAAAGTATTTAATACAAACATGATGATTTCATTCTAAATATGTGTTTTTGTTGTAATTTTTATTTCACATTTAAAAATAAATTTTATAATACATTGCTTATTTGGATACAAAATATACAGAAAATGACTGTTCTAAAAATAGGGGAAAAATAAAAAAATCAGAATTTTTTCAGAAAAAATTTTTTTGGAAAAATCAGAATTTTTATTTTTAATTATCAGAATTTTCACTGAAAAATTCTGAAAAAAAATTTCTGAAAATTCTGAAAAAAATAATTTTTATGAAAAAATCAGAATTCTGATTTTCAGAATAATCAGAATTTTTTTCTGAAATCAGAATTTTTCTGAAAAAAAAATTTCCAAAAAATTAAGAATTCTGATTTTCTGAGGAAACAGAATTTTTTTTTTGGGGAGATGAGATAGATTTAAAAAGAAAAGGTTATAAACCCGTATAAATTTTTGGTAAAAAGATCAAAAATAAAAAAAAATTCAAAAATTCTCTTCAAATATATTTGCTTAATCTTTGCATAAATTCTTGTAAATTTAAGTCTAGTTCACTAGATGTTGGCCTATCTTCTGGTGTTGTTGTCCAACAAGAACACATAATTGAATAAAGCTCATCAGGGCAATTATAGGGTTGGGAGAGGCGAAGACCGGCATAAACTATTGCCTAAAAATAAAAATTGAATTCTGATTTTTTTAAATAAAAAATATTCTGAAATTTTTCAGAATCTGGTTTTATAGAATAAAAATTCTGTTATTTCAGAAAATCGGAATTACTAATTTTCAGAAAAATTCTGGCTTTCTGAAATAAATTTTTTTCAAGAAAAATTCTAATTTTTCTTGAAATCAGAATTCTGAGTTTTATAAAAAAATTGTTTGCTTCAAGATAGAAATTCTGATTTAAATTCAGAATTTTCTCAAAAATATTCTGGTTTTACATAAAATCAGAATTCTGATTTTTTAAAAAAGATTCTGATTTTTCCAAAAAAAAATTCAGAATTTTCAGAAAATCAGAATCGTAAATTCTAAAAAATTCTGATTTTTCAGAAATAAAAATTCTGATTAAAAAAATAATCAGAATTTATAAAAATAATCAGAATATTTTTAAATCAGAATTTTTATTTCTGAAAGATCAGAATTTATAATATTTATTCTTTTACTTGTTCCAACTCATCCTCATGTATTTCATTATATGGCAATTTTCCACAATTAAAAATTTCCCAAATTAAAATTCCACAAGCCCACACATCTGTAGCACTATTCCAAATATTATTTTGATTATTATTTTGTTTATTATTAAATTTTTTAGAAGAAACAAATAATTCTGGGGCCATCCAACGAATAGGTAAATAACATGAATATTCTGTTTCTTGTAAATTTTCTTCTTTTTTATAATCTTGGGAAAATAAATCACTTCCTAAAATTATTTAGAAAATTAAAAAAAAATTTTAATTTGAGGTAACCTAAAGCAGAATCACATAATTGAGAATGTAAACGAACACGTCCACCGCTCATTTTTGTATGTGAAACTAAACAATTTCTGAAAAAAAAAATTCAGAATAAAATTCAGAATAAAAAAAAATAAAAAATCAGAATTCTGTTTTTAAATTCTGATTCTGAAAATCAGAATTCTAATTTTTAATTTTGATTTTGAAAAATCAGAATTTTCAGAAAACCAGCATTTTTCAGAGAAATCAGAATTCTGTTTTTAAATTCTGATTTTAAAAATCAGAATTAATTCCGAAAAATCAGAATTTTTCAGAAATCATAATTCTGATTCTTAAAATCAGAATTCTGATGTATAATTCTGATTTCGAAAAATCAGAATTTTTCAGAAAATCAGAATTCTTATGTATAATTCTGATTTACAAAAAGCAAAAATTCTGAATTTTACAGAAATCAGAATTCTGATTTTTTTCTAAATATCAGAACACATTATTACCTTGTAGCAATGTCTTTGTGGATTATACCAAATTTATGTAAGTGACGAACAGCAGAAACAATTTGCGAAGCTAATAATACTAAATTATGTATTCGAAGAGTTGTTGTTGTTTCTGAAATTTCTAAAATTGTTGCTGGAGCATTAGTAGTGGATGAAGATGAAGAAGGCGAGTTTGTTACAACTAAAAAAAATTTTCATGAAAAATCGAAAATGTTTCAAGTCTTTGAAGCATGCTTCATATATTTTGAAGCAAGCTTCATATTTTTTGAAGCTTGTTTCTGATTTTTTGAAGCATGCTTCAAATTTTTTTGAAGCAAGTTTCAAATTTCTGAAGCATGTTTCTAATTGTCAGAAGCATGATTCAAATTTTTTTGAAGCATGCTTCGAATTTCTGAAGCACGTTTCTACTTTTTAGAAGCATGCTTCATATATCTTGAAGCATGTTTCTAATTTTCAGAAGCATGCTTCATATTTTTTGCTACAGTTATTTTTAAAGCATATTGCTTCAACTTACCAATTCGAGGATTTTCCATTCCACCACCTTCCTTTCCCTTCTCCACGTCTCTACTGTCATCCTTCACCTTATTCTCCTCATCACTTTCTTTAATCACTTTCTTTTCTTCTTCTTTTAATCCATCACCACTACAACTACTTCCCTTTCTAAAACGTTTTGCCCAACTTTTAACTACAACCCCAGGACTAACTGAAGAAGATTTTTTGTTATTTAAAGACGCATTAAGTGCTTGTTCTCTACATTCTTGCAAAAAATTTTTTAAAATTCCAAAACCATCATGAGCATAACAAATTAAAGGTAAATCACGAACTGAGTCTGGGTTCAAAAAATTACCAAATGTTGCGGCTGCAATTACCTTAAAAAGGAAAAGTTTATATTTTTAAGTTAAAGCATGCTACTGGATTAAAGAAAAAAGAGGAAAAAGAAAATCAGAATATTTTCTAAACATTCCGGAAAATAAAATTCGAAACATTCCTAAAACTTTCCGGAAAATGCAAAAATATATTTCTCCCCGGAAGAATTAAAATACTCCCAACATTCCGGAAACAAAAACTTAAAACATTCTTAAAACTTTCCGGAAAACATGTAAAAATTAAAAGATTACAAACATTCCGGAAATAAAAATAATTTCAAACCTTCCGGAAATATAAAAATAAAAACTTTTTTCCGGAAAAGTTAAAATATTCCAAATATTTAGGGAATAAAAACCCAAAACATTTCAGAACTTTCCGGAAAACACAAAATTAAAATACATGTCTATAAAGCTTTCCGGAAAATTAATATATTCGGACCCTTCCGGAAATAAAAACACAAAACATTTTCAAACTTTCCGGAAAACATACAAAAAATATTCTACTAAATTTTAAACTTGCCTGCGCCAAATGTGGATGTGGGGGCACATAATGAAATTGTAAAGCAGCTCGTAAAAAACATTCAAATTGAATTCTATCTGCATCAGGTTTTAGAGTTTTACAAATTAGTGCAGTATCTTCTTTAGCATCATCTTCCCCATCATCAACTTCATCAACAACTGGTCTATTTCCATTTAAACCTATTTGGCGCCAATTTGCCCATACTAACTGTCCAAAATGTCCTTCCATTTCAGGCTTATGGCATTGTTCAAAAAGATTTCTATCTGCATTTAATTCTATTAATGCTGCAGAAACATCCACTTGTTGGTTGTTTCTTTCATAAATTATTTTGCTTGGTAATTTATTTTGTTGTTGTAATGCTGCTGCAGATGTTGAAGGCATTTGAGGATCAAGTAGTGGTTTACGTTGTTCGTCGTCTAGTACTGTTTTTGAAGAAGAGGAGGCAGTAGTACAACTATTAATTGTTGCTAGTCCGGTTGTTGTTCTGAAAAAAAAATATAGAGAAATATAAAACTTTCCGGACAAAAATCAGAATATTTCTAAGTTTCCGGAAAATATATAAACAATATAAAACAATATAAAACATTCCGGAAAATAAATAAAACCTGAGTTTCCGGAAAATATAAATTAAGAACTAAAACATTCCGGAAGGAATATAAAAATCAGAATTATTCTAAAACTTTCCGGAAGGAATATAAAAATCAGAATTATTCTAAAACATTCCGGAAGGAATATAAAAATCAGAATTATTCTAAAACATTCCGGAAGGAATATAAAAATCAGAATTATTCTAAAACTTTCCGGAAGGAATATAAAAATCAGAATTATTCTAAAACTTTCCGGATAAAATCAAAACATCTATTTCTATTTTGCGGAAAACATAGAAAACAATATAAAACCTTCCGGAAAATATGCAAAATATATAGTGTTTTTAAACATTCCGGAAAACATAAAAATTAAAACATTCCGGAAAATTCTAAACTACTAATTAAAAATTTAAAGCTTTCCGGAAAGTATACTACAAACAAATCAGAATATTCTAATTAGAATACATACATTTTAGATAATCCGCTTTTACCACTATTAGCTGTTGAACTTTCTTTTAAAGAACCACCATTAATTAATTTATTATTATTTTTTTGATCAATTCCTTGTTGAAATAATATTTTTCTTCTTATAAGAGATGAACGTGTTGAATTATATAAAGAGCCTATTTTTGATCTTCTTCTTCGAAAAGAAAAATTGTTGTTTGTTTGTTGTTGTTGTTCTTTTTCTTCTTCTTGTTTAATACAATAGCAACAACAAAGTAAAACTGAACAAACTAGAGCAAATAGAGAAACAGACGCAACAAGTAATTGACAAGGAAGAGAAAGTAAACTTATAAAAGAGAATAATGGCCAAGTTGAATAAGTTGTATGTTGTTTGTTTTGTTTGTTGTTTTCGTTGTTGTTGTGGTCGTTAATGTTTAGATGGTTGTTTGAATCTTCTTCTGAAAATGTTTTTATGAAAAATAGAAAGAGAGAGAAAAACATGTTTCTGATTTTCTTTTAAAACATGTTTTTATGAGGAAAAACATGTTCTTGTTTTTATTTTTGTGGATGTTTTTAAAAGAGAAAAACATGTTTTTGGTTTCTTTCTGCAAATGTTTTAATGAGGAAAACATGTTTTTGGCCTTCTTCTGAAAATGTTTTTATGAGGAAAAAACATGTTTTTGGTTTTCTTCTGAAATGTTTTTATAAGGAAAAATGTTTTCGATCTCTTCTGAAATGTTTTTAAGAGGAAGAACATGTTTTTAATAGGACCATGTTTTTAAAAAAAACATATAAAAGTTCCCTTTTCGTTCTGAAATGTTTTTAGAAAAGCAAAAATAGAGAAACACATTATTCCAAAGGACATTTCTCTTAAACTGAAGAAGCCCAAAAAAATAAAAAGAAGCCAGAAACGGTTCCTTTTTTAATATTTTAATAATAAACTCGTCAAATTGATGAAATAAAAATTTTATTTTATATTAAGTCTTCTTTCCTCATCCATCGATTAACAACTTAACAACAACCGACCTTTATATGCTTTTTTAAAGTTTTTTCTTTTCAATTTTATTTTTTTTCCTCAATAATCGAAAATTAAGAAAAAAATTTTTCCAAAAAAATTTTTTTAATTAAAAAAATTTTTTTCCCACCCTCACCTTGAGCAAAAGCCCTTCTCCTTCCTTCTCTATACGAACATATTTTCTCTTGTTTTAAAGTTAATTGTAATAAAGATGTTTTTGTTGTTGTTATATTAAAATTTAAATTAACACGAAATTGACCAGAACGTGCACCTACACATCTATATTCAACTTGAAATTGTTGGGGAATGTTTGGGACGTAACCTTTTGGCGAAATTAAAACAATTGGGACAACATCAAAATGTTGGGAATTTGCTTGAAGAGAATAATAAGTCTGAAAAAATAATAATGTTGAGAAAAACAAGTTTAAAAACATGTTTTGTTGAAAAACAGTTGAGAACAACAAGTTTTAGTAATGTTTTAGAAAAACTTCAGAAACAAAGAAGGTTACAAATAAGTTTGTAATGTTTGAAAAATAAACTTGTTTGGAAAACTTGTTTTTCTAAACTTCGAAACAAACAAAGTTGCAAAACAAGTTTTGCAGTGTTTAAAAAATAAACTTGTTTGGAAACAAGTTTTTAATGTTTTGAAGGATGTTATCACGAGCTTTATGGGTTATTAAGGCGCAGAACGTTTAGGCGCCGTTCCCTATAACTTTTGAGTGGATTACCCGTTTTTGATAAATTTGGTATCATTCGATTAATAATTAAAACCCTAAAAAATTTTTCTTACCATTCTGTCTGAACTGCTCCAAGTAAATCTAAGTCGACTAATATTTTCTGCTAATCTGTAGGGGAATTTTGTAGAATATTCATTAATAACACCATCAGTGACATAATCCATTCTAGCAGATATTCCTTTAAATAAATTTTTTTTAATTTAAAAATCCAAAAAAAATTAATAAATTTACCCAAAGTTCTATTCATTTCATCACTTTCAATATACAAATTAAATGCACTAATAGTGTTAAATACAAAAATAAAACAAAAAATCAGAATTAAAACAAAACAAGTTGTAATTGTAAAATTGTACATTTGTTGAAAAAAAATAAACTTGTTTTTGTTGTTGTTGCTTCAAGTTTATTTAAATATAATTACATTTTCTGATTTTTAATTCTGAAAAATAAAATAAAAAATAATTAAAGTTGGTAGGTGTATAATAAAAAACATTAATAAAACTTGTTTGGATTCAAGTTTATTTTTTTCTGATTTTTAATTCTGAAAAATAATTCTGAAAATAAATTCTGAAAACAAATTCTGAAAAAATTAAACTTTGTTATAAACATTAATAAAACTTGTTCGAATTCAAGTTTATTTTTTCTGATTTTTAATTCTGAAAAATAATTCTGAAAATAAATTCTAAAAATAAATTCTGGAAATAAATTAAACTTTGTTAAAAACATAAATTAAACATGTTCAGATTCAAGTTTATTTTTTCTGATTTTTAATTCTGAAAAATAATTCTGAAAAAATTAAACTTGGTAGGGTATACAACTATTTATTATTAAGCTATAATTAAACGTCCAAAAATCCAATTTTTGTCTATAATTTTAGATAATAATATTTTTTGAAGATTTCCCCAAAAAAATTTTTCAGAAGACACTTTTCTCTTTAAAAAGTTGCTTCAAAGACAAAAAAAAGTTGCTTTAAGGAAGTAAAATTCAAGTCTAAAAAATATTTGTATAATTTTTTGAGTGTTATTTAGACTCTTTTTTAATAAAAAAATATATTTTAATAAAATATCAATTAAAAAAAATTTTTTATGAACATGGAACAACAGTTGTAGCAAGTAAAATAATATATTATTTATGTCTAAATATTTTTTCCTTAATAAAATAATAAAAGTGTTGATAATATTAAAAGATCATAAAAGAAGGTTAAAAAAGAAAGTTAAATTTATATACTCAACATTTTTTATTATACGTATTATTTAAATGATCGATCAAGCGTCAAGTATATAAGTAAGCTAAACATAAAACAAAAACATTTGGTGTGTTTTTATAAGAATAAATATAAAATAAATAAACTTGTTTTAATTGAGTAATAAAAACTTAAGTGTTTTTAAATAAACTTTGTTTTTAATTGTTTGAAAAAATAAAAATTGTTTTGTTAAATAAACTTGTTTTAAAATAAACTTGATTTTAAATAAACTTGATTTAAAATAAACTTGATTTAAAACATGTTTTAATTGTGTTTTGGATTCTGGAAAAAAATAAAAACAACAAAAACATATTAAAACAATGAAAGCAGAAGGAAACAAAAACCAGAATTATCAAATCAGAATTTTAAATAAAAAAATACAAGAAAATTCTGTTTTAAAAAGAAAAATACAAAATTAATTTAAAACCAGAATTTGTAAAATCAGAATTAATTTCAGAATTAATGTTTCATATAAAATCAAAATTCCCTTATATAAGCAAGTATGTATGTTCAAAAATTAATTTTTCAAATTAATTTCTGGAAAAGGAACACATTTTTTATATTTTCTATTTTAAGAATATATTCACACACAAGTGCTTCTCCTTTATTTTAAATAATATTTTCCTTGAATTGTCAACATTTTTTAAAAGAAAAATTTTTTTTCTCCTCTTTTTTTCTATCAAATTTCCATTTTTCTTTAAAAAAAGAAATTTAATGAAGAAGAAAAAAAAGGTAAAAAAAATCTCTGTGTTTTATCTTTCCTTCTCTATTATCCCCTCCATAAATCCTCTTCTCTTCACAAGAATATCAAAAATTTGCAAAAGGAAAAAAAATTTTTTTAAAGAGAAGAGGAGATTTTTGATTAAGTTTTGGCTTATAAAAAATAAAAAAAAATATTTAAATTTTTTGGAAACAAATTTTTCGTCTTTTTTGGTATCATTTGATAAAGGATTATTAATTTCTCTACAAAATTGGAATTAAAATAAAAATTAAAATAAAACACAAAAATAGATTTTTATAGAAAATTAAGTCTTTATTGGATGCTTTTTAAAATAATTTTTGGTCGGTTTTTGGTCTTAACTTTTTTGCAGATTAATTTTAGATTAAAAATTATTTTTTATTTAATGAAGAATTTAATTATCTATCAAACGATACCAAATTTGGTTAAAAAATTAATTTTAGTTCAAGTTTTGAGGTAAAATGTAAATCAGCTGAAAGATTTTTGATTGATTTTTAGTCGTTTTTTGGTCAAAATTTTATTCAGAATTTTTTTTCAGACTAAAGCAAAATTAAAAAATTATTTTTTTATATTATAGAGAATTTAATTTTCTATCTAATAATACCAAATATGGCTTAAAAAATTAATTAAATTCAAAAGTTATAAGGTAAAAAGCAGCGTGACTCTAATAGTCAACTCATTTAAAAATGCCTTAAATTTAGGAAAAAATAGAATTTAGAAATGAAAAAAAAACAAATAAAATAAAAAATAAAGGATTTAGCCCCTTCCTGAATAGTCAAAAAAATTCTCTTTTAAAGGAAATCATTTAAAGTTAAAAGCGTTGATGTAATAAAAAAAATGTGTACTTTTTAAAGGGGTAAATAAAAAAAAAATAACAGAATAAATTTGTTGTATTACATATAAATTAAATTCTGATTTTGTTTTATTTGTTAAAAATAAAACAAATAATTCTGATTTTGATAATTCTGATTTATTAATTCTGATTTTTTATTAAAAGGAAAAATTCTGATTTTTTAAAAAAATAGAAAAATTCTGAATTAAATATATATAGGAGGAAATTCTGATTTCTTTAAGAATGGAAATTCTGATTTTTAAATATAAAGGGAAATTCTGATTTTTAAATATAAAAGGGAAATTCTGATTTTTAAATATAAAAGAGAAGTTCTGATTTTAAATATAAAGGGAAATTCTGATTTTAAATATAAAGGGAAATTCTGATTTTAAATATAAAAGAAAAATTCTGATTGTTTTATGAAAAAGAAATAAATTCTGATTTTCTTAAAGATAAAGAAATAGAGAAATTCTGGTCTTTAAAAAATAAATTCTGGTTTATAGAAAATTCTGATTTTTAGAAAAAAATTAAAACTTAAAAAATTCTGATTATTTAAAAAATAGAAAACATTCTGATTTTATTTTGTATAAACATTAAATTCTGATTTTTTAAAAAAGAAAAAAATGTCAAATTTAAATGTCAGAAATATTAAAATGTTATTTAGTCACATTTACATAAATGGTCATTGTGAATGTTGTTTTATTATAGTTTAGTTTTTTTTGTTGGGGTTATTTGCTTCTATTTTAAGAGTGTTGAAAAGGTAAGTGGTTGGTTGATGAGGAAGTATGTAGGGGGTGGTGGTTGGAGGTTAGTAGTAATGCGCAGGCAGCAGTTGGAGAGTTTATATTGTTATTTTTAGCCTCGTATCCCTCAAAAAAATAAATAATTCATCAAAATCGTGCCTCAAAATGGCGTCTATTTCTAAATAGGACACAATAGAGTATAAAAAGGAAACAAAAAAAAATTTTAAAAAGAATTTTTTAAAAATGTTTTTAATTGACAACAGAGTGTGATAGTAGAAGAAGAGATAAATTCTGATTTTTTAATGAAAATAAAAAATCAGAATTTTTTTAAGAAAGAAAAATTCTGATTAAATATGCAAAAATTCTGATTGTTAGAAAAATAGAAAATTATGAGAATTCTGATTTTTTAAAATTCTGATTTAAATGCAAAAAGAAATCTTCTGATTTTTGTTAAAGAAAAAATTCTGATTTGTTAAAAAAAAGAAATTCTGATTTCTAAATATAAAAAATTCTGATTAAATATGCAAAAATTCTGATTGTTAAAAATATAAAATTCTAAGAATTCTGATTTTTTTAAAAGAAAAAAAATTCTGATTTTTTTTCTTCTTCTGACTATAATAAAGAGCAGTATGTATGTAGTTTTAAGTGTCTAGACTTTAAATTTGTACAGGTTTTTACTTATTTAAAACTAAGTTTGAGTGTAAATTATAAAAATTGCATTATCTAGACACTTAAACTTTATAACTCAGTCAAATTAGCATATAAAACAAGCTTTATATTTTTTTTCTAAAAATAAATTATATTTAAAAAAAAGTCTGTCTCTTCTCTACAGACAAAAAAAGTGAAAAATAAAATAAATAAAATATTTAGACTAAAAAAATTTTTTTCTTCCTTCTTGAGTTTTTAACACTCTATTTTTCATTAGTTTTATTTTATCTTTTATTTTATTTTTCTAAAAGTATTTTCTTCTATACTTATCAAGAATGAAGTGAATAAATGAATGAATTGTTTGAGTGAGTGAAAAAAAGCTTCTTCTTTAAAAATTCCCTATACTTAAATGCTTCCTTATTTTTTTTAACAGAAGAAAAAAAAATTTTTAAGAGAAAGGAGGGTCAATTTTTAAGGAAATTGAAAAATAAAAAAAAATATTTTATTTTATTTGACACGGCAAAAATTAGAAAGAAAAAAAATAAAAATAAAAGGAAAATATAAAATTAAATCATGAAAAGTTTTTTTGATGCTTTTTCAAAAATGAATTTAAAAAATTTTTTTTTAGTTAAAAAAAATATAAAAAAATTTTAAATTTTACTAAAGACATAAGAAGGAAAAATAAAAATATTAGAACAAAAAAATTAATTAATTTGCTTAAAAAAGACTTAAACTCAAAAAATGCATTCTAAAATACATATTATTTACATAAAATAAGCTACATTTTCCTCTATTTAAAAATCTCTAACAAAAAAAAAATTTTTTTTCTATTAAAAAAATACCCCCCTAAAAATTACTAAAAATTATTTTCCCCAATTAAATATAATTTATTTAAATTAGCTAAAATTTTCTCTTGTGCTTCTTTTTTTGCCCTTTGTTTTCATTAAAGTAGTTTGTATGTACTGTTCTCATGAAATATTAATTAATTGAAGAAGGTAAATAATGGAAAAATATTTTTAAAAAATAATAAAGTACAGCAGATGGCAAAAACAGAAAAAAAAAGAAAAATAACACAACATGTGTGTGTACAATTAAAAATACTTTCCGGAAAGGAATATATATGTATGTATTTTATAGGTAGCTTAAATGATGATATTATTTAATATTTCCTGAAAAGTATTTTCCGGAATAGAGAATAAAACATTTTCCGGAAAATAAATAGAGTATTTTCCGGAAAGAATATATGTAGTCTATAGTATTTTCCGGAATATTTTCCTGAGAAGAGTATTTTCCGAGATAGAGAATAAAACATTTTCCTGAAAGAAGGAATAGAGTATTTTCCGGAACGAATATAGTCTAAAGTATTTTCCGGAAAATTTACCTGAGAGTATTTTCCGGAATAGAGAATAAAACATTTTCCTGAAGAAATAGAGTATTTTCCGGAAAGAATATACTCGAGTATTTTCCGGAATATTTACCTGAGAAAAATACAAACTTTCCGGAAGGATGTTATTTAATATTTTCCTGAAAATAAATAGAGTATTTTCCGGAAAGAATATTTTTAAAAGGTCGTGTAGATATATGTACATATTTTCCGGAAAAGAGAAACAGAAAGAAACAGATTAGTTCTGATAAGAAAAAAAAGATTCTTTTAATTAAAAAAATTTTTTTTTAAATTTTAATTTTAAAAATTAAAAAAAAATTAAACAAATATTCAAATAAAAAATTTTTTACATTTTCTCTCTCACATCAAACATTCACCACTAAAAATTTTGGTAACAAACTATAAATTGGGTATTGCGTATTTTATAATGGACCAAATTTCTTTTAATTAAAAAAATTTTTTTCTCAAATTAAATTTTAAGCTTTAAAAAATTTAATTTAGAGTTGGATTTTTTAATCCAACACATTAAAAAAAAATTTAATATTTAAAAAATTTAAAAATCATGAGGTAAACGTCAATGAAACTTGACGTACCCCCCAAAAGAGAGAATAGAGAGAGAAATGAGAGAGAAGAAATATAGAGAGATAGTTTATTCAGGAAGTTTCATTTTATATTATAAAAAAAAATTTTTTTAAATAAATTTATTTTAATTTTATATAGCTGAACAAACTTTAAAAAATTAAAAAAAAATTTTTTTATACCCAAAAATTTTTTATACCCCAAAAATTTTTTTTAAATAAAATAGGGAGTGAATACACCCAAAATTATCAGTTTTTTTTAAATTAAAAAAGCCGCTTTTCTAAAATAAAATTTTTAAAAAAGAGAAAAATGAATAGCTTATATTCTCTTTTAATTATTCTTTCATTATTGGTAAATTCTAATAATGCTGGTGGAGCAACAAAAGGTGGAGGTAAAGCAACTAGTCCTCCAAAAGGAGGTGGAAAGCCACAGCCGCCAGCCTCTTCTGGAAATAATAATGCTTCTATTAAAGATTATGCTGCTTTACAATTGGATACTTGGAGAAGTCAAAATGTAAAAAAAAATTTTTTTTAATTGAAGAAAAACTTATAGAAAATAGTATAGATAAGAAACAGGCTGGGGATGAATGTGGAAGACTGTGAGTGGGGGGTCCTGACTGTGACTGTGAGTGGGGGGTCCTGACTGTGACTGTGAGTAGGGGGTCCAAGAAGACTGTGAGTGTGGTTTGGCGATAGAAGAACCGAAGAGGTTTGTCGGTTCGGTTAACTCCGAAAATTTTACTGAAACCGACAACTCTAAGACTGAGGACAGAATTGGATAAAATCAGGACATATATTTGAAAGAAAGAATTGAGAAAAAATTTGCTGACGGAAGAGGAGGGTTTTCAAGGGGGATTAAAGAAAGATTTTGAAAGACTTTGATTGACTTGAGGATACAAATTAATCACGGTTGGAACTGTATTGAAATGAGCTAAGGGAATTAAGAAGAGCTATGGAGGAGATATGAGAAGACTTGGGGCTATTAAGAATTAAGAAGAAATATGGGGGAGATAGAGAAGACTTGAGGGGCAATTATAGAAGAAACTCTAATGTAAGTAAGAGGAAAATAAAAATAAACTAAAAAAATAAAAAAAACTATTCTCTCTTTTTTTAGAATCCAGTCAATGTATTGACAGCATCAAACGGAATGCCTGTCCCTTCATTAACAGATTCATTAACTGTCGGACCCCGAGGCCCCACACTTTTACAAGACTTTGTACTTCTCGATAATCTTTTCACCTTTGACCGTGAACGCATTCCTGAAAGAGTTGTGCACGCTGTTGGTGCTGCAGCTTTTGGAGAATTTGTTGTTACAAATGATGTTACAAAATATACAAAAATGGATATGTTAAAAAAAATTAATCAAACTACTCCTGTTTTTGTTCGTTTCTCTACTGTTGGTTAGTTTGTTTGTTATATTTTCCTTTTGTTTTGTTAGAATGTTTTTCCGGAAAATGTTAGAGATAAAAAAAACATTATAAATACTATAACAGAATGTTTTCCGGAAAGGTTTAAATTAAAATGTTTCTTACCGGAATTTTTTCCGGAAGATTAAAATGTTTGTAAAGATGTTTTAGTTTTTGTTTGTTAAAATGTTTTCCGGAAAATGTAAAATTAGAATGTTTTTCGTTAGAATGTTTTTGGAAATTAAAACTTGTCTTTTTTGTTTGTTAAAATGTTTTCCGGAAAGTTTAAATTAAAATGTTACTCGTTAGAATGTTTTTCCGGAAAAGTTAAACAAGTATTTTTCGTTTATTTCAATGTTTTCCGGAAAATAGAATTAAGCAAAACAAATTGTTTTATTAAAATGTTTTCCGGAAAAACTCAAAGTTTAAAAACTTAAAAACATTAATCTAAACATATTTAATTTTCCTAAAAACATTCCAACAAAACATTCTAAACAAAATTAACTATTAAAAATAAATTATTAAAAGGAGGCCGAGCTGGAAGCGCTGATACTGCTAGAGATCCTCGCGGTTTTGCCGTAAAATTTTATACTGAAGTTGGAAATTGGGATCTTGTTGGAAATAATTTGCCAGTTTTCTTCATTAACGATGCTATAAAATTCCCAGCTTTTGTTCACTCCCAAAAATTAAATCCAGTAACAAACTTGGGTGACCCAACAATGACTTGGGACTTTTTATCTTTGAATCAGGAATCGATGAATATGGTTATGAGAGTTTTTTCTGACTTGGGGACGCCTGATGGTTTTCGTAAAATGGATGGATTTGGTGTGCATACTTTTGTTTTGGTAAAAAAAATTTTAAAAATTTCAGAAAAAAATTTTTCTATCTTATAAAATAGGTAAATGCAAAAGATGAAAAAGTTTATTGCAAATTCCATTGGATAAGCCAACAAGGACATGCTAATTTGACAGCCGAACAAGCAACACTTTTGGCTGGTACTAACCCAGGTTATTCTACTGGTGATTTATACAATGCTATTGCACGTGGAGATTATCCAAAATGGGATTTAAAAATACAGGCAATTTTTTAGAAAATCAGAAAATAATCAGAAAAATCAGAAAAAAAATCAGAATAAAGTCAGAATAAAATCAGGAAAAAATCCGAAAAATCAGAAAAAAACTCAGAAAAAATCAGAAAAAATCACATTATCAGTAAAAAAACTTTTCCGTTAAAGGTGATGACTGATCAACAAGCTGCCAAGCTTCCATTTAACCCATTTGACCCAACCAAAATTTGGTCTCAAAAAGATTTTCCTTTAATTGATGTTGGTACAATGACACTCAATAAAAACCCAGAAAATTATTTCCGTGATGTTGAACAGGCTGCGTTTGACCCTGCTCGAATGGTTGAAGGAGTACTTCCTTCCCCTGACAAGTTGCTTCAAGGCAAGTTTTTTGTAAACACAAAACATAAATTAATAAAAATCAGAAACAATGCAAACATAAAAACATAAAACAAAAACATAATAAACGTTTTGAAAAATACCTAAAACTTTAATAAAAACATTAACTAAAACATCGCAAAACATAAAACTCGACTAAATCTTAAAACAATAATAAACCTAAAAACATACGAACATGTTCAGATAAAATGTTCAGATCTTAATTTGTAAAAACATCGCAAAACATAAAACACGACAAAACAAAAACATTTAAACCTTTAAAACAATTAAACACCTAAAACATTTACAAACATGTTTGGAACGCCTTTTTTAATAATTACTAAAACATGTTTTAAAAATATTTGTAAAACATGTTTGAGAAAACATGTTTGAATAACATGTTTAGGAACAAAATATCAGAAAAACATTCCTTTTTAACCCAAAAACATTTTTACAGGCCGTCTCTTTTCCTACCAAGACACACAATTTTATCGTTTGGGAGCCAATCACATGTTGCTACCAGTCAACTGCCCATACAAATTTAGATATGCTAATGTTCAAAGAGATGGGGCAGCACGTTTTGATAAAAATGGGGGAGGTTCTCCAAATTATTTCCCCAACAGTCTTGGTGGGTATAGAATTGCTGGTGTTCAGAGTACTTGGAATGTTGAAAATGCAACTGTTGGACGTTACAAACAAGCTGAAGACTATTTTGTTCAACCAGCTGAGTTTTGGAATGTAAGCCTTAAATTTTTTTTCCTCCCTTTAAAAGGGCATTTTCTGGCCTATCTACGTTTAACCCTCTTCTATCTCCCCAACCCTTCCATTCTTCCAAAAAAATTTTCCTTAAAAACTATCCCCATTTTCTAGGAGTTGAGCCCTGTAGATCGTCAACATTTAGCTGAAAACATTGCTGGTTCATTAGGAAATGCTTTACAAGAAGTTCAAGATAGAATGATCCCATTGTTTACAAAGGTTAATCCAGCCTTTGGGTCAATGGTGAAAACTGAAATTGCCAAACGAAACGGTAAAAAATAAAAAGAAAGTCTAAAAATAATTTAAAAAATACTATATGGATTTTCTATAAAATTATACATATTTATATCTATCCTGTATACCTATTCAACTTTCCTATATTACTACTATAAAGATAAAGTTCAGAGTAAAACAAAACTTGCTTTCTTAACAAAAACATGTTTCTAAACAAACATCCTTAAAACAAACATGTTAAAAATAAAACGTACACAAAACAAATTTAATAAAAACATTCTTAACAAAAACAAATTTTTAACAAATCACGATTTGGACAAAAACATGTTTACCACAAACAAGTTTAATAAAAACATGTTTTTAACACAAACAAGTTGAACAAAAACATGTTTTTAACAAAACAAGTTTTAACAAAACACGGTCCAAACAAAAACATGTTTATCAAAAAAGTTTGACAAAAACATCTTTTAACACAAACGTTTAACAAAAACATGTTTTTAACACAAACAAGTTTAATAAAAACAAGTTTAATACAAAAACATGTTTTTAACCCTAAAAACATTAAAATAAAAATTACAACTTTTCAAATCCAACTTGTTCATATAAAAATTTTAAAATCTAGGGAAAACCAAACAAACACAACCACCACCATGTAAAGGAAATTGAAAACACAAAAACATTAAGAAAAACATGATCATATATAAGTGACAAAAACATTTGTTAAAAACATATTGTCTTTCTCAGAACTTTATTTTAACAAAACCTTTCACAACATTTTATTAAAAACTTGCAACTTTTTCATTGCTTTAATTATAAACTATTTTTTTCAAAGTTTTATTTAAAATAAAAACATGGGAGAAAATAAAGTGATTTTTATAAGTAAAGTTAATCTGAGTTTAAAATAAATTTGACCTATGTTAGAAAAATTTTAAAAAAATGGCAAATTAATTTAAAAAAAATTTTGTTAAGTGAAAATAAAGGAAAAATAATATTAAAAAATAGAAAAATAAAAAATAAAAAAAAATAATAAAAAATGAAGACAAGATTTTAGGCTTAAAAAATTATTAAAAAAAATTTTTTTAATCAAGCATTTTAAATTATTTTTTTAATGCTGAGAGGCGCAGGCACTGATGAACAACAGCATCAGCACTCTCATGCTATAAAACAATTTTTATATTTTTTTACTCGTTGGACTGATCCGAATATCAGTATAAGACCCTCTTAGGGGTCACATTTGAATATACAAAAAAATAATAAAATTAAAAAAAAAGAACCCACCACACACAATTTCTCAGCTAAACAAGCCTCCCCCCATTTTGTTGTTGCTATCCATCCATTACAAATTTTGTAAATTGTTTAATTTCTTCACTTGTTAGGGTTGATAAAAATATAGACGAAGCATTTTTGTTGTTTGTTGATACGAGTAAATTAAATAATTGATTTATTTTAGGTATTAATTTGGCAAAGGGAATTGATGCTCCATTAATTAATATATCGTCCAAAAACTGAAAAATAAAAAAAAATAATTATTTTTTTGAGAAAGAATTTTTTCAGGAATTTTTAAATTTCAAAATTGAGGGGCATTTGAGAGTATTTTCAAACAAAAATTTTCTAGAAACTTTTTAAAAAAAATTTTTTTTAATAATTTTAAAAAGATGGAGGGAGTCCAAATATTCCCACAAAAATTTATTCAAAAAATTTTCATAAAAATTTTTTTCCGAAATTTTCAATTTTTGGAGAAGGGAGTGGAGGGGGAAGGGAAGGGTGAATGACGTTATTAGAGTATTCTAAAAAAAAATTTTTTTTATTTTAAAAAGATGGAGGCAGTCCAAATATACCCATAAAATTTTCACAAAAAATTTTCTCAAAAAAAATTTTCTCAAAAAAATTTTTTTTTTCAAATTTTCAATTTTGGGAGAAGTCTGACATGAGTATTTTCAGATTTTAAAAATTTATAAAAGAAAAATTCAAAAAAAAACCTTTAAAATATTTTCAAAATATTTATTAATTAATTCATCCATCAAAGTTTTACATTGTTGTGATTGTAATACCAATAAAAGTTGACAAAATAAATTTTCCAAGTTTTGTCTGTCTACAGGATTAAGTGAAAATAAATTGAGCTAAAAATTAAAAAGATTTTTTTTAAATTTTAAATTGAAAAAAATTTTTATTGCAAAGACGTGTTCAAGTCTAGATTAGCATCCGCAAGTTAGCTGAAATCTAACGATCCTAGGAAAATTTTTGAAAAACTTGACTGATGTGAATTGACTTTTCCACCATGCCTTATCTTCTCCCAATCCGTGAAAAATTAATTTTTATAAATTTTACGGAGTAGAGCCTGTCGAGTCCTCTATCAAAAAATGGGGTAAAAAAGAAAGAGAGTCACGAATTGAGTTTCCAATAGGGTTCCAAATTTACGGTCAAATGGCTCTTTTCACGGGGACGGGGTGTTGCGGTGGTTTTAGCCTCGGTGACGTAGACGGTGTGGCTCTGAGGGGAGAAGCCTTCTACCCTCCCCGTTCCGCCACCTTCTCTGGGGACGGTGGTGGAACCCCGGAGCGTTTTATAATACCAAAAGCTTGTAATACCAAACCCCCAAAAGCTGTTGAAATACCAAAGTGACCAAAAAAGCTTGAAATACCAAACCCCCAAAAGATGTTGAAATACCAAACCGTGGAAAAAGCTTGTAATACCAAATACCCAAAAGCTGTTGAAATACCAAACCGTTGAAAAAATTTTATAAAACTCCTCTTTGTGTATAATATAATCCTCCTCCAAAATCCTTCATAATACAAAGTGTGGAAACCTTTCACATAAGGTTTTCGCGGAAAAAAGTTTTTGCCGCTGCGGAGGAAGCCGGGCATGTCGAGCGGAACGACGGCCGCCGCTTCGCTACGGTCGCCGCGAGCGAAGCGAGCACGACCGCAGCGAAGCACGGCCATCGTGTAGCGAAGACCATGCCCGGCCTACCCTCCGTAGCAGCACAAAAACAGTTTTTCCAGCGAAGATTCAGTTGGTCATAACTTTGTTCATAATCATCTAATCGAGCTGATTTTGGTGTCATTCGACTCAGCTCGTCGAGCACTTTCGAATGAGGTATCATCTGTATAATCGAATTTTTGAACCCAAAAATCAGCCTGGGCCCTATTTCAATTGTCCACAGATTCTGCGGTCTGCGTTCTGTGCACAGACCACAGAACCACAGAAATTCTGTTTCAATTATTCCACAGATTCTGCGGAAAAAGAAGTCCGCAGATTCTGTGGAAACATGCACAGAATCTGTGGAAACATCCACAGATTCTGCAAAACATCCAAAAACATGCAAAAACCACAGAATTCTATTTCAATTATTTTTCTGTGCACAGAAAAAAATCCACAGATCTGTGGCTTTTTTAGTCGATTCTGTGCATTTCTGTTTCAATTATTTCTGTGGTCTGCGGAAAATACACAGAATTCTTTAAAAAATCCACCCTAAAATTTTTTCTGCGAACTTTCTGTGGAAAAACTTTAACAATTTTTTTCTAGGCCTAGGCTTAACCAAATTTCAAAATTTTTAAAGATTATTAAAGTTTGAATCATTCTCTATTTTTTGATATAAAAATTATAATTTTATTACCTAAAATTATTGCTTAAAATTAATTTTGAAAAAGGTACATCTTTTTTACGCAGTTTTTGTTATATTCAAGCAATAAAAAAATAAAAAACGTGAGAGATTCTGAAATTTAGAGCTATGATGTTCTAATCATCATGGATATCTCTAATGAGGGGATGTTTACCAGGATCTATAGAATATATCTGTATAGCGTATACTGGGATATCTCCCATGATCTCTCATTGATATCCGTCATAATCTCTCCTCCTATTTAATGATAGATTTCCTCCTTAATCACTCCAATATATTAAACCTCAAAATCAATGGATATCCCACTTAATCACTCCTCTACGATTTTAAAGTTCCGATTTGACTATAATTTTGGATTCCAGGCATTTTCGATTTCCAGGAACCTCAATTTCTGACTAAACAATCCCCAAACATTTCCCTCCCTTGCAACAACTTCTATCGTAGTTTGAAAAAGCCACATGTCGGATCGACATCTCCTGATTTTTCCGATCCGAACCCTGCTTTAGGACATTAATTTAATTGGAGATTTAAGGATATTGGATGAACAAGAAAATTAAGCGGTATATCAGCGGTTTTAAAGTGATATCAAAGAGATTTAAAGGGATGTTATGTGATTTGGAGGGAAAATTTTTAAATCTTTACAATATTTTTCAGTTTAATTTAAGAATTTTTAAAGTTTTACTTCAAAAAATCAGGTACCATTAATACTGCGGTAGTACCGAACTGTCCAAACCATTTTTCGTTTCAATAAAACTGTTATTTTCAAAAACGCGGAAATAAAAAATTTGAATTTAGAAGAAAAAATACACAGAACCACAGAAAAATAATTGAAATACAAATTCTGTGGATCAGTGGAAAAAATCCACAGATTTTTATATTTTCCACAGAAATTTTCATCCACAGAATCTGCGGAATGTTTCCACAGAATCATTGGATGTTTCCGCAGAATCTGCGGGCACCACAGATTCTGTGCACACAGAATTTAATTGAAACAGAATTTCCACAGAATCTGTGTTCTGTGCACAGAATGCAGAATCTGTGGACAATTGAAATAGGCCCCTGGCACAAAAACAGTTTTTCCAGCGAAGACTAAAAACCAACAGGCTAAAAGCAACAGGTTATTCTGCCGCGAGGTAAATAATAAAAAATTCCACAGTTTTATTAACAAATTGAATAATAATATGTTTTGGTATTTATTTGGTATTACAAGCTATTTTCCACGGTTTGGTATTTCAAGCTATTGGTATTACAAATTTTGGTATTTCAAGCTTTTGGTATTACAAGCTTTGGTATTACAAGCTTTTGGTATTATAACATCATACCGTGGAACCCTAGTTTCCAACTGAAAGTCTCCGGATTTTTAAGGTAACCCAACAACCAAGTATAGGTACGAACCCTCAGAATTTTTTTAAAGGACCCTCCCCCCCCCCCCAAATTTAAAAAAAAATTTATTATTGAAAAAATTCTTCACAAACCTTATCTCCTCTTCTTGGCACAACAAAATTAGAAAAATTCTTTTCTTCACCAATTTTTTTAATTTTAACCAAAGTTTGTTCCAATAAAAAATGAAAATCTTCAAAATTAAATTTTTCAGCCAAACCAATTTTTTCAAAAATTTCACAACAATTTGTTTCAATTAATTGAAATAATAAATTTAATCCTTCTGTTAATAAATATTGAATAGAATCACAAAATAAAATTTGGACATTTTTGGAAAAATTTTTGTTAGAATTAATTGTTGTTGTTTCTTCACTTGTAGTACATTCAAGATCGTCAAAGAAAAATGATTTTAATAATTTTCTAAAAATAAAAAAAAATTTTACACGAATTTTAACAAACAAAAACAGTTTTTCATATGTATAGACCAGAAGTGAGTCGGAATTCGCTATTTCCTACCTTTGAGCCAGTTCCGATTTCCGGCTCTTGCGATTTCCGACACCTCGGACTGTTCCGACCCGCCTCTGGTATGGACCCGTCTGTTCCTGCCTACACTGATTCGCAAAACCATTTAATTTTATAACGGTAGGATGCTTGGTCTGGACATGGATAATTTTCAAAGGATTCTAGTTTCTATTATTTTTCTGATGTGAGCTTATTGTTAGTCCAAGAATATGAATGACACCCTATCTAATCTCTAACAAATCTGAATAAAAAGCTTACAATAAGACAAATTCACAGAACTTTTCGTGAGTTATAGGTTCCAGGTCAGTAACCAGTGGGGTAGAGAAGAGGAATTCTACCCCTCCCCCAAAATGCAAAAGAAAAATTTTGGGGAAAGGATGAAGAAAGAAGTGAATTCTTCGCCTACCTTCCTAACCCTGCCCCCAATAAATCTTAATTACGGACCTGATATATGTCCCCGGTCAATAAAAAGAAAATCGGGAAGATGGTTAAAAAATAAAAAAAAATTTTTTTAAACAAAACTGACATTCCATCATTATAAATTGAAGTAGCATTAAAATCATTTGAATGTTTTGTATTTTGAATTAATTCATTACAAGCAATTTGACATAATATTGCTCTTTGCGCTTTCAATACAATTGTGACTAACGGGAAAATGGTTATAGCAGAAAAGATTTTTGAAATTGACAAAACCTGTAAAATAAAAAAAAATTAGAAGCTCTTATAAGCCGGAAAGGAGTGTTATTTGTAAGCGGCAGAAAAAAACTTTCGTTTGGGATCTAATGTCATCCTAGTTTACAAAACTACCATAAAGCAAAACCTCATGGAGCAAGAACCTTAGAACTCCAACAAGTTGAAACCAAGTACCGAAACCATGGAAACAGAACCATGGACCTATTCATTTTTTGGAACACAGAAAACACTGTTACGACTCCCAAAAGCAAATATATAAGGAAATTAAGAGATCAGAAAAAAGTGACAAAAATCCTTAAAACTTAAGGCATCCCTTATACATAGAGGACACAACTCCAATTCCCTCCAAATCCCTTTAAATCATAACAGGACTATCCACACACTCCAAGTCTCCCAAATTTATTCAAAATCGTAACAGGCCTATTTACATCAAAATCAACTCCTAAGCCTCCCCCATCTTCCACAAAACCCAAATCCTACTAAAAAATAATAATAAACCTTTAATCTCTCCCACAGCTCTATTTTCCGTTTTGAATCAATTTCAGGCGTTGAAAGTTGTTCTAAAAGAGAATCTGTATCAAAAGTATTATCCAACTTGGCTTTTAATTGAACTTCGATTTTGAGTAAAACTTTGTGGAACTTATATGGTTTAGGTGCGCTTTTTTAGCCACGCCCTTTTTTCCTTTTCCTTCATCAATCAACATTGATATGGACAGAATGGTCAACCTTTCTTTCTTCCTCAATTTCACTCAACTTTTCCTGTGGCATTTTCAGTAAGAGACATTAACAAGGAAAAGATTAATTTTCTTTTCCAATTTCACCAAAATAGAATTAACACTTGAATCAATATTCTTAATTTTATCTATTTCTATTATTTAAATGGCACTAAGTATACCGGGTCTACGTTTTGGAACTAATGGTCCGGTATTTATTGTGTTTTTCAGTTTTTGCTGTTTGAAATCATATTTTTTTACAAAATGCTGACCGTTTTTACCCCTTTTAGAAATTTTTAGACCCCTGTAATTCAGCTCAGAGATCTCACGGACCGATTTTAGTGCCATTCGTCTCAGCCCAGCTCGATAATGTCATCCGAGTCAGCTCTATGTCATCCGAGTCAGCTCTATATTTTAAGCAAAACTTGACCTCAACTCAATTGATTGATGGTTGAGAGGGAAAATAAGTAAAAGAATAATGACGGAAAAAGAAAAAAGGGCGTCAGGAAAAGTTGAGTGAAATTGAGGAAGAAAGAAAGGTTGACCATTCTGTCCATATCAATGTTGATTGATGAAGGAAAAGGAAAAAAGGGCGTGGCTAAAAAAAGCGCACCTAAACCATATAAGTTCCAACTTTGTCACAAGCTTGTTGATTTAATTCTATCATTAAGTTGTGGCGTTCCTAAAGGTTAAAAAATAAATTAAAAAGGCACAAATTTTCTGTCTTTAACTTCCTAATCGTAAAGAGAGATTTTGAAAAATTAGATCTGAAAAGACATGAGGCTTGAGCTGTTAAACTCGGAAAAAAGTTCTAGATTGGAGTCTAGGAAAACACCTGAAGAAACCATAGAGCATACTTGGCCTTTCACTTGGCTTAGGCTGTCGACAATGGGAGGAGTAATCGGTTTAAGTCCAGGAAAAACAAACCCCAATAAAAAAAAATGATATACGGGAACAACGTTAGAGTCCATCGAAGTTCTAGGTTAACTTAACTAGTGATCGGACTGAGAGCGTCGTACGAGAAACGAGATCTCATCTCATTGTCAGTCCGGTCTCTAAACTTAACTTATGTTAGTTTTTAGAAGACCTCTCAGAAAGTTCAAAAATATCTATTCCCCTAAAGAATTTTATGAATAAAAAAACCTCATCCAAACATTCATCTGTCCGTTTATCTTCATTATTTTGTAAAAGTGAAAAAGGTTGTCGAACAAAGTCGTTAAACGTTGAAGTTTCCAATAAACGTTTAGCTCCATAACATGTTGCAACAGCAGCGACAGTTCCAGCAGCAATTTTGCGCTTATGTCGTTTAATAAATTCAATAGTGGAGAACATTAAATTATAAAAGAAATTCTCTAAAATTTTGAGAAAAATTAAAAAAAATCTGGTGATAATCGAACGAAAAAATTTTCTTGTGAAACGGTGAGACTCAAATAGAAAGGAAAAGATAGAAGGAAAAGAATAAAAGGAGAAAAAAGAAAAGTAAAAGAGAAATAAAGTAAGATATTTAAATAAGATTTTTTGGCGTAAACAGAATGCCAAAAATAAAAAATAAAGAAAACGAGCTAACGTCAAAAAACAATCGATTAATCGAAACGAGCTCACTCCCTTGCTTCCCCCTACCCAAACCTTTTCCAGGATCCCATTCACGCACTTTCCATCCACTTGATTTTTTGGTTGTAGAAGCACCACCACTATCCAGATCACTAAAAATTTCTCAAAATAAGAAAAAATTAAACAAGACAAAAAAATGAACAAGGACAAAAAAAGACAAAACAAGTGAAAAATGAGAGGAATAAGGGGGATCGCATGCGCATTTTTAGCAATTTTTTAATAAAAATTCTTAAAATTTACCAGGCCAACAATGGAAGTGAAGAAAGGGGGACCATGAAGAGAATTCCATCCACCAGAGCAGGCCAGTAGATGCACCAGGCCACCAGATCTTGCTAAAAAAATACCCTCCCTCCCTCCTCAAATTTTTTTAAAAAACAAAACCACACCGTCCACCACCAAACCAACATTGCACAGCAGCTCCAAACAGCACCACTCCAGCATTGACAGCAGCACCACACCAGCATCCATCCACTAGAAGAAAAAATATAAAAATAAAAAAAGGATCATTTTTTTTAAATTTTAAAACAAAAAAACCGACACGCATTGAAGAACACCATGAAGAGCAACCACAACCACCACGATGAAGAGCAACCACCACCATGTAGAGCAACCACCAACCACAATGAAGAGCAACCACCACCATGAAGAGCAACCACAACCACCACCATGCAGAGCAACACCAACCATCATGAAGAGCACCACCACCATGAAGACAAAAAAATTTAAAAATAAAAATTAAAGTTTATTAAAATTTATAAAAAAACAAAAAAAAACCGCCACCATAGAAGGCACCAAGACCACCACCAACATGAAGGCCACCACAAGCACCACCAGAAGAAAAAACATGAAAATAAAAAAGGTTATTTTTTTAATTAAAAATTTTAAAATAACATGGGGAAAATCTCACCGTTTGTTGGAGCCACCACGAGGACCACATCGCAGAGCAACCATGGGGGCCTTCAAATTGATGAAAATTAGTTCAATTTTTCAAAATTTTTAATTTTATTTTATAAAATTTTTGCGCTCGCAGGGGGCAGTGAGAAAAAAACGAATAAACGAATGAAAATACGAATAAAATAAAAAAACGAATGAGATAAACAAAAAAATAAAAAAATCAATGAAAAAAACGAAATCTCGCGAGATTAACGAAATCAACAAAAAATCCATAATCAAGAAAAAAAGTGAAGCCAAATCCTTTTAAACTAAAAATACACACAAGCTTACTGTAAGTAATTCTGTTAATTTTCAATTTGGAAATGTCAAAGTGTCAACTAGTTGATATTTTGTCAAGAACCCTAAACAATGGAGAATTCCAGTCTTTTTTGCATTTACCTAATTTCTTTTCTAGCAGCGTGATTGCTTTTTTTGTTTGTCTTTTTATCTGATTAAGGATCTATGGCGGGATCAATTAAATAAATATACTTAGAAAATTATCAATAAATTACCGGATTTTATTTTTCTCGTCTAACCAAAATTAGGGAAACTAATTTACCTAATTTTTAAATTTTTTCAGTTTCAGAGACAAAAATCTCACGCATTTTCAACTTAAAAATTTATTTAAATTGTTTTTTGTACCAACTTGGATTTTTTCAATTTATGCAGCCTTCGACTAGTGCAGTTCAAAATCTAGCCTCAAACATTTTGGACGAAAAGGATTTGGAGGAGGAAGATGCCAAATTTCTTCTAAAAGCTTTAGGTTTGTTATTTTTTAATTTTGGGGGTTTTTAGGGACTTTGGTGACCTCATTCTTAGGGACCTCATAATTTTGAACTTTGGGCATTTGGTATTCGGTCAACTTTTCATCTTTTTGTCCTCTTGGACTGTTCCTGGATGTCTCTAGTATTTTCCTTGAATTTTTCCATATTTTTAACTTTTTTTTGTCTGCTCCTTGAAGTCTAAGGTCCAATGAAGTCTATGGTATTTTCCTCAAATTTTTCCAAAGTCTGTCTGGTCCTAAAAGCAAACAAAAAAAGAAGCTATTGGAATTTTCTTTCTAATTCCATCAGACTTTCAGAATTAAGAAAACCTTAAGGCCGACAGCACTTCTTAAAAAATTCAAATAAATTTTATCTAGAAAAACAAGCTTTTGAACATGTCCTCTATGCTTTTCGTGCGCAAGGGCCGCTTACAAAATACAAGGAACTTATTCTTGAACACTTAAAATCGGCACTTTTGTTTGTTTATATTTTTAAAAATTAATTAATTTTTTAATATTTAGCATTACTGACCAAGAATTTTCTTTGAATCTGAGAATTGCGGCGAATAATCCATACTTAAATGAAATTGTTCAAAAGTATTTTTTAAATTTTATTTTAATTTATTCGGGATTTTCTGAAATTGAAACCCCCAGGCTGCTGGCCTTGAAAAGTATAAATATCGAACAATTCTTTGTTCTCTGGAGCGAAATGTTTTTAGAAAAAATTTATTTTCAAGTTTTCACGGGTTTGAGCAATTCTTAAAATTTATATCTGTCCGTGGGTACATCCTTGAACTCTTTGAAGTTGACCCCTTAAAAATCCTTGAGGGCTAAGATTCTTTGAATAAATTGTTCTAGGAAGTCACGAAAAGCTCGATTATTAAAAATTATTTCTTACGTACTTAAGCTAGATTATTCCTTTAAACAGAAGTGTTTTAAAAATTATTTCTTACGTGTTTTTATAATTCTCAACTTTTTATCGGTACATACTTTAATTGACCTCTCTAATGTTGCCCTTTTAAATACCGAGATTAAACTTCTTTCTTAAACTTTATTCCTTTAAATCACTCAATTTTTAGATTAAATCCTTCTTACGACAATTTTTCTGAATGGTTAGCTGCTGGTCTAGACTTAACTGGAACTGAATTGGCCAATTCTAGAAGGCAACAATTAAATAATAATTCATCTTTGAGTGATAATTCAACCCAAATTCTTCGTGAAATTCGTCGGCACAATCGGAATCTTTCTCAGGAATGTTGTGGTGCTCGTGAAGCAATTGCTGAACTCTATCAACTTCCAAAACGGCCTTTTAGTTTGTTTTTATTTTTTTTTATTATATTTTTAAAAATATTTGGGAGCAATATACCTAATAGATTTTTAACAGACATGTCTTTTTGGTCTGCCATTTTGGTGTAGTGGGATAAATTTATAAAAAAAACTGAGGTGGAGGGTTCGAATACCGCCGAAGGACAATTATTTCTAGGTGATTACTACTTTGGTGTAGTGGGAAAAATTTACAAAAAATTTCCTTCTTATGTCGACGGTTCGAATCCCATTGGGGGACTACAATTTTTATTTATTCCTAGGCGATTATTACTTTGGTGTAGTGGGATAATATTAAGAAAAAAATTATTTTTTCTTGCTTGAGGTCTCGAGTTCGAATCCCACCGTGGAAATTTTATTTTAAATATAGTTATACTATAAAATAAAAAATATAAATAAATTTTTTAGTGCCTGAAAGACTTCGAAAATTACTTCGAGATACTGAAGCAGATGGAGCTGTTGTTGATATCCCCACTGAAACAATTAAAAAAGAAAAATCCGAAACATTACCTCAAATAACTACAAAAACCACAACAACAACAACATCAAAACCAACAGTTGAAACAAAACAAATTAAAAAAAGAAATGTTGGTAGACCAAGAAAATATCCTAGAAAAGAAGAAACAAACAACAATAACAGCAACATTGAACAACAAAGACAACAAGAGAAACATAAACAACATGAGAAACAACAACAAACAAAAGAGGAAACACACAAACAAATAAATAATAACAATCACAATACAAACAGCATTTTTAAAGGGAAAATATGGGGGAAAAGGCGTCCAAATAGGTTTGTTTTGGTGTTTTTATTACAGAAAATGTTTGTTTTGAATTCTGATATTCTGGTTTTATATTAAGTTCGTTTTAAATTCTGATGGTTTATTTTCCTTCCGGAATATGTTTTCCGGAAATGTTTGTTTTAAATTCTGGTTTTATAAAATGTTTGTTTCTAATTCTGATTCTTGTATTTTTTTTGTGTTTTCATGTGTGTTCGTTTTAAATTCTGATTTTTACATTTTTTCTCTGGCAGAGTTTATTCTTATGGGAGAATGTTTGTTTTAAATTCTGATTTAAATTTCTGGTTTTTATGTTTTTTTTTAATTCTGATTTTTTGTTGTTGTGTTTATGAATTGTTGGGTAAATTTAAACATGTTTTCATTAAATTCTGATATGTATTCTTTAACTAACCTTTTCAAGTTTTATTAAATCTGAAGCTACTTGAGTATGCGATAATTTGTGTTAAATTAAATATGAAGCAAATAAAAAACTTTTATTAAGACTAATAAATTTTATTTTTAAAGGTGGAAAGACTCAGATGATACAATTAAAAAAGAAGAAAAAATTGCTTCAACATTTTCTTCTTCAATTTTTGCAAATAAAATACCAGAGCATTTAAACAATTCATTCAAACAAATTTATTCTTCCTCTGCTTCAAATAATTCTGTACCCATTAATAACCATATTATTCAACCTTCAACAAGTACAAATGTTACTAGTTGTTCAACTGAAGCAATGGAAAATTTGGCTGATTTGGCATTGGCACAATTGGCGGTTTTCTTTTTAAATTTTCTTTAATGAATTTTTTTTTAAATTAAAAAAAATTTTTTTTGAATTTTTTTAGAATTTTTTTTTTATTTTTTTTTTTTGAAATTCAAAAAAAAATTTTTTGAATTTTTAAAAAATTTTTTTAGAAATTTTTTTAAAAATTTTTTTGAAATTTTTTCATTTTTTTCTTGAAATTTTTTTAGAATTTTTTAAATTTTATTTAATTTTTAAATTTTTTTTAAATTTTTTTCAATTTTTTAAAGGAATTCCCATTAATTCCGTCTTCGTCTACCTCAGTTTCATCATCTATTTTAATGCCTCCACCTCCACTACCTCCACCTATTACTTCAATAAATACTTCAACGAATTCTACCCAAATTTATGGTACTAGTAATAACTTAAAATCAACAATAACAACAAAAAATGAATTGTTTCAACAACCAAATAATAATAATAAATTTAATAGTCAACATAAAAAAGATGTTAAAAATGATTCTGATAGTATAGGTTTGTTTGAAAATTACTAATTTATTTTTTTTTAATTATGTAAACATTCAAAATACTTTATGTCCATCCAATTTATAGTAATTAGGTCATCAAAAAATTTTTTCTTATGTCTTTTGGAGATCATTGCTTATGAAGACGAACTCAATTAGGGTTGCCGTTTTCGAGTCGGGCCGATATTGAGTCGATTTATATATTTTTTCGAGTCGGACCGGTCGGTTTCACTTTCGGGCCTAACTTTATCGATTCGGGCCGTACGACGAGTCTTTTTCGGGTCAAATATCTTAGGCCCGACTCGATCTTTTGTTCCGAGTCGATCCATTTTGGCAGCCCTAATCTCAAGGAATGGATGGTTAAACAAATGGATAGTTCACCGGTTTCACTTTTGAGTGTGGTCAAAATTTTCTATTTTAATTAAGCTCTATTTAAAAAATTTTTTTTATCCTTGGTTCTGTCGTGGTCTGAAATGTGACATCATTGCTATAACATTTTTTTAATTTTTTTTCTTCAGATGAGAAAATCGTAAAAATTTTAAAAGAACAACTTGGTGCTGAAGGTACGTCATTTGTTGTTAATGCTTGTGCTCGTGTAAGACCTTTTGTATTTGAACGAGATATACAAAAACAGAAGCAACAACAATATGGAAAAGCTGAAAATAAAAGGTTTATTAAAAAGTTTCAGAATTTTCTTTTGGGCATTAAATTTAATACTGGTTAGTCCTTTCCCTACCTTATCTGATTGTGGATTAAAAAATATTATCTCCGTCAATTCTCTCCAGTTTTAGTCCTTTATTTAAGCTTGCTTCACATTGCCTACTTTAGGTTTAGTCCTTCTGTACTCCAGTCGAATCTCGATAAAGCGTCTCGCCCAGAACCAAAATCTGGGGACATGATAAGAAGATTTGGTTACGCACTTATTTTAGTCGGGTGAAGACGGATTATGATCGGGGGCCAAAAACTCGCATAATTTTCCCGAATTAGTTGTCGGAACCGGGATACTCGAGCATTACTCTAGTTATTGTGGGAGATTTGCTATCGAGTTTTTGGGAAAATTATAGTATTATTATTGGCTATATCGAGATTCGACTAGTACACATTTTTTTTCTCCTTATAAATTGTGATTATCTTTATATGTCTCTCGTTTAATTTTTAGCAAGAAAAATCAAAATTTTTGATCTTTCTAGCTTAAAATTCGTATTTTAGTTAGTTCACTGATACTTTTTTTTAAATTTTGTCGGAAAAATTTTTTTCTTTTTCAGCAATTTTCATTCTTCTTCAATTCTTCTACTTTCTCGTAACTGCAATAATAAATCTATTATTGATAAAACAACAACAAATAATAGTTTAACAACAAAACTTGGTTCGTCATCATCTTCAAATTGTGTTGATGTTATTGTTGATGTTGATGATGATAGTCATTTATACAATAAATCAAAAATTAATGATAATTTGGATGATTATATACAAATTGAAAATGATGGAGATTTTATAAAAAATAAGTGTAAACAAGGGAAAGAACAAAATGGATTTGTTGGTGTTGCTGATGGTGGTAGTGGAGAAGAAGAAATGAAAATGGAGTATTTTTTTAAATTTTTATTTTAGTACTAAAGAAATTTTTTTGTAGTGTTTCAAGTGTGGTACAATCATCACATACTGCTACTACTACTACAACATCAGCGCCAACTTTGTTTTCGACAAAAATTATTCAAAATATTCCAGGTTTTACAAAATTTATTATTTTTTAAATTGAGATAGAGGGTCGTAAGTACTAGTTTTCGAATTGAAGTAGGAAAAAAATTTGTGCAGACTTTTCTTTATTGCAGACTTTTTCCGTTCTAGTGGTTAGAGGAAGACTTTTCTAATTCTAGTGTTTTTCCAATTCCTCCATTTCTAGCTGGTTTCCAATTCGAGTGGCAATTCTTCTATACGAGATATGGGTCGGATTAACCGAAACTTGGACTTCTTTTTAACCTGAAACCCGTTCCGAAGAAAATTTTGAAAACCATACCTTTCTATTTTCTTATTGTTAACCCGATCCATCCCAGGTTTATACAAAAATCAATATGTTTTTTATGTTAAAAATGGTAAAAGTCCTCAACAATTTAGTCCTCCAACTCAGAAATTTTTTTTCAAATTTTTTCAGTATTAATAGATGAGGAAGAATCTGGTCTAGATTTTTTGGCATCAACAGCAAGTTTATTACAACCAATTGAAATGAACAAGTCAAATAGTGAAAATAATAAAGGCAATTTATTTAATGAACAAAATAGTAATAATAATAAGATGCGGCATTCAACTTTTACAAAATGAGAGAGAAGAATAAGAGGTTTTTTTTAATTAAAAAATAATGGTAAAATAATAGGAATTTTATTGTTATATACATAGTATAGAGTAAAAATAACAACATTTGCGGGCATTCGCAAATGTTTAGATTATTTTCTAAAAAATTTTAACTTGAGAAAAAGATGGTTTTGATTCCACCATTATAGGACTAGCTTATAAGAAACTTGAGGGGACCTGGATCATAATTCTGATATTCCCAGATTTATTTATTTTATGAAGTTTTCATAAAAGAATTTTTTGAAATCTTATATTCGTCTACCAGTAGTCCAATTTCCAAGTCCAATTTCCGACTCTTCAACTTTTACAAAACTTCACAAAATATTTCCCAATACCTCCCCCCTCAGCATTTGGAACAAACATAACATACCTCTCCTATAACGTTTTTCAATTTAAAAATAGGTTTGAGTTTTCCTTTTGTCCGCAAATGTTGATTCGCGCAAATTTTTCCAAAAAAATATTTATATTTAATTAAAAATGTGTGAACATGTTATATTTTAGATTCAAAAAAACATTAAAAAAATACTCAAAAATTCCCTCGTTTTTATATATTATACTCTCTTTTTTTGCATTTACTTATAATATTTTTTAAAATTTAAAACTGAATTTATTTTTGAGGAGGAAAATTAAAAAAAAATTTTTTTTTCAAGTAAAAAATAAATTCAGTTTAAAAATAAATAAAGGTTTATGATAGTCTCAGAAACCTTTATATAACATTTTAAATTTATAGTCGAATCTTGATAAGAAAAAGAAAAAAAAATTCTTGGAACAATCTCTTAACTGCTAGCGAATTAATTTTTAACTGCTAATTTAAATGCTGTCGAATTTTTTTAACTTATATAACGTTAAAACTTTTTTTTTAATTTTTGCGGACATTATTTGCGGACAAGATTTTTTATAAAAAAAATTCTTTTTAACTGTATTAAAGCTGTTCAAACAAATACGTTTTTCAGTTAGAAATTTTTTTAAATATCTTATAAAGGTCTCTGGGACTATTTAATTACTGCTGCCAAATATATTAAATTAAAAAAAATTATATCTTACTTCAATCTTCTTTTTATTGTCCCTATTTGATGATTAAAATATTTTAAAAATGAATTCAAAAAAAAATTATTTTTTTGTCTCCCTTCTTTCTCTCTCGCATTAACTTGTTTAGAAAAAAATTAAATTAAATTCTATATATTGTCTATTAAAAAAAATTTTTTTGAGGAATAAAAGTAAAAACTTGGTCTATATTTTCTCTTGCTTCAAGCACACAAGTGTTTTGATCACTTTTAAATTTTTTTTCTAATTAAAAAAAATTTTTTTTAAAGGTTAGAAATTTATCTTTTAATGAAATCAAACAGGTTTATAATTTCAAGTTTATTTTTGTTCGGATTATGTTTACTTCTCAGCTTTTCATTTTTGTTAATTTTTACTGGAGCTTCTACATATTCTTGTAAATCGCCTACTGGTGCTGATGTTGACTGGTTTGCTTAAATTTTATTTATTGGAGGGTTGCCCTTTGTTTTTTTTATAGCTGGGGGAAGGGTCTTTTTTTTACTCCTTCAAAATTATTTAAGTTTTATCCAGCAAGGTGTATAAAATTTTTTGTTAAAAGATATAAGAGTGGGCTTAATCTTGCGGATAAAACTTGCGGACTTTTTGGGATTATAAAAATTGTAAGGAAGAAGGTTGAAATCCAATTTGCCCTTTGAAACACTCCCAAGATGGGGCCCTATTAGTCTAATCGTTAGAGCACCTTGTATTTGTCGAACGAATAGAGCCGAGTCTGGACCATGTCCTGGGTTTCCCAGAGTCCAGTAACAGGCCCAGGCTTTTCAAAAATCTCTATCTCTGGTGCTCAGCATTGCCTGACAGAATGCTCAAGGGGTCGATGCCTGTTTCTGGGTCATTAAACTTTCTCTCTAATTATTTTAAAGGTTCGTGGCCTTCAAATTACCCAATTCAATTTCTAATGGAACGTCCTTTCTTTATGCCGATTCTAAAAATGGTCAAGATTGGACATTATCTAAAGCTAATATTGAAGATGAAACTTCAGCAATTGGTCGAATAATACTCCAAATATTTGAGGCTAAAAAGGCAAAGACTGATTTGATTGCTTTATATAATGATGAAAATCCAAATGATGGAAAACCTGATTCTGGACGAGCACATATGAAGGTTTACATAAATTAATTAAAAGGAAATGTGTCGTTTATGTAGAATCTGTCGATGAGGATCATCCTGAAGTGTTCATTTTAAGGGACCATCAAGAAAAGATATGTTTAGAGGTAAAATATTCTGATAAAATATTTCATCCTGAAGTGTTCATTTTAAGTGACCATCAAGCAAAGATATGTTTAGAGGTAGAATGTTAAATAAGATTAAAAATATTCTGATAAAATATTTTTTGATTAAAATATTACGACATTTTAGTAGTATTTTCGAAATTTTTTACAAATCTGAATTTTTAGCGCCAAAAAGGAAATATAGTTTAAATTTTTAAAAATAATTGAAATTAAATTTTTAGTTTAATAAATGAAAAGTTGGCTGCTAAAGAAAAAGAAATTGATTTACTTAAACAAAAAATCGATCTAGACAATGAAAAGTAAGTCTCTCTGTCATATTTACTAAAATTTTACCCCGCCTATTTTCAGCAAGTATAAATTAGGGGGACAGGACCAGCCAAAAATTCAGTTTTTGATTCCACTTCTTGAAAAAGATAAAGGAGCGGTCCTGTCCCCCTTTTTTCACTCCCCCATTTTATTTACTTTTATTTAATTAAATAAACGTTTAAAAGAAAGGAGTGTTTTAATTGGTGCAGCGGACCGCGACTCGCGGGTTGGGTTCGCCCAACTCGCGAGGCCCAACGGTCGCGCTTAGTCAAACATTAAATGGTGCCCCAGGCGGTTCCGCCAAAATTGTACAAAAATGTGTGACTTACTTGCACAAAAATTTTATTTTACCCCATCAATCAAATTGGTAGCCCTAATTTTTCTTTCGCGCAACAATTATTTTTAACGGTGTAATTAATATAACAAATTTAATCTGGTTTTAAAATAATTTCGCCACACCCGAATTCCAAACATTAACTTAATTTATCATTTTTGGCGTAAATTTTTTTTTCATTAATTTCCATCGCTTTCTTTCTTTAAAAATTTTTTTCATACAAATTCCGCCCTAAATATATCAATCAAATTGGTAGCCCTAAATATATACAGTAAATTCATTCTGCTTTTCCACCTCTTCATTCCAAACAATTTAAGCCACCATCCGCGTAGTTTTCTCCTAGGTTCGGTTTCTCGATTAAAGTAAAAGATTGTGTGTGTTTGTGTGTCAAATCCCCTAATCATTCGCTTTACCGAGTTTTGGTTAAATTTAACAATTAACATTTATTCAAATTTTCAAATTTTGCGATTAAAGGTTCACATTGCGAAATGGGTGAGAAATAGAGGGGAAATTACTAGATAATAAGGGATATTCAGTCTTGGGTTTCTTCAGCATTTTTTTGAATTTTAGCGCCACAAGAACGAGTAGAAGAAGGAGAGTGAGAGAAGTCAGTGCGAAGTTCAGGGGGTGCCAAACGCTTTTCTCCGGGGCCGAATCTTCCAAAAATCGGGGCGCAGTAGGTGAGCAGAATGTCGGTTCTTCCCATAATTCAACACCCCAACAAAAGGTGGAACAGTTGTGAGCCGGAAGGCACGTTCGAGAGTTAAATTGAACTTGTTCCAAAGCTAAAATAGGGCCCTTTTTAAAAAATTTAATAAAATAACCCCAATTCCCTGCATAACCGTCCTAGATCCCATCGGCCAATGGTTTTAGGATCCCTTTAGGGCAAATTGCTAGCAAATAAAATAAAATCAACTAGGGTTTAGTATAATTGGGGGAGAAAATAAATTAATATTTTGAAAATTGATTTTAGTTTTGGAAAATTTCAATCTTAAAGTTGTTTGAAAGCTGGATAGTGTTGAACCTGAATCGGACGGATCTGAAACTGAAAAGGAAGATAATATCGAGTTCCAAACACCCCGAGAAAAGCGATACCAACAAATCCTGCAGAAGAGAGAGGAAATGTCTTTGGAAGTGGAAGGCGTTAAGAGGCGAGTGAAAAGTTTGGAAGAAAGTAGTGTCGAGAGAGGAGCGGGAGGACTACCGTATCCGAATTTCTTTAACGGAACGGAAGACTTCTTAACGTATCTGAAGGGGTTCAATAGGGTGGCGACCGCACATGGCTGGCAGCCAGCGCGGTGCTGCCAGATTTTGCCAATATATTTGCGCGGCTCGGCGCTGGCTGTCTATGAAGGATTGCCTGAGGAAGAAAAGGCAACTTGGAAAGGATTAGTTGAAGGATTAGCAGGAAGATTAAAGAGGATTTCGACAAGGGAAGTGGCGAGATTGAAGATGATGGAGAGGAAGCAGAAGGTGGGAGAGTCGGTGGAAGAGTTTGCTGGCGTTTTGCGAAATTTGGTGGAGTTTGCCTATCCCGACACCTGTTTGGAGATGGATTTAACGGGATTAACACTGGGAAATGAAGTCGTAAAGAATGTGAAGGGACAGCATGAAGAGATGGCAAAAAGGTTTCGGGACGAGCAGTGCAGAGACCGGCTGCGGGCGGGGCTGTTACCGGAAATAAGAGAGAAGGTTATTTTTATGGAGGAACCGGGATCGCTGGCGGAGGCAGTAACCCAAGCTAAAAGAGTGGAGGAATTGACAAACTCCCTCAAAGATGATGTTTGGAGGCGAACAAAAGAGATTGAGGTGAAAGCGACGCTCGCGGAAGTGAATGAGATTAGAGCAAATAGAAATAGGGAGTTTGTGAATATGAGAGAAGGACAAAACAGTCAGGGCCAAAATTATCGTCAAAATAATAATTATAGAGATAATCAATGGAATAGAGGAAATAGAGGAAATTGGAGGGGTCAATCGAACCGTTACTCGACATGGAACCAGGCGAACCGAGGCAATGGAAATTTTCGGAATTTTAATAACCAAAGGGGCCAAAGTTGGAATAATGGGCAAAATCGAAACCCGAACATGATCCCAACACCAAATTTTAGATCCAATGGACCAAGAGGGAGAGGCACAAATTTAAATAGAGGAGGTTATCGGATCAATGAAACCAGCTTTCCATATATTTGCTTGATGGCCATAATCTGCGGAATTTTGACGATAACTGAGGCCCAATTTCAAATATGCGCAAAACCATTTTCGGAAATTACGGGAATAGTGAAAGATTTTCCCGATGATAATAACTGTACGCTACCGATAGAAGAAACTCCGACACGCGCCAAAATAAATATTTTTGTCCCGATCAGATTACCAAAGAAATTTCAAGTTTTGCGGTGCCAAAAATGGACTATAAAAATGTGCACCGAGTCATATTTTGGAATATATAGAAAAGAGAAAAATTGGAATATTTATTTGGAAAAAATTTCAAAAGAGGAATGTTGGGAGACATGGGATAAACGGTTATTACAAACAATGGGAGAAAAAGTATGGCAGACACCTAGAAATTGGGAGAAAGAGCATTCATTTTTCGGAGAAAATTGCAAGAATGTGACGGGGTTAACTATAGAGGAAGGCACAGGCGCGATTTTAGAGGGAAGAAAGTTGGTGACTAGTTGGGGTGACGAGTTTTTAGTTGAAAGGAAGGACGATGAACTAGAAGGGTGGACTAAGCATTTACAGACAGAAGAGATATTGATATGGAGAATTCCAGGTTGGGCCTATTGGAATACACATTTCCGAGTGGGACCAGTAAATTCGGAAATTTGGGCGCAAAAAACGGTGGTTGTGGACGAAATGCAATACTCATTCGTTTATCATAAAAATGGAACTCACCCGGAAAATGTGTATGGATTACCCGAAAAAGCTTTGAGAATGGAAAATGATGTTTTTGTTGAAATATTAGAGGAAAATGGGGAAAATAAAACAAGAGTCAGAAGGCAAGGTGGCACAGGAGTTTTGAAGAAAAATAGAAGGTTATTTGAAATAAAAACAACCATCCCAGTAACCACTACGGAAAAGCCTAGAGAAATGGAAACCACTCTCCGGGCAACTACAATAAGGAAAATAGTTAATACTGAAACAAGTAAAATGACCACCCCGATCTGGAAAGTAACCCCTACAGCTAGAATTACGACCCCAAGGGCAACAACTCAAGTAGAGATATTAAAGACCACGACAGAGAGGACAAAAATTCAGACGCCAATCTGGAGAGTAACCCCAACCACGAGCAAGCCGACACAAAAGACGATAGTCCCGAGTTCAAAAATAATCTCAAGCACACAATCAAGTACCACCAAGAGAATAATCACCCCGACCAGAAGCACCACGGTAAGAATAATCACACCGAAAATGACTACGACGAGCCCCACTCCCAAAATGACAATTACCACGAGGAATAGTTTCATAAAATCAACAGTTAGGCCCCCATTTACGCAGAAAGCCCCTCCAACAACTAAAAGGCCACAGATGAGGGACGATGTTAAAATTCCTAAAGTAACAAATCCGGCAAGCAGAAAGGCTAATATAATTGAGACAACGGAAAGGACGACGACCACGTTGGTGATGAAAAGAGATGTTTCAGATAAGCCGTGGCTCGACCCAAAAGACGAAAATCACGCAAACTCAAGATTAAATTATTTGGATTGGAAGACCGAACAGAGACGAGTACTCGAAGCAAGGGAAAAGTGGATCACAGATTGCCATAACCGAAACAGCCAATTATCTATCGCAAGGGCCCTAGCAAGAGAAATGCCGGAGCAGGCGGCGCGTTCGTTGTATAATAGGGATGACATAACGGCAACTTTATTGAGTACAGAGGATGGAAAAATCAGATGGCAGCTAAATAAATGTAGGCAGGTAAAAGCCGATTCTATTGATTGGACTCAAATGGTAGGGAAAGATTGTTACAAAGAGACTCCAGTTACAGTAAATAAGAAAAGATATTTTTTGAAACCGGGAGGAAGAGATTTAATTAGCGAGGGGACACAAATAGATTGTTTAAAGAAAAAGAGGCCAAGCAATGACAAAAATGCAAATAAAACAAAAATAGAAGAATTAAATATAATTAGCTCATTCCAAACCAGTCCGCAGATAAACAGGCAAAATCCGCTTATTTTTAATGTTGGGAGCATTTTCGAGTCAGACCAAACGAGATTGGACCAAAATATGCAAGATTTGACGAAAAGATTAAACCGGCCAGAGCTAACATTTCCGGAGGAAACAGAGACTGAATTTGAAGAGGAAAATAATTCGACGAAGGGGACAGTTCGAGCCATACTTGCCCAAGGGAATAAGGCGTTCCAAACAGTGGTAGAGCAAGGAAATGTCCTCATTGGGAAATCATCTGAAGTTCTAGAGAAAGGGAAAAATTTTTGGGAAGACCCTTTCGGAATTAAGTCTACGATAAAAATGATTTTGGCAGTGATCGCAGGCGTCGCATTACTGATTGGATTGTGTGTTATTTATTGGAAAGGGAGGATATATATAATGTTAATAATAAACGGAATAAGGACTGGTGCAAGAATGGCAAATTTCATGATAAATTTACTACGACCCAGACGAAACCAACCAATTACAGTTTCAGCAGTCGAAAGAAGATTAACCCCCACGGCGCCATTAGCGGAAGAAGTACTTGAGGAAGAGGCATACATTTTAAATTTCATCCCGAAAGTATACCAAGTGACTTCAAAAAAGAGAAGATGCCATATAAATATAACCTTAAATGGGAATAAGACGAGAGCACTTTTTGACACGGGGGCAGACATAACCTATGTGAGTAAAAAGGTAGCTGATGCTTGCGGAATGAAAATAAATAAAGGAGATTTCCCGCAAGCCCAGGCAGCGAATTCCACACCCATTTTTCTTATTGGCTCAGCTAACACCTTGGTTGAAATCGGAAATTTCCGCACAACCTTCCCCATTTTAATTTCCGAAAATGAAGGATGTCCAGGAGGCGCAATTATAGGAACTGATTTAATGGAGGAGATAAATAAACAAGAGGACTATATGATTGGAATTGATTTTAAAAGAGGCGAAGTACATTTGGGAGGAACTTCGCTGCCCATGGTTCATGCCGTAAACTCGGAGTGGAAACCAATGGCTGTCCAATTGTTAAAAACTCATTTACTACCAGCTTTGTCCGATTCATTAGTTTGGGGGAAAATAAATAAAGGAGCAGGCCCGGAGGAACAATTTATAACAGTTGAAAGAGAACACAAATACTTTCCAATCCGAGTGGGAAAATGTTTAGTTAAACCAATGGCTAAAAGAATTGTTCCCCTCAGATTATTAAATTATGGAAACGCAGAAATTAAAGTACATGCAAACTCCAAATTAGCGAATCTAGAACCAATAGGAAGCGAGCTTAAAATTGAGTCGGTGATAGAGGGAGAGGAAGCATTTATGACTGATGAAGAGTGGAAGGAGTTTAAAGAGAGAGTCGATCAAATACCAGAGGAGGCTAATTGGATAAAGAGATTGCCAGACGAGCCAATAAATAATACTGAGAAACCAATTTTTGAAAGGATAGTGTTGGATGGAACAATTTTGAGTAGAGAAGGATTAGTAGAATTAAGAGAGATTTTAGAGACAAATAAGGATGCCTTTGTGAAAGAAGATGGAAGAATAGGAACATTTAGGGGCAAGACTGTTCACAAAATTGACTTAATGGATGGAGCCAGACCCTTGCAAAATAGACCGTATAGATACCCGCTGCATTTACAAACCGAGATAGAGAAGCAAATAAAGACATTATTGAAACAAAACATTATACGACCCTCGAATTCAGCCTGGGCGTCGCCGATAGTACTTGCGCGCAAATCGGATGGGAGTTATAGATTTTGTGTTGACTACCGGAGGCTTAATTCCATCACTAAAAAACAGACATATTATCTCCCCAGAATTCAAGATTTGCTCGATTCAGCCATGGGAAAGCAAATATTTTCAGTGTTTGATATGAGTTCCGGGTTTCATCAGATAAAATTAGCTAAGGGCCATGAAGAGAGAAGCGCCTTTATTTGTCATTGTGGACTCTTTGAATATTTGAGGGTTCCGTTTGGATTATCAGGAGCACCCACAACCTTTCAAAGAGCAATGGAAGAGGTCCGACAAGCATGTTCGAGGAGTTTCTTGGTTTACCTAGATGATTGTATACTGGGATCAGAAGATGAGAGAAACCACTTGAATGATTTAAAGGCGTTTCTGCAAACCATAAATGAGGCTGGACTGAAATTAAAACCCGAAAAGTGTAAAGTGGGACAATCCGAGATTAGATATTTGGGACATTTAATATCTGCAAAGGGAATCCGAATTGACCCAAAGGATCTTGAACCGATCATGAAATTGAAAAAGCCGAATACTCTTACTGAACTGAGGTCACTGATAGGGATGCTATCTTACTTCAGAAAATTCACTCCTAATTTCGCTGAAATAATGAGCCCCATTTACGAATTGACAAAGAAAGAGAATACAAGAGAGTGGGATGACATTCACGAAAAATCGCTAGAAAAAATGAAAAATTTGCTCACGTCAGCGCCTATTTTAGCACCACCAAAATTAGGGAAGCCGTTCACCGTAGAGACTGATGCCTCTATAACAGCGATCGCCGGTTGTTTATTGCAAAAAGGAAAAGACGAAAATTTGCACCCAATCGCATACTTTAGTAGAAAATTAAATAAACATGAGAAGCGATATGCGGTGGTTGAGTTAGAAGCGTTAGCCATTGTCGCATCTTTGAAAAATTTTAGACCTTACCTAGAGGGCGCGGGGAGGTCGACGGTGATCACAGATAACTCAGCCTTAACATCACTTTTTCGAAGAAAAGATTTAGAAGGGAGACTAGCCAAGTACCAAATATCGATCATGGCTTACGATGTGGACATTATCTACCGCCCCGGGAATAAAAACCATTTATGTGATCATTTGAGCCGATTTGTGGAGGATAATAAACGGGCAGGAAAAAGTGAAGTCAATTTAATTAAAATAGAAAAGAAAATTGATTCTGAAGAGATGAAAGCAGCGCAGGAAAAGGATGAGAGTATACAAGAAATAAAAAATTTATTGAAAGAGAACCCAGAGAACGATAAGTGGAAAGTATATGACGGAGTTATTTTCTTAAATGAAAGGGGACAGTTAAAGATATTAGTGCCTGAAACGCTTAAGGGAAGAGTGATGAAAGAGTACCACAGTGATATACTTCAAGGAGGACATTTGGGAGAAAAGAGGACTTTGGAGAAAATAAAGAGATTGATGTTTTGGGAAGGAATGGCAGAAGATGTAAACAAATTTATAAAGCAATGCGATTCTTGTCAGAGAAGGAAAATAATAGGCTTACACCAGAGTAGGGAACCGATTAATCCAATAGAACCGGCGGGGAGACCGTTCCAAAGAATCCACGCAGATTTAATGGGACCATTGCCAAAGTCAACAAATGGACATAAGTATATCCTTATGATTGTGGATGCTTTCTCAAAAATGATGATTCCAATTCCCCTGCGAGAACAATTAGCGGGAACAGTCATGGATGCTTTTTTGACAAATGTAATAACAAAATATGGGGTGCCGCAAGTGCTAGTATCGGACCAGGGCACCCAATTTATGAGTACTATCTTCAAGGATGTTTCGGAATTGCTAGGGATAAAACTTCAGACGACGACGCCCTATCACCAATCAGCTAACGGTCAATGTGAGAGATACAATAGGACATTAGCTGATATGATTAGTACCACAACAAAAGGGAAAAACTGGCCCGAGACACTCCCATTTTTGGCTTTTGCATATAATACATCATTCAATGCACAAATTGGGGAAACACCGTTTGTTGTGGTTCATGGATGGCACGCGCGATTGCCTTCTGAAAATTTGCTAAATAAGCCAACTAATGATTATGAAAATATAGGCACATATACAAAAGAATTAAAAGAAAAAATACAGGATGTACATGAAAAAGTAAAAATTAAATTGCAAGCGAATGTAGAGCGAATGAGAAATCAGCAGAAAGTTATAAAGATTGTTGAGTGGAAAGAAGGGGATCTGGTGTTGACGAAGAGAGAGGATAAAGGAGGCAAATTTGATCACAAGTTCCAAGGCCCTTACAAAATAATTAAAGTTGAGAAACCGAACCTAATCCTTGAAGACCCCGATAGTGGAGAAAGGAAAACTGTGCACATGGACAAATGTAAAATATATAATTCTGAAAGAAACGAAGAGAGCGGCGCGCCCTTTGAAAGCTCTTCGGGAAGCGAGAACCCTATTGACCCACCTCAAATAAATTTCATAAATTTTGAAGGATTTTCTTAATCGAATATTTGCAGATTATTCAAATTAAAAAATTATTTTATTGAAAAAATGGCAGCAGAAATGGAAGAAGCTGTGGAACTGCTCCAGGAAGAGGAACTAGATGCTAACTACAGGTGGGAAGAAGCAGATAAAAATTGGGACCCCATAGACATGACAAGCAAGGAAAGGGATAATTTTGTAACTAGGAAGGAAAAACAAGAAGATAAAGCGATGGATAATTATACAAGAGCCTGGGAAAACCACAAGGAAGCCGAAATTGATAAGAGGAGAATAGAGAGGGGGAAGAGGCATGCCCTAAAAGAAATGATGACCGCTGAAAAAAACGCAGCGATTAAATTCGCGAGAAAAATAACGGGTGAAGCTTTCAGATCTGGACAATCTAGAGAGGAGGAAGAGAGCAAGAGAAGAGAAAGAGAGGTGGAAGCTTGGAACAGAGCATGGGGCTGGCCACCAATAAATGATAAGAGAAGGGATGAAGAGAAAAGAAAACGGATTGAAGAACAGATTACACAGAAAATGTTTGATAAATATGCCGAGAATAATCCGTGGGGAAAAGAGGCAGGCATAATGGTGGAACCAGAGATGAAAGAAGGAAATCCAATGTTTGAAGAGTTGGTAAACTTGGCGATGAAAAACCCGCGAACGTTGAGTGAGTTAAGAAAGGATGTGGAAGAGGAAGAGTGGGAAAACCTGTTCTCGAAACCAAGTGGGCACTGGAGTGGAGGCGAAAAAGGATATGGGAGAGGAAGACGACCTTGGGAACCAAATCGTGACTGGAGAGGTAACTGGCACGCGCACACAAAAGAGAAGCAAGCAGAGAGGGGAGAGGAGGAAAAGAGTGTAGAAAAGCGAATGGAGAAGAAGAGAAAATTAATGATTGAATTAGAGGAAATGGACAAACAAGAAAAGGAAGAGAAGAGGAAACGTGAGGAAGAGAAGGAAAGAAAAGAGGCAGAGGAAAAACAAGAAGAGGAAGAAAAGAAACAAGAAGAGGAAGAAAAGAAACGAAAAGAGGAAGAAAAGAAACGAAAAGAGGAAGAGAAGAAAAAAGGAGAGGAGGAGGCAAACCGAAAAGAGGAGGAAGAGAAGCATGAGGAGGATGAGGTTAAACGAGAAGAGAAGGAAAAGGAGGAGAATGATGAGGAGGCGAAGAAAGAGACAAGTGACTTTGAGTTTGTGAGGAAAATATGGGAGCAAGAAGGAAAGGCGCATGGCTTATATTCTGAATTGCGCAAAATAAGAAAGCAGTTGGAAAGTGGAATGAAGGGGAAAATGTTGGAAGATTGGAAGAAGCAGAAAACGAATAAAGAGAGAAACTAAGAGGAAAAATTTTGGTGATGGGATAATTGTTAATGGGAATTTAATATTTTGTTAAAAAAAGGAATTTAATATTTTGTTAAAGGGAATTTAATATTTTTCGATTTAATTTATACTTGCTAACAACCCCTGACTTTGTTTTTCACCCGGAATTTATTTAACCCCACTTTAAATTTGTACTAGCATTTCTTAGAATTTTTCCCCAATTTAAAAAATTACCCATTGCGGGGGACTCGGGACCTTGGGCATGCACACCAACGCAACAGTGAAACACCAGAAAGGCCAGAAACGTGAACATCTTAAACCAGAAGTTGGAAATAAAATAAGAAAATACTAAAAATACCAGAGAAGAATTTTGTTGTTGTTGAAGAAATAAGATTTAATAATTTTTGAAAAATTAAAATGAAGATGGAAATTAAAGGGAAGTGTGAAAGAAGCTAGGATAAGAAAGTTGCAGCTGCAACTGGAAGGAGCAAAAGAAGAAAGGGCCAAACCAATGAGCGGGAAAATAGTACCGATAAGGATGGGAGAAAAATGAGCTTTCGAATGATATAAAACACAAATGAGCAGGTGCTAGGAAAAGGCGAGGAAAAGTTTAAAAAATTTTTTTAAAACCCACGGCGCCACCAAAGTCCAACCATTACCATCCATAAAGCATTGAACCATGTTGAATGTTGACGGCATGTTAAAAAGAAAAAAATTTAGGGCTTAAAAACAAAAACAAAAACAATAAAGAGAAGTACTAACCGATAATTGGTTAGTCGAAGTAAATCATGGCGATGATAAACACCCTTTGTCATTAAATCCAACAATAGCAGCCAACATTGCAACTTTTGAATAAATTTAGGAATGGCGAAAATGAAGGAAAATGAAAAATGAGTGGAGAAAGGAAAGGCATGTATAAGAAAAGTGACCCAATCGATAGGAAAGGAAGGAGGAAAATGACCGATGGGAAAAATATAGGAGTGGGAAAGACGCCCAAAGGAAAAGAAATAAAACCTGAGAGGAGAGAAGGGAAGGAAAGAGTGCTTCGTCCAAAATGTTTTAGTTTCTATTTTTCGAGTTTTGGTGGAATAGGACCCCGGAATGTGCCGAAACAGATTTTAAAAAGCAAAAGGTGAAAAGGCGAAACAGATTTTAGAAAGCTAATCATGAAAGACGAAAATCCAAAAAAGGCGAAAATATGGGGAAAGATTCAGGATGAAAAGCGAAACGGCCCAACAAACAGCCCACCCCGCCGATACCTCATTGACAAGAAGGGATGGATCAGGGAACGATAAGAATAAAAGCAAAACTAAAAGAAAGTTTTGAAAAATTTCGGAATACGGAACAGAAAGAAAATGGAAGAAAAAAAAAGGAAAAAATAAGAGGGGGATAAAACGGAAGGAGGAGAAGAGATATAAAAAAAAAAGTTTGGACTAGAAAATGGAATTTAAAAGAAAGAAAAAAGGAGGAAGGAAAAAAAAAATTATTAAAATTAAAAATTTGAATAAAATGAAGAAAATGAGAAAAAATTGGCTTTAAATAGTAGAAAATTAGATATTTTGAAAATAAAAGCCCGCCATTTTTTTTTACTGGAAAAAGGTCGCTTCAGCGCGAATTGAGTGCGAAATTTAGGATGTTTTATCGCGAAACTCAGTGCAGTTATGGAAGGCAGTGGTCGAATGGTTATCACTGCTGTTGGTGTTAATTCTCAAACTGGTATTATAATGACTCTCCTTGGTGCAGCTAAGAATGCTTTAGAAGATGAACGAAAGGAAAAGCAAAAGAAGAGAAAAAGACAAGAAGGAGGAGTAAAACAGCAGGAGAGAAACTTCCGAACTCCACGTTGCCAATTGTCGGAGATATTGGTCGACAACCTCTAGAAATTACAATAGATGATGGAACTAAACAGGCACTTTTGGAGAATGAAGAAAACATCAAACTTGATGGCTATAAGGGCGCAGTTACTTCAACAGCAGCACAGACGATGAAAGAACAAATTTGGATGGTGTCCCCCCCCCCCCCCGTTAAGAATGTCATATTTACTAAAATTTTACCCCGCCTATTTTCAGCAAGTATAAATTAGGGGGACAGGACCAGCCAAAAATTCAGTTTTTGATTCCACTTCTTGAAAAAGATAAAGGAGCGGTCCTGTCCCCCTTTTTTCACTCCCCCATTTTATTTACTTTTATTTAATTAAATAAACGTTTAAAAGAAAGGAGTGTTTTAATTGGTGCAGCGGACCGCGACTCGCGGGTTGGGTTCGCCCAACTCGCGAGGCCCAACGGTCGCGCTTAGTCAAACATTAAACTCTCATTCAAATAATTTTAACCTAAATCCTTTTTTTATTTATTTTATTTATTTATTTAAAATAAAAAAACAAGCAACAAAACGGGGTGAGCCATTTACATTGTTGCACTATATATTGATTTGTATTAATTACCCTATTTGGACATTTAGAATTTTATTTTTATTGTCTATAAGTTGTTTAAAAAACCATTAATAAATATCCTAAGCGTGTTTATTGTTAATATAGTGTATTTTTGAAGGGGAAGAGAAAGTTGGTCTTAAGTCATTTTTGAGCCAATAGGGGGAGATTGGCACCCAAGGGGTCTTTATATCTCTTGTAATGACTGATATTACTTTTAATCAATCCCTAAAATTAATAATCCACAAGTTTTTAGTTATATTTATTCCTTTCTACTATAAATTTAAAAATTGAGTATGTTTACTAAAGGCACCACCAACAACATATTAACATAAAAATCTAAAATATTATTATAATAAGAAATCTGAAACTTATAGGTGCTCTAAAAGGCAAAAACCCAATAATTGTAAAGGAGAGGTAAAAGCTATAAATAATGAAGTTGTTGAGCTGAAACAGCACAACGCAGCTAAATGCCAAGAGGTCTGATTTAAAAAATTTTAATTAACGTGTATGTTTATTAATTCTGTTATTTAGATTCGATTAGTCTTACGATGACAAGTTTATTTTAGAATTTATTAAAATTTTTTAAATTTTTTAGTTTGGAAATATTTTTTCGTTTTCTAATTTTATTCTTATTAGAACGCTGCGCCAACCGAAGATAGATAGTGTAAAGATAGATAGTGTCTTAAGTTATAACTTATTTTCTTCTTGAAATAGTTAAGGCGTGAGAAGCTCAAATCCATTGTTATTTTTCAAATATCCTACGTTTAGTCACCTATTGAAACCTATTGGAGATTTTTAACCTAAAATAGGTTGTAATATATTTCTATTTATATTTCTATTTCCTATTTTTGACACCTATTCTGTCATTTAATACAACCTATTTAGGCTAATGAACACTTTGAAAATTAAATTTTCTTGAGTAAAAATGCGAAACGAATGAAAAACATCATAAGTGCTCCAACGGTGAAATTAAGAGTCTTGCATTTGAAAAAAACCCGGGACCTGAGAAAAACCCGACCCTTTTTAACAAATTACTTTTCTCTAAAATCATTAGAATTTGCTTTCTACAACTCAAGAAGAAGTCGCTCAGCGTATAGCTAAACTAGAAAGTGATAGAAGTGAATTGCAAGAGAAGTGAAATCAATTGGAAGCTGCTCAAAAAGAAATTGAAAACTCTAAAAATAATTTACAACACGAGGTAGTAATAAGTTTTAATAAAAATTAATGATTATATGAGCAGATGGAACAAAATATGGCATATTATAATGACGAATTAAATAAAAAAAGAGAAAGAATAAATAAATTGGAAAATGAAAAAGAGTAAGTTTAGAAACGTATAAAAACTTAGGACAAATAAAACTAAGTTAAGTTTCCCAGTATTTGGAACAACCTTCCCCGACGTATCAAAAACCTTAAATAATCTCGAACAAATAATAAAATTAAAAAATCTAACGTAGACAGTGACGAAACAAATGAGTTCAAAACACGGATGGACCCAAAAAAAAGAAAATTTTATAAAATATTCAAATTTTGTAGAAAATTAGAAAAGGAATCTGATTAGAGATAAGCAATACGACCTGCTTAGACAGGAAAATGACTTGCTGAAATATAGGTAAACTATTTTATTTCTTATTCCAATAGATTTAACTACAATTCTTAACTATGTTCTTGATTTGTTATTATGAACAAATAACAGTAAAACTAAAAAATCTAAATTGATTGAAATTTAGATTGAAAAAATTGAAAATTGAAATTGAAATTGACAATGGAAACCCCATTAGATTGAGGGAAAAATCAAAATGCTTAAAAAATAAAACGCTTATTTTTTACAAGATCTGAAATTGAAAATATTGAGGCTGGGTACAAAAAGTTGCAGGTATATCAGGGCATTTCATATTAGAATCTTTTTCAACTTTTAGGTGGCAACGGAATGCAGGTCTCTTCTCAAGAAGTACTTCACTAAGGAAGTTATGGACCAGTGTAAAGGACTCACATCAGAACTAAGCTTGGTGCGAACTTGCTTGATATGATCCAGTCTGGAGTTGCAAATCTTGATAGTGCAATTGGTGTTTATGCGTCTGATGCTGAGTCTTACACTCTCTTCAAACCACTTTTTGACCCGATCATTCAAGTTGTTTTTAAATTTTTATTTAAATATTTTACTTCTTTCAGGACTATCACAATGGATTTGGACCTGATCAAAAGCAGCCTCAAACCGATTTTGGTGAAGGAAAGACTCAGCTTTTGCCTGACCTGGATCCTGAGGGTAAATTCATCATCTCGACACGTGTCCAATGTGGGCGTTTTCTTCAGGTTTTTGTGTGTTGTTAAAATATGTTTATTTTTCTTGTGCATGGGTATCCGTTCAACCCGTGCTTGACTAAAGAGAATTATACTGAAATACAGGACAAAGTTAAGGGAGTCTTTGACCAGCTTAAGTCTGGTAGGTTTCCCTTTACAGTTTACATTAATATTCAGATGCTTAGCTTGGTGGCACCTACTATCCTTTGGAGGGAATGACTAAAGAGGTTCAAACTCAATCAATCAAGGACCACTTTTTCTTCAAAAAAGGAGACCGCTTTTTCAAGCTGCGAATGATTGTCGTTATGCTTGTCGTATTTTATATATTGTCTATTAAAAATAAAATTTTTTTGAGGAATAAAAGTAAAAACTTGGTCTATATTTTCTCTTGCTTCAAGCACGCAAGTGTTTTGATGACTTTAAAAATTTTTTTTCTAATTAAAAAAATTTTTTTAAAGGTTAGAAATTTTCTTTTTAATGAAATCAAACAGGTTTATAATTTCAATTTTCTTTTTGTTTGGATTTTGTTTACTTCTTATCTTTTCATTTTTGTCAATTTTTACTGAAGCTTCAACATATTCATGCAAATCGCCTACTGGAGCTGATGTTGATTGGTTTTTATTTTTTTATTTTTTTTGGATTTAAGGGGGATTTTTAATATATAAGGAAATGATCCGTTATACTCTCAAAATTCTGAAAGTTTACCCGCAAGGTGTATATAATTTTTTATTAAATGATTTAAAAGGGTTATTTAGAAAGCCCTTGCAGGTTTTAAGTAAGAAATTTAAAAAATTTTGCTAATAAAACTTGCAGACTTTTTTTGGGATTATAAACAAGGGTGAAATCCAATTGACCATTAGAAACACTCACAAGATGGAGCCCTATTAGGTCAATCGTTAGAGCACCTTGTATTTGTCGAACGAACAGGGAGGGACTCACATTAATGACCTTTTTGGGTCATTAAACTTTTTTCCAAATTTTTTAAAGGTTCGTAGCTTACAAATTACCCAATTCAATTTCTAATGGAACATCCTTTCTCTATGCGGATTCAAAAAATGGAGAAGATTGGACTTTATCCAAAGCTAATATTGAAGATGAAACTTCAGCTATTGGTAGAACAATACTTCAAATATTTGAAGCTAAAAAGGCAAAGACTGATTTGATTGCTTTGTATAATGATGAAAATCCAAATGATGGAAAAACTGATTCTGGACGAGCACATATGAAGGTTTATATAAATTAATTAAAAGGAAATGTGAAGTTTATGTAGAATCTGAGGATGAGGATCGTCCTGAAGTGTTCATTTTAAGGGACCATCAAGCAAAGATATGTTTAGAGGTAGAATGTTAAATAAGATTAAAAAATATTCCGATAAAATATTTTTTGATTAAAATAAATTCTGATTTAAATTTCCCCTTTTAAATGTTTCATTACTTCAGAAAAAACGCCAGGTGTACCTCCTCCCCCTTTAGAACAACCTCCTCTACCTCATGTAGATAATAATCCTTTAAATATACCAGCAATATATGAACTTTCACTAGAAAAAGAGTTAACTTGAAAAAGAGTTAACGAATATTAAGCAACAGTTGGGGGATGCTGAAGCTGCTCAAAAAGAAATTGAAAACTAAAAATAATTTACAACAAGACCAACGACATATTAACATATAAAAATCTAAAATATTATTATAGGAAATCTGAAACCTATAGGTGCTCTAAAAGGCATAAACCCAATAATTTTAAAGGAGAGGTAAAAATTATAAATAATGAAGTTGTTGAGTTGAAAACTAATAGTTATTTGAGTTGAAAACTAATAGTTATTTCCCATTTACCACCCTTATAAAATTTTGAAAACTAATAGTTATTTTTAAAATTAAAACAAAATTATTAAACATGTAATTTAGATTAATAACGACAAATTACTGCAAAGAAGAATTGTTAAAAAAATTTAAATATACAACCATTGAAGGATGAAATAAAAAAATTAAAAGAAGATATAGATTTGAAGGAGAAGAAGGAAATTTTAGACAGGCAAAAAATTGAAGAACTAGAATTTAGGTGTGTTACAATATATCCGGGGTTTTGACTTGCTCCCGTTTATAAGCCTAAATTTTTGAGTGTTCGCGTTTAAATCGCACAATTGTCCAATTATTTTACGACTATAATAAATTCAGGCAGTTAAACGTGAGCACTGAAACGAAGTGTATTAAGAAAATATTGAGTAAAAAATTTAAGTTGGCTTAGGACATTAAATATGGAAAAATTTTTTGAAATTATAGATTGAATGAAGCTCATGGAACTACAAACGGGGAAAATGTATGCTAAAATTTTCCAGTTCTTTAAGTAGTTTACTAAAGGCAGCACCAACGACATATTAACATATAAAAATCTAAAATATTATTATTATAAGAAATCTGAAACCTATAGGTGCTCTAAAAGGCAAAAACCGAATAATTGTAAAGGAGAGGTAAAATTTTTAAACAATGAAGTTGTTAAAATTTTGAGTTCGTCTACACTAAAGATTTTGGTGTGGTAAATATGTTAGACTCTAAAAGTTCATTTGCTGAAAATGTAAGTCTAGCAACCCCGACAGCAGTTCAGCAACTAAGACTCACTCGTCTCCAAATGAGAAGGCAATTCTTCTCATCGACTTTTTCAAAAAGAAAACGACGCCGCTCCACCCTCATTCTACTAAAAAATACTAAATACATACTAAAAATTAAGAAAATTATAATTAAAATCTGATCTATACCCATACGATTTATTGCACTTTTTCATAATACCAACATTTGTTGCTGCATTTAACAAGCTTTTTCTAAATTTTCGATTTTCGAAAGATTTCAATTTCCTTAAGAATATACGTAATGATCAGACTTTTCTTTCATCTTTTCACTTGATTTCCCCCATGTCCCCGAGTGCCGTATCAGTTATGCTATATAATGGATTTAGAGATACCGGAGGACTATGGATGACGTCAGGGTATTTGGGGAAATATCAAAGATTAATTTCTATATTTTATCGCGCCGCAGGTGAAAATTTTGAGGGTTTTGGAGGGCTAAGAAGCTAGAATTTCTTTTTTCAACGCCGCAGAAAAAATTTTAACTCTTCTTTCTTACTCTTTAAAATAAATCATAAGTTTTTCATTTTCTTTATATCTCTTGTAATCTCCTGATATTACTTTTAATCAATCACTAAAATTAATAATCCACAAGTTTTTAGTTATTTATTCCTTTCTACTATGTTTACTAAAGGCACCATCAACAACGTATTGACATACAAAAATTTAAAATATTATTATAATAAAAAATCAGAAACCTATAGGTGCTCAAAACGGCAAAAACCGAATAATTGTAGAGGAGAGGTAAAATTTTTAAATAATGAAGTTGTTATGCTGAAAGAACACAATGCAGCTATCTGCAAAGAGGTCTGATTTAAAAAATTTTAATTAACGTGTATGTTAAATTTTTTAGTTTGGAAATATTTTCTCGTTTTCTAATTTTATTTTTATTAGAACGCTGCGCCAACCGAAGACTTTTTGGAACAAATTGGCAATAAATCTTTAAGACGCCTTTCTAACGCTTCTTTGGAAAGTGGCCTTTTAAATGCACAAGTTATTCCCAACAGCATAAGATTGTCTGCCTCTCCATTAAATGACATATCTTCGGATACAGAAAGCAATGCTGCAGAGAATGCAGAATTTGATCAATTAGATGAAATGCCTCGTTATAAGGTTAACAAATTACTTATCTAACAAACAATTTACTAATAACAAATTACTTATCTCTAAAATTATTAGAATTTGCTTTCTGCAACTCAAGAAATATTTTCTGGCAATAAATCTGCAACTCAAGAAAAAGCCGATCAGCGTATAGCTAAACTAGAAAGTGATAGAAGTGAATTGCAAGAAAAGTTGAAATTAATTGGAAGTGGAGAAAAGGTTTATTATTATTTAGTTTTTAGTAGATTGGAATTAAAAAGAATAGATTTAAGTTTGATCATAAAAGTCTTATGTTTGTTTTTTAAGGTTGATGAACAAAATGAAAAAATCAAAAAGCTTCAAGACCTTCTCATTAAATGCAAAAATGAAATAACCTCAAATCGTGGCACTTTATGGCCGTATCACTTTATTTTTTTTTTATTCTATATATTGTCTATTAAAAATAAAAATTTTTTTTGAGGAATAAAAAAAAACTTTATCTATATTTTCTCTCTTACTTCAAGTGACACAAGTGTTTTGATCACTTTAAATTTTTTTTTTCTAATTAAAAAAAATTTTTTTTAAAGCTTAGAATTTTTTTAATGAAATCAAACAGGTTTATAATTTCAAGTTTATTTTTGTTTGGTTTTTGTTTATTTCTCAGCTTTTCATTTTTGTCAATTTTTACTGGAGCTTCAACATATTCATGCAAATCGCCTACTGGAGCTGATGTTGACTGGTTTGCTTTTTTTAATTTTAGGGTTGTTGAAGGGTTGCCATTTTTAAGTAGATGCTCATTTATATGTACTCCTTCAAAATTCATGAAGTTTTTCTGTAAGGTGTATGATTTTTATTAAAGTAAGATTAAAAAAATCTTGCAGACTTTTTGGGAGTATAAAAATTGTAAGGAAGAAGGGTGAAATCCAATTGACCATGTGAAACACTCCCAAGATGGGGCCCTATTAGTTCAATCGTTAGAGCACCTCGTATTTGTTGAACGAACAAGTGCTTACAAGGAAACATATCGAACTATATGGGAAATTTTGTATCTTTTTGTACCACCGTGTAGAGCATGTCGATAACCTATTGCCAATTTTTGGCTCTGACCCCCTAATTCTAAAAATTATAGGGTTTCAAAGTTTCAGTATTTTGGAGCGGTTCCTTGTCAGCAATGTCTGACAGAATATCCAAGGGTCGATGCCTGTCTTTTTGGGTCATTAAACTTTTTTCCAAATTTTTTAAAGGTTCGTAGCTTACAAATTACCCAATTCAATTTCTAATGGAACATCCTTTCTCTATGCGGATTCAAAAAATGGAGAAGATTGGACTTTATCCAAAGCTAATATTGAAGATGAAACTTCAGCTATTGGTAGAACAATACTTCAAATATTTGAGGCTAAAAAGGCGAAGACTGATTTAATTGCTTTGTATAATGATGAAAATCCAAATGATGGAAAAACTGATTCTGGACGAGCACATATGAAGGTTTATATAAATTATTAAAACGGTTAGATTTTGCGGAACAAACATCTCTCCTGGGAGCGTTTTTCCTGGAGGAACATCTTTCAATCACAAACATCTTTCCTGGAGGAACTCAAATTGCTGTTTTTTTTTAAATTTGATCGGTTATTGTGAATGAGGTGGTGGTGAGGGTGAACCATTCTGAGCAATACTTCTACTTATAAGATACCCATCATTACATGTTAAATTTTTAAGCCAAAAGTTATCTGCAGGTTTTGTCCGCTAAGTTTAAGAAAAAAAAATTTTCGAAAAAACATTTTGGTGCCTAAATAACCAAGTAAGCCGGATTTTTTGACTTAAAAAGATTAATTGGATTACTACTTGACCTTATTTGTTTTAGTATTTATTTTATTTGATTTTCACTGCCTATAAGTCGAATCCTCACTCTATGGTTCGAACCCTCTTCTTGAAAATCATTTTTATTTTATTTAGTATTTATTTTTTAGGGTGTTGTTGTTTCTAGCATTAAAAATGGCTTTTGGCTTGTTCATTCTGTCCCAAAATTTCCTTTGTCTTCAGAAGAAAAATATTTGTACCCAGAATCGGGGAAAAGAAATGGTCAGTCATTCTTTTGTTTGTCTTTTTCAACTGATGCTCTAGAACAAATTGGTTATTTATTTGATTTTTAATAGTCAAACATTATTATAAAATACACCTTAGGATGATAAATAGTCAGATCTTATAATGAGATATATACTCTTGTGTTTGGACAAATTCACAAGGGCGTAGCCCGGCGGTCGATTTCAGCTAGGGTCTCAAATCTCAGGACACTCAGAATCGGCTGGTACTCAACTGGCGGTACTCAGCTTACCCCAACTGTGATTCTAGTGTTCCCTGCTGGATTCATAAATCTTACGAATATTAGGAAAATTTTTCGCTCTCAAGTCTCAGGACACTTGACAACTAAAATTCTTCTCATAAAATATTTTTTATTTAAAGGTCATCAACTTTTTGTCGCTCAACCAAACTTTTATGACGTCCAATTGCCTTCATCATTTGAAGAAAAATATACAGATTTGGCCAATTCAATAAATAAAAAATCTTATCCAAAATTAAAACCTTCATTTTCTGTTACAAATATACAACTTTTAGATGGTACAAAAATTACAAGTTTTTCAAAACATAAAAGGTTTGCTAAAGGTTTGTTGTTTGAATTTTTTAAAGGTAGAAATTATTTTTTCTAGTCTGGGAAATATTAGAAAATATCTCTTATTTCAGAATTAAATATTTGATTTTAGGATGGGATTTTTTAAAGGATTGATTTTGGCTAACCTTTGAGAGGGGAAAAACATCTTTCTAACGTTTTTATTAGGGCGGACCGAACCGAAGAACCGAGGATTTTTCGGTTCGGTTTCGGATATCCGAAGAATTTCCAGGAACTGAAAACCCTAATTTTTATACTTGTTAACAGCCAAAAAAGTTTTTTTTAACCTTCAAAAAATATTTTTCCCCTTAACTTTCGAAAAGTTGTTTTTGTAGTGTAGTGGGTTAAATTTTAACCCAATTTTTAACGGTATAGGTTCGAACCCTGATTTGATAAAAAAATTTTTATCGATCGTTTCTCAGTAGTTTAGTGGATTAGTCGTATTTTTTTTTAATAAAATGATGTCTCTTTTATTATAAATATTGTTTTTTAACCCCAAAATTTATTAAAAAATTTTCAGATTTATACTATGATTTGGTAGCTCCAGAATTGAAATCTTCATTTTACACAGAAACATGGTTGGTAGGACGTGGAGATCTCCTTTCTGATTGTGATACTAATTTCAAAGTATTTTTTAATTGCAAAAAATGCCTAAAAAATTATTTCAACTCACATGGGTTCGAACCTACACCTATAAAAACGCTTGAATTATCTCGGATTAACCCACTAGACCACAAAAACCATTTTTGAAAATTTTAGGGAAAAATATTTTTTGAAGGTTAAAAAAATGTTTTTTGACTGTTAAAAATTATAAAAAATGCCAAAAAAAAATTTTTTCCTCGAAAAAATTGTCTTTTCTTCCTTTTTAGATTCACAATATTCAATCAATTCAATTTAAAAAACCTTTTGAAAATATAAAATTTGACAATACAAAAGATCACTCAAAATGGGCTGTTAGTCAAGAAATAATTTGTATTGGGGATATAAATAGACAAAAATCTCAGTCAAAACGTGGAGGAGGAACTGTTTGTATGGAAAATAAAATTATAGCAAAAATGTATTTTTCGGCTATTGGGGCTGTTGAATGTTGTATTAATGAAACTGAATGTTCTCCTAATAATAAGGGAAGGAGGAAGGGAAGTTTAAAATAATTTTATTTTAATTTTATTTTATTTGGAGAGGGGGAGAGCGTGGTATTATTAAAAAAATTTTTGTGGACAAAATATTTTTCCATGTGAATTTTTTGTCCGCAAAATTTTTAAAATTTTTTTAAACATCTTAATAATGGGATTTCCTATTTTTGAAACGTGAAATTTTGTTGACGATTTTGTCAATTTGACCATGAATGGATATTTCCACTCTTTTTCTTTTAACCTTTTTTTGAAAAAAATTTTTTTGTTATTTTAAATAGGGGTTGTCTGTTCCGAAAATTTTTTGTTTCGGTTAACTGAAGATTTTGTTAATACAGACAATCCTAGAGTCCTAAAAACTTACACGCAAGCTTTTAATATTTCATGCTTTTAAAAATCATTTTTTTTCAAGGCCTTACCAGTATTTTTTTTGTATTTAAATAATTTTTTGTATCTAAAAAAGCCAGTTTTTTTTACTAAATTTTGTAATTTTTTAAAATATTTAATAATTTCTAATATTGTAAAATAATAAATTTATTAATTTTACTATTTTTAAAATTTATTTTGTGTTATTTGACCATATTAAATATTTACTTTTATTTTGGTTGTTTTAGTCAATATAAAATTTTTAGAAAATTTTTTTAATGGAAGAAAACAAAAATTTACAAATTTTAAATAATTTGGAAACAACAACAAATTCCTCAGACATTGAAATAGATGATAAATTATTAATTAATGGAATTGAAAATACCCAAGATTTGCGTGATTGTTTAGCAAATATAGAACAAGAATTACAACAAATTGGTCAATTAACAGTTGAAGATTGTATTAATAATGGAGATAAAATTGCTGATTTGGCTAATGAAATTGAACAGTGTGACGGGATTTTGGAGGTTTTTTTAAATTTTGATTAAGTTTTGGGTCTGATCATAGTTCCTAGTTTGCAAAATTTTTATTTTCGTACAAATTTTCAATTTTGCGGGTAAGTTTTATTTTTGCGGATTTTTTCCTGTATGTAAGTGTGAAAAAGTTTCTTGGTTAACGTAATTTTTTATACTCTTTAAAAAATTTTCCTTAAAATTTCATGTGGGTGGTCTGTGTAAAATGAACTTTTCAGACTTATGTTGGGAAAGCTTTTTTAATCATTTTTTGGAGTCTGGGTCAAAGATTTGATTATTTTATTCATTGAAATATAATTTTACGTTAAAAAGCATCCTTTTATTGATTAATATGTACAGTAAAGATTTTTATCCGCGAATCTTATCGTTAGAATTTAGTCCGCAAATCGTTTTAAGGAAAATCCGCAAAATATTTTTAATAAAATTTTTTTTCTTTCTAGGGAATGGAAAATATGTTAGTCAATTTTTTGGGTGATCTGGGCAAAATTAGTGGGGATATGAAACATTTGAAGGAGCAATCAATTGAAATTAATCAACAATTAAATAATCATCAAAGGGTTCGTGCTGAGCTTAGCCAGGTTTTTTTTAAAGTTTCTAAATTTAAATGGAATTTTTTTTTAGTTTGTTGATGATATGGTGGTCCCACATTCGATGATAAAGTTGGTTTTTTAAAATTTTTCAAAAAAATTTTTTTTGCGGACAAAAAAAATTTTTTGCGGACAAAATATTTTGTCCGCAAAAATTTTGCGGACAAATTGTAAAAAAAAATTATTTTTTTAGAATAATAACAGAAAAAGATGTAAATAGCACAGAATTCTTAGAACAGCTTCATGAACTTCAGCACAAATTACAATTTATTAAAACTCAACAATTTAAGGACGCAAAATCTGTTGGGGATGTAAGAGATGTTGTTGAGAATTTAAAATATAAGGTTTTTGTTTTAAAATAATTAAAAGGTAAAAAAATAAACATGTTTTAAATAAAATCAGAATTTTAAATGAACATGTAAACAAAATCAGAATTTTTAACAAACATGTTTTAAATAAACATTTTAATTAAAATCAGAATTTCAAATGAACATTTTGTAAATAAAATCAGAACTTCCAGCAAACATATTTTAATTAATCATATTTTTAAAAAAACTTGTTTTGTTAAAAATCAGAATTGTAAATGAACATGTTTTTTATCAAACAAACATGTTTTTAATTAAACTTGAAAATGAATGTTTAAAATAAACTTGTTTCTACAAACTTGTTTTGATTAAACTTGAATTAAAAATTAAGTTTTTTTTTAAACAAACTTTGTTCTTTTAGGCATTAGAAAAAATTAGAGAATGGCTACTTTTAAGAATTTCTTTGTTTCGCAAACCTTTGACAAATTATCAAATTCCTCAAAATGCTTTGCTTAAAAATAGGTTTTTTCTTAATTTTTTAAATTAATTTTTAATATTTTTATTTTTTGATTTTTCTATGAATTTCTTCTTGGAAATGATCGTCAAGTTGCTTATGAAATTAAGGATGAATATGTTGATACTACCAGCAAAATGTTTTTTACATATTTTAAGGCTTATGTAACTAGGCTTTTTAAATTACTGGTGAGTTAAACATTAAAGAAATAAACATGTTTTGAGTAAAATCAGAATTTTGGATAAACATGTTTGTAAATAAAATCAGAATGTCAAACGAACATGTTTGTAAATATAACCAGAATTTTATATAGACATGTTTTAATTAAAATCAGAATTTCAAATAAACATGTTTTAGTTAAAATCAGAATTTTATATAAACATGTTTATTAAATAAGATCAGAATTTTAACTAGACATTTTAAAATCAAATCAGAATTTCACATAAACATGTTTTAAGCAAAACCAGAATTCCTAGCAAACATGTTTTAATTAAAATCAGAATTTAAACTAAATATGTTTTAATCAAGCCAGAATTTCCATCGAACATTTATTAAAGCAAATCAGAATTCCAAATAAACATGTTTTCAGATGTCAGATAAAGCAACAAAATTTGATTTACTCGGTTCTGACAACACATGTTTTAAACAACCTACAACACTTTCTAATTTGCCAAACATTTTTACATCTTCAAATAAAACACACCAACAACATCAACAACATAAAGGACAAGCAACAGTGTTTTCTTTAGGAAATCGTCAAAATGCACTTTTGGATGATATTTTAGCTCCTTTAATTGTTCCTAATGTTGCACAGGAAAATAATGAAACAGTTAAGAAAAAAATTTTTTTATTATTTTTTTTTGTTTTTAGGGTGTTTTAATTAAACCAGAATTTTTATCGAACATTTTTTAAATAAAATCAGAATTTTAATTAAACATGTTTTTAATTAAAATCAGAATTTCAAATAAACATGTTTTAACTAAAATCATAATTTTAAACAGACATTTGTTTATAAGAAGCCTCTTGCCCTTCTAACAAGAGTTTTTCTGTCATAACTCTGTCCAGAATTAACTTGAAACGTTAAATTTGGTGTCATTCGATTCAGCTTAAAGAGGCGCATTGAATAAAAACATATTTATTTTATTTTTTAATATTCTGGTTTCCTTTTTTATTTTTAATTAAAACTTGGTTGTAGTTTAGGAGGGGGCTTCTAACGAAATTTCGTCTAGAAATTAATTTTAAAAAATTCTGAAAATTTTTTTACTTTTGAAATAAAATTTCCTTCTTGAAACCCTTTTAAAAATAATTTTAAAATAATTTTAAAAATAATTTTTTTCAGTTCCAATTTGAATCACTCTTTCGAAGCGTTCAATATGCTATTGTTGATCATTGTAGTAGAGAATATCTCTTCCTTTGTGATTTTTTTCTTGTAACAGATCAATCGGCAGTAGATTTGTTTACTCATGTTATGGGACGTTCTATTACACTTTTACTGGTTTATTTTTAATTTTTAAATTTTTTTTTGGGATTTTGATTTCTTTTTTGGGTATATTCCCAAAAATCCCATCAACTTTTTGTCCGCAAGTCAGATATATATCTTTTTATTTCCTAGAATATTTTTTGGGGCATAAAGATGATCTTTTTTTCATTTTATCATTTAAATTTGAGCTAAATTCGCTAGAATTTTTGGAATGTGGAAAACACGATTTTCTGCTAGGATTTTGGTTTAGGGTCGAACTTAACTTAGGATTTTTCGTTTAGGTTTCTTCAGTTCGGTTCCAAATATCTGAGGAGGATCTTTCAAATACCTACAACCATATCTTCCCTCCATATTGTTTTAAATAAACCCGTTCTTGGGGAAAATTAAAAAAAATAAAGACTTGCTGATAAAAATTTTTGAGGAAAGATTTTGGGGACCAGAGATGCTTCTTTTCCTTCCTACCTATAGACATTTATTTTCGTTCACAAAACTAAATTTTCATGCATCTCTGTTTGGGACTTTAACCAAAAAAATCAACAACGAAAAGAAATTTTTTTTTCTTTTTCCAGAAAACTTTAGAAGAACGTATAAATTTAAATTATGATGCAATATCTTTATTTATTTGTATTTGTTTTTGTACAAAATATCGTCAATTAATGGTTTCACGTGGAGTTTTGGCTATTGAAACATATTGGGAAAATGTTGAAAAAATGTTGTGGGATAGATTTGAAGTTGTAATGAAATCACATAATGAAAGTATTAGACAATTAGATGTTAGAAAAATGACTGTGGATACGAGGCCTCATTATGTTTGTTTGTTTTTTTTTTATTTTTTTTTTTTTTGAATTTTTTTTGAGGGTAATAAAAAGGGATTTTTTTGGGGTACTTGAGACTTTTGCTGTTCGTTATGTTATAAATTTTCCGAGTTCCGGCTAAAAAAACGGCACAAAATCCTTGCTAGAAAGGGCACTCTCTATCGAATGAGCCCGATCTCAACCATTTTTAGGTCGGACATCTCGCAACTTTTCCTTGTTAGATTAGGTTTTTTTTCTCGGCGAGATGCTTCGATGCTCTTCCCCTGTCCTTAACATCGGCGGAGTGTTTTTGATTAGAAAAAACTTTAACTGGTGTAGTCTTCTTTTTTTTAATTTTTAAAAAAGGAAGTTGTTCGGAGATTTTTTTGCTGGTTTCTGAAATTTTACATGAATCATATTTTTTTTGATTTTAAAAATTCGGGCATCAAGCGGGTTCGAACCATTCACCTTCAAACCTCGTTGTTTTTATCTTAATTTTTATTTTCTAAAAATTTTTTTTTCTAGGTAATTAGAAGATATGCAGAATTAACAAGTTCTTTGTTGGTTTGTAGTGATTTGGCTTATAAAAAAATTAATAGTCAATTAATTGCAATTTTATCTAGACAACAAGCAGAAATTGAAGGTTTATTAAATCGTTTAGCTACACAATTAAAGACAAAAAAGGAGAGGCTAGTATTTCAAATAAATAATTATGATGTGATACTAACTGTTTTGAATGTGAGTTTAATTAAAAAAAATTTTTTTTCATTTTTTGGGGGATTTTTACGGTGTGATAAATTTTGCTAATCTTCCAGGACTTCAAAAACATCATTTTCCCCCATCGGGATTCGAACCTTGAACCTTCTATCTAAAAAATATTTTCTTTTTCACAATTTTACCCCACTAGACCTAGGTGTTAGCCTTGCCTGGTTCAAATAAAAAAATTTTTTCCCATAGGGATTCGAACCTTTTAACTTTTCTTCCTAAATTTATCCCACTACACCAAACTGGTATTTTTCCTAAGAATCAACCAAACTTTTTCGGACATTTTTATTCACAAATTTACAAACAAAAAAGTACATATAGACATATATAGATACATACAAAAACATTTATAGAAGGATATATAGGTATACAGGGTATATATGACAGAAAAATTATACATAGCATAAAGCTGGGATTAGAGAGAATATATTAAGGGGGTGAATTTTTTTGAGATTATACATATATTTAAGTCAGAAACACAGCAATATGAGGGGAAATAAGAGGGGAATATTATACATATTTAGACAAATATATAGTGTGTGGTCTAAACAAGTTTTTTTTGAGAGGGAGAGAAGAAGGGGTTTGTTTATATATCTTCTTTTATTCTTCCCTCTCTTCTCTTCATTCTTCCCTCTCTTCTTTCTCTTCATTCTTCCCTCTTTCTCTCTTCTTCTACAATTCCAGAGATGCTGTGTTATCAATTGCAGTACTAGTTCCCTTCTTATTATCACCTTCTTCAGCATCCTTCACTCTTGAACTCTTCACTCCTGCTCCTCCTCCAGCTGCCGCAGAGTTGGTAGTTTTGTCGTTCATGCTGGTCAATGATTTGGTGTTGTCTCCCTTCGATTTGGTGCCCTTGTCGTTCTGTGATTTGGTGCCCTTGTCGTTCTGCGATTTGGTGCCCTTATCATTCTTTGACTTGGTCCCATCGTCATCCTTTTTTGATTTTTTGTTGTCGCCCATTTTTGACTTGTCCTCATCATCAGCGCCATCACCACCGCCGCCCTTCTTCAAGAAGAAAAAGAAGACAAGTGCCCCAGCACAAGAGCTACACAGAAGCAGAACCACAACAATCACAATAATGATCCACGCAGAGCTTTTAGGTTCTTCAGTTTTTGTTGTAACCGTTGTAGTTGTCGGTTGAGTGGTGGTTGTAGTTGTAGACGATGTAGTAGTGGTCGTAGTTTGAGGGACGACAGTCAGCAAATCGTAGTTGGCCGTTGACTAAAAAAAGAAAAATTTTCTTCCTGTCAAAAATTTTTTTTCTTGAAACTTACGAAAAGAATTTGAAGCTCCTCGCATTCAGGTCCTTTCGGCGATTCTTCACTCACTCCTTTTGGTATTTTATTACCAGCTGGAGGCAAAACCCATTGTATCATGCGAGATGCCTTTTGCGGAAGAAGATGGAAGGCCAGCAAATGTTTCTTCTTTGGGTCCACAGGATTCGTCCCATTGATCTCCCATGTCAAGGGCGTGAGGATGTTTCCAGCGGGATTTTGTGTACAGTTGTATTCGTTGTATGGTTCCAAAGCTTCTTTTTTTCCATCAAATCGAACAGAATATTTATCGGCTTTCTCGATCTTTACTTTTCCATACGTACGCTTCTCGAACAATTTCATTTCTTCCGAAGCATGTTTGTACGAAGGACTGCCAACTGAAAATTTTGAAAAAAAAAATTATTTTTTATTGGACAGATTGAAAATTTTTTTTTCTTACTTGGATTGATTAGAAGATCTATGTGTTCTACATTCTTGAGAGATTTGGCCCATCTAAGTTCGAGGCCCGTCTTTTTGATACACACCTTATCAAAGCAGACATCACTCTTGCATCCAGCGGCAGAAATGTCTAGCTTTGGTCCGTTATCCCTGAGTTCTTCGAGAATGGTTGGATGGCTGTAAGCGAAGGGCAGTCTGAAAACGAATGATAAAATTTCAAAAAAAAATTCAGAAAAACTCACACGTTGTCATTGTAGCCATCGAATTTTTTGTCATCCAATTGTTTGAGACATCCTGCAGGACCACCACCCTCCACATTTCTCAAGAAAACAGAGAATTCGATCTTGTCTTCCAAATCGGTGTAGAGATCCACAGTGCAACCGCTTTCAGCCGCCTTGGAGGTTTTGGAGTAGCTGAGAATACTAGAAAAATGGGAAAAAATTATTTTTGAAGGAACTCTTAGCCCTTAAACTTACATGTATCCTTTCTCTTGATCTTCGCCAAGTTCAACATCGCATGCCTCAGGATATTTCTTCTTGTACCCCTCATAGTCTTCTTTGGTAGTTGCAGGTTTTGAGCCAACAAAAAGTGTCACTTTCTTCTTTCTATCGTCCAAGATGTGTCCTGCAATGCCGACGGGTCTTTCTTTTTCCTCTGCTTGCATCACTTCATTCTCCTCTCCTACATCTGCGGTGGCGGTGTTGTTGACCATCATTCCTCCAAGCAGCAGCAAAAGAAGAAGAATTGTGACAGCAACAAGTGGTGGTGATGACTTCATTACTACTGAGCGTTTGTTGTTGACTTGACAAGAAGCACACACACACAAGTTTATTGTTTGTGTTGAGACGATTGTAGAGAGAGTGTTGGAGAGATTTGTGTTGAAGAGGTTTTGTTTTGTTTAGGAGAAGAAACAGGCTTTTATAGTGCAAAAATGATTCACTCTTAAACAGCATTTAAAAACGCTTAGTTGGAAGTTAAGCGAGCACAATCAGGCGTGTTGCCAGGCGAGCACAGTCAGTGTTTCCAAGCGAGCACCGTCAGTGTTAATCGCAGTTTTTGTACATGTGTCCCCTGTTTTTGTACATGTGTCTAATTCGGTTGATGCACAGGAGTGCAAAAACGAGGGGGGTAGGTTTTCTAATCCTTCGATCGAAATAAATTAAATAATTTGTTAAAATTCATGGTGCTTCACTAATTTTTTAAGGGTTTTAAGTTTACGGTAGATTTTTTTAAAAGTGTTTATCCTAAAAAAATTTGAAAATGCCTTCTTAACAATGCTTCAATAAAATTTTAAAAATTTCAAAAAAAAATTAATTTTATTTTTAAAGGAAAAAGTAGTCCCAGAATCAAAAGAAAGGACAAGCTTTTGGGAATTACAACAAACAAAAATAGCAGCATATGTTGAAGAAGTATTATCGCCACATTTTTCTCCTCTTATACAATTTGTAAATGAATGTGAACCTTTAATTGAATCAAATCATTCACAATTATTAGCTAGATATACAGTTAAAGTTGTACAAATTGTAAGAACATTTAGTGCTGAATGGAGACGGTCTGTTGAAGCTATAAACAATGAAATACTTCATTCTTTTACGAACTTGAAAAATGCTGCTAATATATTACAGGTATAAAAATATATAAACTTGAGATTACAAACTTAAGATTACAAACATGTTTTAAATAAAATCAGAATTTGAAATAAACATGTTTGTTAAAGAAATAAAATCAGAATTTTATATGAACATGTTTTTAAACTAAATCAGAATTTCTAATAAACATGTCTTAAATAAAATCAGAATTTTAAACAAACATGTTTTTAAAAAATCAGAATTTTAAATAAACATTTGTTTTTTTTCTTTCAGTTAGCCTTCACACAATTTATTAATTACTACCAACGTTTAGACAAGGTAACTTCTCATCAAGTTTTTCGTCAATGTCAAATTAGTGGTGATTTGGTTTCATATCAACATATAGCCGAAACAATAAAGAAATATAAACCAATATTTTGAAGGTTTATTTAATTTATTCAAAGGGGCATAATTTGTAAAAAAATTGAAAAAATGTGATATTTTTAAGACAAAAATTCCAAAAAATTATTTAAAAAATTTTATTTGAAACATTTTTCAATAAATGTAGCTAATTTAACATCTCTTTCTGATATTCCTTTCACATCATGACTACTTAAAGTTATGTCAACCTGTTAAAAAATAAATTAAAAAAAACATGAACGAAAACACAGTTGTTCTGAATAAAATCAGAATTTTATATAAACAAGTTTGTTTTAGTTAAAATCAGAATTAAAAATGAACTTGCGTTTTGATAAAACCAGAATTTCAAACAACTTGTTTTAGATAAAATCAGAATTCCAGACAAACAAGTTGTTAGGAATAAAATCAGAATTTTATATAAACAAGTTTGTTTTAGTTAAAATCAGAATTAAAAATGAACTTGCGTTTTGATAAAACCAGAATTTCAAACAACTTGTTTTAGATAAAATCAGAATTCCAGACAAACAAGTTGTTAGGAATAAAATCAGAATTTTAAATAAACCTAGTTTTATTAAAACCAGAATTTTAAACAAACATCCCTCTAAAAACAACAACAAAACAACACCTTATTATAAACATTAAACCATTCTGGATGATGATTCATCTTATCAGCTTTTAAAGCTATACGAGTCATAAAACCAAAAGCTTCATTAAAATCCTCAAATTTAAATTCTTTTTGTATAGCGTCTCTGCCAGGTGTTATTTTCCAACCCTTTTCTTTAATTAAAGGTTGTAGCAAGTTTGAACGTTGTTCTGGTGTTAAAAGTGGAGAGCCGCAACTCATGTTTTTTGTTGTTTTTGTGTTGTTGTTTTGTTGAACAGTGAAAGATAGAAAATGTTTTGATGTTTTTGTTGTTGTGTCAATAAGTTTCTGTGAAAAAAAAAATTCTGAACATTATAAAACTTGTTTTAAAACATGTTTTGAAAAATTAAAACATGTTTTAAATAAACAAGTTTGTTTTAGTTAAAATCAGAATTAAAAATGAACTTGTGTTTTAATAAAACCAGAATTTTAAGCAAACAACTTGTTTTAATTAAATCAGAATTCTAAACAAACAAGTTGTTGGGAATAAAATCAGAATTTTAAAGAAACTTGTTTTAACGAAACTTGTTTATTAAAATAAACATTAAGTTTTGTTGTGTTTTATTTAATGTTTGGGATGAGAATAAGAAAATGGGGTGAGAATGAAAATAAAAACATTCTCTCTCTCTTATCTATAGCAGCAACATAAAAAATATGAATAATTTACTGAGTTTATAAGGGGCGGCTTCTGTCCTTGAAACAACGGGGAATTTGTTGTCGGTCGATAATACTTATTGTGGCAATAATAAAGTGTTCTTTTTAAAGTAAACAAATTGGGAAAAATAATTGAAGTATTTTTCATTGAAAATAAAGTAGGTAACTGAAAAGGAAAAAATATAATTTGTGATTTTTGGTTCTTGATTTTTAAGGGCAAAAAAAGTTGAAAAGTTTGGAAAAGCAAAGTTGAAACTCGCTAAATTAAAAAAATTTTTTATAGGATTTTTGGACTTTCAAGTACCTTTATGTCGCATTTCTAACAGTGTACCATTTTGTCGGGTCACGGAATGAATGGGGAGAGTGTGGCAGACTGTTAGAGAAAATTTTTATTATTTTTCGGGAAACAGGAACATTGAGTCCCATCGGTTTTAATAAAATTTTATTGATAAAATACACAAGTCTTATAAATATATTTGATTAATATTTATCTTTTTATCATTTTAATGGCAGACACATTGCCCAACGAAGCAACTCATACCGATACAATCCTGATCTTCAGTTAGGATTGTGCAACTCTTTTTTAAGCAAAAGTTTTTTCTAGCATCACGCATTGATTCATATCCGGCTTTTTTGAACGCTAAAATTCGAATTTAAAAAATGTTATAGAGCTGGGTCTGGACCAAGGCCTGGGGTTTTTCCTGTACGCAGAGTCCAAGCTTAGACATTACCTTCCTGAGGTTTTCCCGGGCCTGGAGTTTTTCATAGACTACAGGCCAAGGATCCGGCTTAGGAATCAAACCCAGAGCCCAGGAACAGGCCTAGACTTTTCAAAAATCTCTATCTCTAGTACCTTGCAAACAATCGCAACGTCCATTAATGCAAGAATTATGCATTCCCCCGCATTCAATCTTAGATTTACAGCGCTTTCTATGAGTACAAAGACATTTACATTTGGCGACATATTTTCCAGCACAGCGGCCTAAAAAAATTTCAATTTTTAAGGCACTATACAAGATTTAATAAGATAAGAAAATTTTTTTGAAATTACCTTTAAAGCATTGTACGTCCGCTGTACTGAAAATAATATTTTTTTAAATTTTTGTATAAAATTTTAAAATATAATTGTAAAATAAAATTTTGGGGTTCCTAAAAATACAATTGCCAAATAATAATTACCATGGCAAGCTTTCCACGCATTCTGTAAATAGGCCATCTTCTGTACCCAGAAAAACCGGGAAAATTGTAAATAAAAAAGTTGTAAGTAAAATAATTCTTATCATCTATAAAATATAATTTTAATATAGATACTAAATGCTCTAATTAAAGCCTCTATTTTTCAAAGGGTCAATTTGAGCTTATATTAGATATAGGGTATTAAGGAAAGGGCGTTTTTTTCAATAGGCCTCCTTGGGTAGGCTTGTAATGGATATGGGCTTCTAATAGAGACGGGCTTTAATTAAGAGCATTTACGGTATATTTTTTGAAATTACACATAAATTTTAAATTATTATATAACAAAAATGCGTAAGCGTAAATAATAGCACAAATTACTCTCGACCCAATAAAAACATTAAAATAAAAATTGATTTACATAAATATTCGACGGATAAAATGTATTTATTTTTGGATATCCGAAAAGTTTTATTTATAAATTAAGGTTACAGTAAAAATTAATTAATTACAAGTTAAATTTGTTCCTAGCGCGAAAAGTTTCAAGTACCGTTTTGTCGCATTTTTGGGAGTGTACCATTTTGTCGCTGCAACCATTTTGTCTTTTTACAAAATGAAAGATGAAAGAGTGTGACAGACGGTTAGAGAAAAAATATTTTTTTAACTACTTTTCAAGTTGAAAATTTATTTTTTTTTCGTTTCATTATTCTTTTTAAACGATTTCTTTTACATTTTTAGATTGTTATAAAGTTAAAAAATGGTAGCTGATTTAAACGATTTTGTTTACAAACAAGTGTTAGGAGGTGACCCGACACGCAAATCTTTGTTTATTTTGTTGGAGAAAGGGGAGGAACAAGCTGTTTTGATTTGTATGTTTTTCTGGTTTGGTTAATGATTTTTTCTAAATAAATTTAAAGGCAATAAAGAAGCATTTGAAGAAGATGACAATTTAATCCCAAAATGGCTCAAAAGTGCAAAATTACATTTGTTGACGGAAAATGATAAATATGGTAATTATGAAATGGCTTTGGATCCGGAATTGAATTGCAAGTTTTTTTTCTTTTTTTTAGTTTTTGGGGTTTGGATTAGGTTTTTATTTCGAAACTAAATAGTATTGAAAATATAACGCGAGTTATGCAAGGGATGTGCCAGTTTCGTCTTTCACCGATTTTCGCCTTTCGACGTCCGCTTCTTAAACTGACTTTCTCATTTTCGCTTTTTTAAAAGCTGTTTCGGCACACCCCTTGGGTTATTCCAACTGCGTGACGCATTTCTTTTTAACAAGACAGTCATTAAACTAATAGAGCTAAAAAGTCTAAACTACATATTTTTTCTAACAACTTTATTCACAACAAATATACAGACAAAAACTAGCATAGGTATATTATAGGACATACAGAAACATATAGGCATAGTATAAGGCTTTAACACAATTAGAAAAATAGGTGAATTTGGCGATATTTAAGTCAACAAACAAAGCTATGGGGGGAAAAGGGAAATAATTTAGATTTAGAACAAATAACAAATCTAACAAGAAAATATTTTTTTATATATCACACAGAAGAATTTTTTATTTTCTTCTTTCTATCCCCTTCATGATCCCTTTATATTTTTCCCATAGACTTTGTTTCTTCAAGCGCCGTAGATATCCTTGCCTCCAGCATCCTTCACTTTTGGATTCGTCGCTGCTTCCGAATTGGCAGATTTGGAGTCCTTGTCCGTCTTAGATTTGTCGTCGCCTTTGTTGTCCGTTTTTGACTTGTCGTCGCCTTTGTCGTCCTTTTTAGATTTTGCGCTTTTGTCGTCCACTTTTGTCTTGTCCCCACCATCAGAGCCACCACCTTTCTTCTTCTTGAAGACAAAGAAGACAATTGCCCCACTACAAGAGCTTATCAGAAGAACCACAACAATCACAATGATGATAGTCGTCGCAGGGCTTTTGGGTTGTTCAGTTGCTGTTGTTGTTGCAACCTGTGCATTTATCGCTCGAGAGGAAGCTGTTTCACCCTGTTTATTTGTCGCTCGAGAGGGAGTTGTTGTAGTAGTAGTGGTGGTGGTGGTCGTAGTAGGAGGAATGGCAATCAGCAAGGTGTATATCTTCGTTGGCTAAAAAATGTTTGGAGAAAATTTTTAGTTTCAAAATTGTGTAACTTACGAAAAGAATTTGAAGCTCCTCGCATTCAGGCCCGTTTGGTGAAGAATTTTGTACTTCTGTTTTTTGTAGTGCTACGAATGCTGCTATACCAGCAAATGAATCCCGTTGGATTATGCGTGATGCCTTTTGTGGAAGAAGATGGAAGACAAGTAGACGTTTCCCTTGCTTTGGCGGTATCATTTCCCACGTTATAGGTGGAAGGACATTCTCCACAGGGTCGGGTGTACAAGTTAAATCTGGACGTTTTTCTTCTGTTTCTTCATGATTATCCTCTTCAAAACTGACAGAAAAATCCGTTTGTTCGACCTTCACTGTTGGATACTTCGTCGATTCTTTTCCCAATATTTGCGGTACTTCTTGAGCTATTTTAAATGAAGGACTGCCAACTGAAAATTTACAGATAAATTATTTAATTCTAAAGAACACAATCTTCTTACTTGGATTGATAATGGAAATGAGAATATTGTTTTCGAAGAGTCCCATGCCATGGATTATCTTATTGCTCCATCTAAGCTCAAGTGCCGTCTTTTCGATACACGTTTTTCCTAAACAGATTTCACTGTTACAGCCTTTACTAGACTTTGATTGAATTGGCCCTGTATTTGTGAGATTCTCGAGAATGGTTGGATGGCTGTAGGCGAAAGGCAATCTAAGATATATAATTGTAAATTTAAAATTTTCGCGAAAGTAGAACTCACACGTTCTCATTGTAGTTATTTCCTGACTTCATACAATCTTTAATACCGTCACCAATATCATTTTTCACATAAGCCTTGAACTCGATCTCATTCTCAAGAGTTGTGTAGAGATCCAAAGTGCACCCATGTAGCGCCGCTTTGGAGTTTTTGGAGTAGCTAACAATGCTGAAATTGGAAAAAAATGTTAGAGGATATTAACTCAAAACTGAGTTTAACTTACATATATCCCTTCTCTCCTTTCTTTTCGCCAAGCTTAACATCGCATGCATCAGGAAACTGCTCCCTGTACTTCTCGTAGTCATCTTGGGTGGTTGCTTCCTTTGAGCCCTCAGCAAGTGTCACTATGTCCTTTTTCAAGATGTGATTTGCCAGGCCGACGAGTCTTCCTCCATCTGCGTTGGCGGTGTTGTTGACCATTCCTCCAAGCAGCAGCAGAAGAAGAATTGTGACAGCGAGTGCGATGTTGTAGATGCTCTTAGACTTCATTCCTGAGCGATCGTTGACTTGACGAGAAGCAGGAAAACACAGATTTTATTTGTGTTGTGACAAAGAGGTTTTTTATAAGTGAAGAAAACATAGGCTTTTATACTATGAACGCAACAACATCTTTAATATTTCCCTTGTGTTTATTTTATGTACATGTGTCTAAGTTGGTTAATGCGCAGGCGGTACTTTTCCGTTATGCCACCTCCCTCTAAATTAATGCTCAAAATGTCATTAGGGTGATAACCACTCTTTTTTCACGGAGATGTCTGTGGATCGAGATTAGGGCTCGAAATGGCCAAAAACCATTTTGGGGTAAAAAAATTCGAATATGCGAATGAACTTATTTAAAATGAGCTCATCGAGCTAAGTCGAAAGACACCAAAATCAACGAAATCTGATTTGATTAGACCGAGATATAGACATTTGAACATATTGAAGAACCACAATTCGTTTTTGTATCGTAACGTTGTCAAAACTTGTTCAATTACGATGATTTTGGTGTCATTCGACTTATCTCGTCGAGCTCATACGAATGAGCTTTTAACAGTATATTTGAATTTTTTACCACAAAAATGAGCTTACTCCCCTCTATGGTTTTTGACAATTTCGAGCCCTCATCTCGATCCACAGGCATCTCCGGGAAAAAAGAGTGGTACCGAAATGAGTAGTACCTTTTATTACCCTATATGACATTTTTAGTATTAATTTAGGGGGAGGTGGTATAACGGAAAAGTACCGCGCAGTCTGAAATGATAACTGAGGGAGGTTCGAATCCCTTTGTGGAAAGTAGTTACTCTTGTGTAAAAGGAGTAGGGTTTAAGGTTTTAGTTTTTGAAGGAATAGAGTTTCAGTGTTTCTACGGGCGTTGAGTTCAACCCTTGGTCTAAATAATTTTTATTTTGTATCCATTACTAACTAATAATCAAAAAACAACCAATTTTCTCTCACAACTTTATTCACAAAAATATAGACAAATTATTATAGTTATTATAGGGCATACAGAGACATAGTAACAGGGTGAATTTTACAATATTTAAGTCAACAAACAAAGCTATGGGGGGAAAGAGGAAAATATTATATTTAGATTTAGAACAAATAACAAATCTAACAAGAAAATATTTTATATATATCACACAGAAGAATTTTATTTTCTTCTTTCTATCCTCTTCATGATCCCTTTATATTTTTCCCATAGACTTTGTTTCTTCAAGCGCCGTAGATATCCTTGCCTCCAGCATCCTTCACTTTTGGATTCGTCGCTGCTTCCGAATTGGCAGATTTGGAGTCCTTGTCCGTCTTAGATTTGTCGTCGCCTTTGTTGTCCGTTTTTGACTTGTCGTCGCCTTTGTCGTCCTTTTTAGATTTTGTGCCTTTGTCGTCCACCTTTGTCTTGTCCCCACCATCAGAACCACCACCTTTCTTCTTCTTGAAGACAAAGAAGACAATTGCCCCACTACAAGAGCTTATCAGAAGAACCACAACAATCACAATGATGATAGTCAGCGCAGAGCTTTTAGGTTCTTCAGTTGTCGTTGTTGTTGCACCCTGTTTATTTGTCGCTTGAGAGGAAGCTGTTTCACCCTGTTTATTTGTTACAATCTGTGCATTTGTCGCTCGAGTCAAAGTTGTTGTAGTAGTAGTGGTGGTGGTGGTCGTAGTAGGAGGATGAACGACAGTCATCAAGGTGTATTTGTCCGTATGCTAAAAAATGTTTGAAAAAATTTTTTACACGTTTCAAAATTGTGTAACTTACGAAAAGAATTTGAAGCTTCTCACATTTAGGCCCATTTGGTGAAAAATTTTCTACTTTTGTTGTGTACTCATCTGTTTCTTTTTTATTAGGATCTTGTTGGATTATGCGTGATGCCTTTTGTGGAAGAAGATGGAAGACAAGTAGACGATTCCCTTGCTTAGGCGGTATGATTTCCCACGTTATAGGTGTAAGGACGTTCTCCACAGGGTCGGGTGTACAAGACAAGTCTTTGACTTTCTTTTCTTTACAAGTTCCCTCTTCACAACTGATAGAATAACCCGTGCGATTGACCTTCACTGTTGGATACTTCGGCGATTCAACGTTGAAATTTTCCATTAACCCATATGATAATTTAAATGCAGGACTGCCAACTGAAACAAATTTATTAAGCAAATCTAAAGAACACAATCTTCTTACTTGGATTGATAATAGGAATGATAAAATTTATGCCAAGCCTTGCACTGCTCCATCTAAGCTCAAGGGCCGTCTTTTTGATACACGTATTGTCTAAACAGACTTTACTGTTACAGCCTTTGCGCGACTTTGATGGGATTGGCCCTGTATTTTTGAGCTTCTCGAGAATGTCTGGATGGCTGTAGGCGAAAGGCAATCTAAAAATGATAATTGAAAATTATAATATTTTCGCGAGAGTAGAACTCACACGTTCTCATTGTAGTCATTTCCTGACTTCACACATTCTTCAATACCTTTACCAATATCATTTCTCACATAAGCCTTGAACTCGATCTCATTTGTCAGAGTTGTGTAGAGATCCAAAGTGCACCCTTCTAGCGCCGCTTTGGAGTTCTTGGAGTAGCTAACAATGCTGAAATTGGAAAAAATTTTTAGAGGATATTAACTCCAACATGTCTAACTTACATATATCCCTTCTCTCCTTTCTTTTCGCCAAGCTTAACATCGCATGCATCAGGAAAAGTCTTCCTGTACTCCTCGTAGTCATCTTGGGTCAAAGCCTCTCTTGAGCCCTCAGCAAGTGTCACTATGTTTCTTTTCAAGATGTGATCTGCCAGGCCGACGGGTCTTCCGACTTCTTCTGCTTGCAGCACTTCATCCTCCTCTCCTCCATCTGCGGTGGTGTTGTTGACCTTTCCTCCAAGCAGCGGCAGAAGAAGAATCGTGACAGCGAGTGCAATGTTGTAGATGCTCTTAGACTTCATTCCTGAGCGGTCTTTGACTTGACGAGAAGCAGGAAAACACAGATTTTGTTTGTGTTGAGACGGCTGTAGGGTATTGGATTTATGATGAAGAGGTTTTGTTTAGGCGAGGGAAATATGGCTTTTATAGGATAAACACAACAACATCTTTAATGTTTCCCTTGTTGTTTTAGTTTGTGTATTTGTGTCTAAGTTGGTTAAGGCGCAGGCTAAAGATGAAAACTGAGGGGAGGTTCGAGTCCCTATGATGGAAATAAGTTATTTTTGCGAGCATAAAGGCTTGGAGTTTCTATGGGCCGTGAGTTTGAGCCATTTTTGGTCTAAATAATTTTTAAGGACACGTTTTCAGGTTGTTAACTGTGAAGAGAAATTATAGTAAATAAAAAATTCCAAAAAATTTTTTTAGAAATCTATTTTTTTAATTAATTTTTTAGTGCTCAAAACAACTATAATTTATCCAGCAAATGCTTTTGATATTCAAAAATATCGACGTCAAGAATTTTTTATTTTGAATGAAACACCAGAAGATTATAAGAATATTACTTGTAATTATTTGGTTGAAACTAAACAATTGGAAAATTTGAAGGTTTTTATTTTTTAAATTTTATTTTGTAGAGAGAATGTGTCATTGACTTTTTATGAGGCTGACTGTTTGTACTCCTGCTAGAAAAATTTTTTGTGGATTTTCATTTTAAAAATTTAAAAAGGCCTTAGCCGTCAAGGCCGTAGCCAGTGTGTTTATTTCAAGGGGGCTTTCCCTCTCAAAATTTTGGCATTTTCCTCATTTTAGAGAGGGCTATATCCCCTTCAACCCACTTGGCTGCGTTCTTGGTATCCGTAACAGCCCCAAAAAACAAAAACACTGCGTTGCGTTTGCTCTTTCGACGCAAACAGAGAGATGTCTTTGGACGCATTCCTTGTATATTATAATAGTAAATTGGGTGTTTTGTCCTCCTGTATGTCATGTCTCCTTATAGCCGTTACTTTTTCACCCTCTTCTACATTTAATTGGATAATGGTCGGGGATTTTATTCCTCCCCTAATCCTACTGATTTCCCTATAGCGTATTTCGATTATATATATTTTCTTCTTAAAGCATCTTATGTTAGGCTTTAAAAACTCAAAGCATTTTTGTCAATTTTTATTTTTTAAGTGGGTCTATAATTTTTTGGATAAGAAAAGTGAAGAAGAACGCATCATCTATGAGAACCCAGACAAACATGAAGGTTTTATTTTGGCTCCGGATTTGAAATGGAATGGGACAAATTTGGATGAACTTTATTTGTTGGCTGTAGCACATCGACGTGATTTGCATTCTATTCGGTTTTTTTTTAATTTTTTACAAGCGCAAACGCTTAATATTTTTCGGCTCTGGTCTAGTTTGTTAGTCCAACAAACCCTTTATTGACTCATAAAATTTTGTCTGGATTTATTATTTTTTCTTTTGACCCATGATGCTTTATTGGACTCATAAACTATTGTAAGGCCTGTGTTTCGTGTTTGTTTTCTTCGCGTCCAAAATTTAAGACGGCTTGACGACTGTTCGAGATCCTGTTCTAGCTTTCCCGCCATTTTCGTCTTATTGCTTTTAAAACTAGGAAGGGGCCTGTTCCTAGGTTCGGGGTTTGATTTAATGGCCTGGACCGGATCCTGGTGGGTCTGTAGTCCAGGAAAACCCAGGCCCAGGAAAACCTCAGGAAGGTCAAAAATGCCTGAACCTGGACTTTGGGTACAGGAAAATCCCCAAACCTTGGTCCAGATCCAGCTCTATCTCTACTTTCTATAAAATCAAAAAATAAATAAAAAATAAATTTTTCAGTGATTTAACTCCAAATGAATTGCCTCTTTTGGAGAATATTCGTAATGAATGTGCTAAAACTATTGAAGAAAAATATGGATTAAAAAAGAGTCAATTAAAAATGTATTTTCATTATCAGGTTTATTGTTAAATTTTGAAGCAATTTTTAAAAGAAAAAAATTTTTAAAGCCAACTTTCTATCATCTTCACGTTCATATAGTGCATATTAAATATGAAGCGCCAGGTTTAAGTTGTACTTCAGTGCTGTTGGATACGGTTTTTATTTTGAAATTTTGAAAAGATGTAAAAATATTTGGTTCCATAAAATTCTGTCCCTTGGAAAAATGTGCCAGCTCGATATAGATGTAGGGTTGGGGTTTTCGAGTTGGGCCGACGTTCGAATCATTTTTTCGGGCTCCATTCTTATCGGCCCGACAGAGTCTTTTTCGAGCCAAAATTCAATGCCCACTCAATCTTTCGGACCGGGCCGGATCAGGCCCCCAATCCTATATAGTTGGGACCGAGATGCAATCTTTAAAAAAAGGATCATAAAGAAAAATATTTTTTTGAGATATTAGTCTCGATTCTCGTTACAACCTCACGGTCCTATCTCTAATTTTAGGTAGCATATTGAATATTTTTGATGGGAAATCTTAGGGAAGCAAAGAAAAAAAAGACTTGCGGAATTCAATTAATTTAATAAAGTCAAATCTCGATTTTACCTTGGGGTGAAAAATTTATTGCAAAAATTTTTGTGTTGTTAGGTGGATTAATTCTTTTGGGCCTATCAAGTCTCAATCCTTGTCGAAAAATTTTTTTTTAATTTCTTTTAAATTAATTAATTTTTTTTAAAGGCAATCGAAAATTTGAAGATTTATTCTGATTTTTATGCAAAGGCTACATTGCCATTTTTCCGTAAAGAAGATGATCCACTCTATAAAAAATTTGTTGAAGCTGGACGGATTTAGAGCTAATTGAGGAAGGATATTTTGATTGGAAAAAGAGAAGAGGTTTTTTGTTTTTTTTTTTGGCCAAATTAAAAATCTCAGTTATTTAAAAAATACTTTATTTTTTTATTTTTTACTGCAATGCAGTGATTTACAAAGTCAGACCTTAACGTTTATGTAACCCCTTTCAGAATTTTATCGAAGACCACAATTTAAAGAAGATTTTTTAAATTTGTTTGGGTTTTAAAATAGGCGAGAAAAAGGTGTGTAAGGGCGTGAGAAGGGTAAGGAAAAAATCAAAAATAGGTGCCTCATTATACGGCACTTAATTTTTTTCAACTCTCCCGGGAGAGTTGGATATGTAAAAAATCGAGATCTGACTTTAATTTATTTATTGATTATTTATTGTTTATTCTTGATTATTTATTATTGAAAAATAAATTTGTTTTACTTAAAAAATTGTTTGTTTGATTTTTTTAGTTCATTACTTTTAAATATATATTTTATATTTATTTTCCACTGCTTTTGAATTAAAAAAAATTTTTTTAGAAAGGCAAAAGGGATACAACCGGAAAAAATGCTCGTTTTCTGGTTTGTTTATTTACTAAAGAAATTTTTAATTGAAAAACTGGGTGGGTTTAAGGACTAGACGCGGACCGTTAGACCAAAAAATTTTTTAACCGAAAGTTTGGTTAAGTGGTTTAGTTGAGAATGTTAGATAGGTCAATGGTTCGAGTCCGTTGCTTCCGATAATTTTTTTCGAAATAAAAAATATATTAGAGAACATTTTGAATGATAAAAAATTATAAGAGGCAAGAGGACTCGAACCATCGACCTATTTTTATCACTAAAATTTAGAATTTTACCCACTTAAACACCCAAACTATTTTTTAAATTTCTTTCTTTTTCTAGCCCAGCCTGTGGTACTTTATTAACACTTGGAGAAGGAAATTCTTGCATCCAATTTTCATGTAAATCTTGTAGTTATGTTCTCCCAATAGTTGAAAAACTTTCAAGCAAAATTTATACAAAGAAAAAGGAAGAAGAAAAAATTTTGGGAGGTGCAGAAATGTGGGACAATGCGCAAGTGACAAATGGTTATTTTTATTTAATTAAATTTTATTGAGAATCAGCAAGGGTGTCTGGTGGTGTAATGGTTAGTGTGTTAGATTACACCCCCGAAGGGGGTGAAGGTTCGAGCCCTGGGCTGTGTAAACATTTTTCTTTTGCTTGTAAAATTTTTTTCTAAGTCTCCCAAATTTTTTAAAAAATGTCTTGATGGTTAAGTGGATAATGGGGTGAATTTTGTTGATAAAAATAGGTCGATGGTTCGAGTCCTACCACCTCTAATAATTTTTTTCTTTAAAAATTCCCTCAAAATTTTTGTTTTTCTAGAGGGTAGTGTTGGGAAAAAATTTCGAAAAAATTTTTTCGTTTTTTTAAAGAATTTTCTTTTTCTAGAAAGATGCCCAGTTTGTTCACATGATAAAGCCTATTTTCAACAAATACAAACTCGAAGTGCTGATGAACCTATGACAATATTTTATCGTTGTGCAAGTTGTGCGCATAGATGGAAGGAATAAAAAAATTTTTTTGGTTGTTTTTAAAGTGTATAAAAATTAAGCGAAAAATTTTGTTAAGAAAATTTTTTTTATTTTTAATACATATTTATTTTTTATGAATTTTTCTTGTTAAAAACAGTTTAAAAAATGCTCCAAAAATATAAGGACAAAGTAGAATGCTCTTTAACAATGCTGGCTGGATATGGAGCTTCGTGTGACCCTTTCTGTTAACACAGTTTTGGTATCATTTGTTTGAGCACCTTTTCGTTGTAAATGGTGCCATTTTTCTGTACCGTTAAGTCGAATGTCATTTTGTCGTATTCCCCTGTATTTACGTTTTGTTGTCTACCGCTTATGTACCATTATGTCGCTCATTATGTCGTTTTTGTCCCTTAGTACCATTTTGTCGCTTACCATTTTGTCTAATTCTTAACTTATTGGTGTTTCGTAATATTTCATATGAAAAATATTCACCTTGACATTCTAGAATAAATTGAGAGAGTACATGGTTAGACGGTTAGAGACATTTTTTAAGAAAGAAGAATCATTATTTAAAGGAAATAGACTTTACGCGGTTATGCAACGTCAGCTAAAATAAACCAATAAAAGCGCGACATGTCTAAAATGCGGGAATGGGTCAACACTAAGAATCATTCAACACTTGAGAAACAACTGCAAATCTCTCAATATATGCTTTAATTTTGAGTCAATTTTTCACTACAAAATTTTTTTAATTACTTCCTTTTTAAATTTTAAATTCTTAAGCTTTCCTTAAGTAAATGGAGGATTTCCTTGAGTTAATTAGATTGGGATCTTGAGATTTTGTTGAGTAATTAGAAACGGGGTTTTACTGCCCAACCGTGAAATGTTTGGGTAACTCCTTGTTCTTGTGTAGCCTCTTGTTGAACAAAATTTCTGAGACCTTCCAGTTCCCCTATTTTAAGATCCGTCCTTATTTCTAAGGTCCTTCAAATAGTCTAAGTGAGGGATTATGGGCTGTTGAGAGGTTTTACTCGGCTTGAGTGTTCCCTGAAGACTTAGATTTTCTTCCATTTCTTCTCTATAATTATGAGATTTCCACATCGAGCTGGATTTTGCCTTGGGATGTCTTTCTAGATGTGAGAATGTTCTTTTTTCCGATACCCATATTTTTTAGAAGCTTTTTATTTCTGTTGGGAAGATAGTCATTCAAATATAATTTGGCATTCTGTTATATTTATTTCCCCGCCTATTTTCCATCCTCATTTTCTCTCTATTTAAGCTCTTCCCAAATACCCCATTTTTACTAGTTCAGTTGCTCAGTTCTGTGTGTACTCAGTTAATTTATTCAGCGCCTTATGCTTCCACAGTTATATTGATTTGACTTAATACTCGTTTGTGTACTCGTTTGTTGTAACGAGTACACAACAATTTCTCTCCCCTCCATTACTTATGCTTCGCCTTTACTTTGTTTTTGATTTTAAATTTCTTCATATTCTTTTCAGAGTATTTTTTTCAAAAATGTTAACAACGACAAAGTTTATTCTGATCTCTTCAATTCTTTTATTTTTGTCAATATCTCATGGTCTTGGACGTGATGAGGGAGCCAAAAACGATTCTGCCAAACCTAAGGATAAAGACAAAAAATATGGAACGATTATTGGAATCGATTTGGGAACAACCTATTCTTGTGTTGGTGTCTATAAAAATGGACGTGTCGAAATTATTGCAAACGATCAAGGTTTAAATTAAGAAATAGAAAAGGACCCCTCTGGTTTACCAACATATACCAAATGGTTGGGAATAGTCGAAAAAACTGGCATAAATAGTATAAGCGGTCCACCTTGGATGTCAAAAGGCTGGAGATAACTCAGTAAAAGTCAAAAAAACCATAGGGATTCAAAGACCCTGTAGATGTCACATTACCCCCTCTATTGGTCAGGTTACCCAGAAGGTCAAATTCATATATTTGGGGCGGATAAGATGACTTAAGATCAGGAATACGTTTACCTGCTCCATTTGCCTTATTATCCATTTGCCTTACAGTCCCAATAAAGAAGGTCATTTGACCTCCTGGGTCCCTCTGGGTTGATCTCGCATAATGAGTATGTGGGGAAATAAGTTTCGTTCATCATTTATATTCATAGGTAATCTAGGAATGTCAAAAGGCAGGAGACAAATACCCAAAGGATAAAGACATAACCCCACTAGACCCAGCTATTGGCCAAAATACCCAGGTCAAATCCAAACATTTGTAGCGTGTAAAGATGACTCAAGATTAAGGATACGTTTGCCTGTTCATTAAGCCTTATTATGCTCCATTCTGCCTGACAGTTGCACAAGGGCAGGACATTTGATCTCCTGGGTTTGCCCCTCTGGGTTGATCTCGAATAATGACTTTAAGGGAAAATAAGTTTCATTTGTTATTTATATTCATCTTTAAATAGGTAACCGTATTACTCCATCCTACGTGGCGTTTACTGAAAATGGTGAAAGGTTGATTGGGGACGCGGCAAAGAACCAGTTGACGTTGAACCCGGAAAATACAATCTTCGATGCAAAACGCTTAATTGGAAGGGAGTTCACCGACAAAACTGTTCAGGATGACATGAAGCTGTGGCCGTTCGGGGTATATTTTTTGATTAAAATTAATTTGGGGGTTTTGCGGATGATTTTTGCGGACAAAGTTTGGGTTGATGAGTTTGTCCGCAAGATGGGGAGTTTGTCCGCAAATTTTGATATTTGTCCGCAAAATATTTTTTGGGACCAAATGTCATCTCATTCTCCCAACATTTTTCAGGTTGCTGATAAAGCTAACAAGCCACACATCAAAGCTAACGTCAACGGAGAAATCAAACAATTTGCTCCAGAAGAGATTTCAGCAATGGTTCTTGGAAAAATGAAGGAAATTGCCGAAGCCTATTTGGGTCATGAAGTTACGCATGCTGTGGTTACGGTTAGCTTTTTGTATTTTACCTTACCTTACAAAACCATGTCTTTTAAGGTCCCCGCTTACTTTAACGATGCTCAACGTCAAGCTACCAAAGATGCTGGAACCATCTCTGGACTTAATGTTGTACGTATTATTAATGAACCGACAGCTGCGGCAATCGCTTATGGATTGGACAAGAAAGAAGGTTTTTGATTATTTTTTATTTGAAGGGGATGTTTTTGGGGGGACTTGTGTAAATGTGATTTGAGTTTTTGTACTAAATTTTGCAGGACGTCGGTCTGTTGTCTATTCTGTTGATTTGGGGCCCGGACTCCGAATTGTATGGCTCGGACTCGGCATTAGTTTGAGAATGTAAGGCCCGAACTCCTATCTCGATACAAGTTATATGGTCCTTTAAAGAGCTCATCGAGCTCTGGTGTGAATTAAACAAACACTAAAAGTAACTCGCGGACTTAACGTTAAGCTGAGATTCAGACTTATGAGAATAAACCATCCCAATCTGTGTCTAAATTTCCCTTCTTCCAAACTTCTCATAAGAATACCTTTTTTAAATTTCATTATTTCTTAGGGGAACGCAACATTCTTGTCTTTGACCTTGGCGGAGGCACCTTCGACGTCTCTTTGTTGACTATCGATAATGGAGTTTTTGAAGTATTGGCAACAAATGGAGACACTCACTTGGGAGGTGAAGATTTCGACCAAAGGACGATGGAATACTTTATTAAATTAATCAAAAAGAAGACTGGAAAGGATTTGAGGAAGGATAACCGAGCTGTTCAAAAACTTCGTCGTGAGGTTTGTTTTTTTGTGTCTTTTGGGGTTTTAAAAATTTGTAGCGTTTTTTAAATGTGTTGGCATATTTTTAAAATTGATATTTTTTATTTAGAATGGCTAAAAATTAAAGTTTCCACTGGTGGGGTTCGAACCTTGTACCCTCTTTTAAGTAATATTTTCAATTATACCACTTAACCAAAAGGTACACTTTTCCTTGTTTTGTTCCTTTTTCTTCCCTCTTTTTCCTTTATGTTAAAAATTTTTTTAAATAATTTCTGGACTATGATTTATCAAAGTTTTTTCCTTTTAAAGGTCGAAAAGGCAAAGAGAGCCCTCTCAGTCCAGCACCAAGTAAAAATGGAAGTTGAATCCTTAATTGATGGAATTGATTTTTCTGAAACTTTAACTCGTGCCAAATTTGAAGAATTAAATATGGATTTGTTTAGAGGAACACTTAAACCTGTGCAAAAAGTTTTGGAAGATGCAGGTTTTTTTGAGGGAATTTTTTGAATTTTCCGAAATTTTCTGTTTAAGATATGAAGAAGGATGATATTCATGAGATTGTTTTGGTTGGTGGATCAACAAGAATTCCAAAAATTCAACAATTATTGAAAGATTTCTTTAATGGAAAAGAACCTTCGCGTGGCATTAATCCAGGTTAAAAATTTTTGTTTTTTTAGTGTTTGGGGAAGTTGGTGTTGAATATCCTCAACCCCAAAGGTGTTGGATGTAAGGTTCGAGACCAGATCCTAACTGATCTGGTTTTGAAATACAGTCATACCTGGTCGTGGCATACCATCTGATAATGGTTTTACCACACGTTAATGAATTTTTTTACAGATGAGGCTGTTGCTTATGGTGCTGCTGTCCAAGCTGGAGTAATTTCTGGAGAAGAAGACACCGAAATTGTTTTGTTGGACGTCAATCCATTGACTCTCGGTATTGAAACTGTTGGTGGTGTAATGACAAAATTGATCAATCGAAACACTGTTATCCCTACCAAGAAAGCACAAGTTTTCTCTACAGCGGCCGATAATCAACCGACTGTCACAATTCAGGTTTTTTTGAGATTTTGAGAAAAAAATTTTTGAAAAAATTCTTTTTTCTTTAAAGGTCTATGAAGGAGAACGTCCAATGACTAAAGACAACCACATGCTTGGAAAATTCGACTTGACAGGAATTCCACCAGCACCTCGTGGTGTACCACAAATTGAGGTTTCTTGAAGTTTTTTAATTTTTAAAAATTTTAAATTAAAGGTAACCTTTGAAATCGACGTCAATGGAATCCTTCATGTAACAGCTGAAGATAAAGGAA